GCTTTCTAGCAGCGAGCTAAACGACTATGAGGAAGAGAATGAAGGAGAGGATGCAGAAAAATGGAATGAAATGGATTTTGAAGTGGTTGAGATGAATGATACTGTGAGTCCTTGCACAATAGAGATGTCTAGAAATATTTTGATGGAGACCACAGCTGACTTTTCCAACCAGTTTCTCTCTAGTCCGTTGCTAGTTGAGTCATCTGTCAATACTGGTGATTCCTTTGAAAAAACCACTTGCAACACATAAGTATAAAGGGCTAATTTTTACAGAATATGCATTACCACTGACATCATTGAATAAATGCCATGTCTAAAGAGGCTCTTGAGAGCAGAGCATTGGATTATCAGCATGCTTGGAAATCAGAATTTCTAGATCCATTTATAGCATCTGCTAAATGGTTTGAAATGCTCTGTGATTGTGAGTGACTTTGTATGGTATTATCTTGTTAGGAGACTTGGGCTTGGTTTGTGGCTGATTATAGTGGTGGTGTGTTATAGTCCCCACCTTGTAGAGAGAAGGAAGGGACATTTGTGTTTGAGAATTTGGGCACAAAATTGTAATAGAGAAAAACTACAGAGTAGGGAGTGGAATGGATTTGCTGAGCAAATAATCAGGCATCCTTGTTTTGTCAAGGTTGTTTCTTCCTCCTACTGTCCTTTCTCCTTTTTCTCCCTTCCGTTCTGAGATTCTAGAAATAAGAAAGAGGACTTACATTTGTTCAGGATGTCTGCTAGGATAGTCTGTTCTTCATTTCAAAGGTAAAACAAAAATGATAGCTTTAAAAAAGTGCTGCTTTCTATGGTATGGATAGAGACAGGGAGATTGTGGTTTGAGAGTTTGGTCAAGTTTGTAAACCCTATCTCAAAAACCAACAGGACATGGTTGCACATGCCTGTGATCCTAGCTACTCAGGAGGTATAGGTGGGAAAATTGCATTAGGCTAGTAGGGGAAAGATGAGCTCCAGACCCTGTCCAAAAAACAATCCTTTTATTAAAGGACTGTGGTTGTGGCTCCAGCAGAGGCCCTGGGTTCAATCCTCAGCCAAAAAGCCCCCTCAAACCCAAAAACCAGAAAAGAAGTTCTGCTTATGACTTCTCACTGATTCTAAGGTACACCATTTTTAATGTAATAGAGTATGCATTGTACTCAATGATTGTTTAGTATTTGACATTTTAGTGAATTATGTAGGTAGTCACATATATTTATAATTTTGTTTTACAATCAATGTCTCAGATTCAGTGAAATGTCACAATTTGTTCAATTATGGAGAAGATACTATTTTTGCAGACATTCTACAGAGAAGTTATTTTTATATGCTTTCTAGTTGTGCTCAGATGAGATATGTTAGATGTCACTGAAATACTACTGTAGTAGTAGAACTATAAATAGGCCTTTTATGGTCCTTGGTCTACCTCAGGAACAGAGGCTGGGTCTGGTCCTTGCTGTTTTACAATTTGATTCTCATTAGCTATGGATGATAATCACTGATAAGTATTATATACCAGGCTAATAGCTTACATTAAGGCACTGACTGTCAGGTATTGGGAAACCTATGTCACTCTTCCAGGAATTCTACTCTCTGAGTTTTGAAATACCTGGGAAATCAGGTGGTTTATTGGTATAGGAGACAGGGAAGGGACTTCAGATGACTTTTGATGTGAGTAGAATTGGTGACTCATGTTTCTTATTTCTTCTCAAATTATGCTAAATGACATTGCATTTTTTTTTCTGGTCCTGAGGCGTGAACTAGAGTTTTGCCCAAGGTGAATGCTTTACCACTTGAACCACAGAGCAACTTCTGTTTTGTTTGAGTTTATGGAGATAGGAATCTCATGGAGTTTCCTGCCTGGCCTGGCTTTGAACTGTGATCCTCAGATCTCAGCCTCCTGAGTAGCTAGGATTACAGGTGTGAGCCACCAACACCTAAATTTTATCTGTTGTGATGTTTGCTTTCTTTTATCAAATTTCTATTACTTTGCTTTTGTAAAAAAAAAAGTTTAAGTGAAATATAGTGTTTTCTTAAACACTGCTTATTCATCTTATAGGCTGCCACATTAGTTCATGTTAGTAAGAACTTTTTTTTTGAAGATTTTTAACCTGACAGAAAACACAAAAGAAAAACAACCTGTTGTTCTTTTTCTACTGTCTTTCTCTCAGGTAGGGACTGAATCTACCTCTGTACCGCTTACTGCTTTTTTCTGGGCACCTTTGGTATACCTCATCATGCCTCCATCATTGCCTTGCACCCCCACACTTAGTTCAAGTGTTTTCTAAGGGTCAGTTGTGTCTTGTGTGTTTGTGAACATAATGTGATCTCTTCAATTGAAGTAAAGGTGTACTGTGAGGTCTGAATTGTTTCTTAAGTCTTATATTTCAAAGATTTTCCTGAGAGTTTTCTAATAATGATGTTTTGACTTTCTAGTTTTTATTTTGAGTTTCTTCCAAAAGGAGGTAAAATCTTTACTGCATCAGCTTGAGCCTGGGTGCTGTCCGTGAGCTTTTTTGCTCAGTACTGGCACTCTGTAAGTTGAGGCACAGCTCCATTTCTAGCTTTGTTAACTGCAAATAATCTCATGGATTTTCCTGCCTGGGCTGGCTTCATACCATGATTCTTAGAACTCAGCCTCCTGAATAGCTAGGATTACAGGTGTGAGCCACTGGCACCTGGCTTAAATATCTTAGTATCTGTGTACAAATGATTTTTTTCAAAGGGCTGTATTTCTATTAATGACCGAAACATAGAGGCTATTTCTAATTATTATTTTCTGAAACCTGTGGTTCCTCCTTCCAGCAAAAGGCAGTACCATTAGTAAGACAGGCAATTAAGATGATTTTCCAGTTTTTTTTAAGAAAAGCCTTTGTCTGCCTTCTGGGTATTCTCTTTGCCTAACACACGGAAACCTTATTGTGAGGATGTGACAATGCCTCTGCAGCAGTTTTGCTTTGCAAGCCACACTTTGCCAAGTCTTCAAGGAAGCAATGGGTGAGGTGAGAAAATATGACAAGCAATGGATTAGGTGGTGTGTGTTGTCTTATGACTTCCTCCTTGGAACCCAAATGTTAGATGTAACTCCCAACTATTTTCCTATATAAAATTAAGAACTGTGGCATTATTGGTGCTTGATCTTACTTTTTATTATAAAGCCCACATTGTTAAAGCTAACACTATTCATTGAATCAGGGAAAAAGAACAGGCATTATGTGGATAAAAACAAGTCAAGTGTGCATGCTGTCTTCCAAGATGTGAACAGGACTAAGAGAGATCTGAAATATCTAGCTTAAAAATAGCTACCTATACAGTCACCTTGTCTTCCCCTTATCTCTGTTGATGGCAGAGCACTAATTGTTTATAGCTAGGTTTGTTTTATTCCATTGTTAAATACTTAAGGAATACTATTCTGCAATTAAGTTCAATTTAAAAGTTTAGTAGGCCTTAACCATATTCCTTTGCTTCAGCTGTTAGGAATGAAGATCACAGATGTTAAGATCAAAACCATACAGCTAGAAGACTTTACTGTAAAACAGTTTATGGAGAGTTCAGGTCACTATGATAGTGCATCCGATGGCAGGTATGGTACGTGTTATCAGCTGTGGGCTATGGCAGTCAGTGGGGCTCTATAGTCCTCAGGATTTCCGGGTGGTCAGCCCTAGCTCCAGATGACCTCCTAGGACCAATCTTCTCTAAAAATTCTTAACTCTCACTATTCATATTTTTGTCAGAGTCCAGCTTTCCCAGGGAAGTTTGAAAACAGGATCCTCACTGACTGGCAGTTTTAAAAGGCTGAGGGCAGTTACAAGGGAGCTATTTCCTTGAGGAAGGGGCAACCAAATCTATGTGCTAAATACCTAAGACTAGGCAAGTTTAGGTGAGTCATGCTGAGTAAACCATTATGGAGTCAAAATTGTAGAGTGAATGAATATTCCTAAATTACATGTCTTTTTTAAAAAAACATGTCTTGATACAAGGAAAAACACACTAATGCTTTCTTTGTTCTTCCATGGGGGAAGTAATTCATAAAGTGGTTATTCTGTTGAAATACTGTGTTACTATGAGATGTTATGAGCTACAATTCCTGACAGCAACTAAGTTAGAAGTGTGTCCACCCACAGAAAAACTAGTAAAACTCATATTCTCAGAACTAGTCCCAGCCTTTTCCCACAACCGCAAAAAGATGGCCAAAAGTAAGGACTATGTCAACAGGACTTACATTATATAAATAATAATGCATCCATTATATACAAATAGGATTATATATGTTTATGAACATATATGTATATTAATACATTTATAAAGATATAGTTTATATTTGGTATTAACCATATAATTTTCTTAAAATGATCTGCCAACTATCTCGGTGTGTGTGTGTGTGTAAACCTGGTGAATGGTCAGATCAGCAATATTATGTACGGAAGCTTTTTAAAATATTGAAAATAATACATATATGAAAGACATTTAAACCTTTTTTTAAGTAGTAATGTACTTTTTGCTTTCCTTCTGGAAAGTCCTGGCCTCAAGATTAATTGTATCTATACAAAAACAATGAACATTGACAATATGCCAAAAAAAGTATATTCTTCTTTAAAGGGATGAAGGCAAAATTTTTCTTAAACTGTTTTTGTTGTTTTTTAATCTAAACTTTGGTAAGGGAAAGTTAATAAGAGTCATGAAATAAGATGAGCTAAATTTAAGAAAGCAGAATAAGATGTAACCAAGGTGGGTTTAGAAAACAGATGAAGGGGGCTGGGAAGGTGGCTCAGTGGTAGAGCGCTTGCCTTGCATGCCTGAGGCCCTGGGTTCGATTCCTCAGCACCACATAAGCAAAAAGAAAAAAGCCAGAAGTGGCGCTGTGGCTCAAGTGGTAGAGTGCTAGCCTTGAGTTGAAGAGCTGAGGGACAGCGCCCAGGCCCAGAGTTCAGCCCCATGACTGGACCCAAAAGAAAAAAAAGAAAACAGATGAAGGTAATTATTGAGCAAGACTAAATGACATTGCCATATTTCATTTTTTATATTTCATATTTTATTCAATTTTAATATGGTTTTCATTATTAACTCTTAAAACAAAATGATTTCCAGTTTAAAAAACAATGCGCTGACCACATAATTCCTTTTAAATTTTATACAGTTATACAAATATTCTAAACACACATTTTGTGTCCAAGATGGCGGCAAACGAGATTAACTGTACAATACATAACTGTACAATACTTAAGGAGAGAAAGTATTTTGAGCATATTTAGAAGCAATAGAAATGTCTATACAAAACAAGCAAAGATGGAATAAAATTTTTTATTTTTAAAGTATTGCAACAGGCCCACAGGTTTGTAACAAAAATGTCTTTGCACAGTTCCTCACAACGCCCCATTAATAGCTAATAAAGCAAGACAGCATTTTTTTGTTTTTGTTTTTTAGAAAATAATGTTTCAAAATGCTACACATGGTACTATTTGTTTCCACAGTCTGATCAAAATAACAAATCTACTTTTGAGTCAAGCAAAACCTAGAGGAAATATACCAAACAACTTGAAAATCATTTGTATAAAAATTCATTGCACATTATTTTACTCAGTTGTTTGAAAAGTAAAAAAGTATATTTACAAAATATTTTGCAGTCAAAATTATAAATTGAATGGATATTTCTAAGCAACACATCTTGATACAGAAGTTCAAGGAAAACACACAAATGGTATTTCTTTAAGAGGTTTTCAAAGTGTTCCTTCCACAGGGAAGTAAACATGATCTGTTCAAATGGATTTACAAGGTGGTACACATACTGGAGGCAAATTCAACACCTGCTTTATAAAACAATGTGAAAGAATGAGGAATTTGTACATTGTAAGAAGTGAGTTACTCTGAGATCAATGAGTATAACTTCTAATTCAGTTAACATAAAAGTCTTCATAGTCTTCAGATAACAGACAGACAATGAACATCCTTGATGAAAGTTGAGGAAGCACCATGCATGACAGCTTAGTGGTAAACACTGAACAAATAGCACCTGGAATTCTGAGATATTAATAATTTAAAACTGGTCTAGTAATTGCCGGAGATATGGTGCCTTGGATAATTCTCTATTTACTCGAGAGAGTTTGTAAAGTACTGGACAGTTCAGAGAAACACATGGGATATGTCGGTCAAAGGAACTTGTACAGTTCTTGCATATCTGTAAGCATAAGAGAAATACATAAAACAACAGGAAAACTAATATTTGTGTAAATAATGAAATTTTAAAATAATCCATCCTAACCTACTACAAGATTACTGGCAAACACACAACACAAAATAATGCATTACAGAAAATTTCTTTAGTTTTTATCTTTCAGAAGCCTAGCCTACCCTATGGGCAAAACATTGCTAAAGGATGTTATTTCACATAGCAGTACAAAATTTTCGAAAGAGCCATTTCATTTGAGAGATTAACTTTCATTTACAATAGAACTCTTTAAATTCACACAGAATGGTAACTTTCCAGCAAGATAATCACTAGAGATATCTGACACATTTTCCTTACCACAAAGAATAACCAACAGTTCAATTAGAGTATCTGATGGGAGCACTGGTGTAAGCTAGGGAAAGGGCAAAGAGGCTGAGGAACATGGAGATTCAAGAAGGCCTTCTATAAAGAGAACAAAGCATCCTTCATTTTCTAAGTTGTCTTCCTAATTGGAACCAGTTTAGATTTCTCACCATGGGAAAAAATTTAAGGAGGCCCATAGAAACTCCCATAGTCCCTGACCCTAGTTTTGGGAGCTGCTGGGAGTTTACATGACTGCACTGTCTTAGAAAAGTTTATTTAGGCCATAATGGACCTGGGCTGATGCAGCACAGAAAGCAGCTTGGCAACCAGCCCCATAGATGTGTACAACTCCACTCAACTGGACCTGAATTAGAGACATGCCTGTGTGTTCTGAGGTTCCTTGAAACAGGCTTGCCCTGAGGCTACAGAACTGCCCAGCAAAGCCAGCATATCTGGGAAAGCTCTGGCCAAATGGGAGGCCCAGCCCCATAAAACCTGCCGCTTTGGCCACTGAGACACTCATTGCTGATACTGAGTACAGCTGAGGAAACTACAGAGAGGCTAGAATATTCAGAATCATGTATTAGGACACATCTCCAAGAGAAGGTCTTTCACTATGAAAAACATAAAACTGATAGAAATAACTTATCAGATGTTACTGTAAAGACAATTAAAAGGCATAAAAACAGCAAGCATATGATTTCTTTAAGGGAATACATGAATTCTCTAACAGACCCTAAAGAAAAGTAAATCTATGAAAGGCCTGAAAAGGAATTTGAAGTATTATTTTAAGTTTATTTTTTAAGTACGGAGGTTTTGAATCAGAGCTTCCCACTTGTTAGGCAGGACTTTACCACTTGAACATGTCGTCTATTCATTCTGTTTCCGTAATTTTGGACTAGGATCTTGACTGGACTGATCTGAGCCAAGATTCTCCCTTTTATGCTTTCTGCTGGAATGACAGAAATGCACTAAATGGGGATGGCAGTTACGAACACATGACACTAAAGATTTCAAGTAAAACTTAAAGATGCAAATCAAGCAAAACAGACCAAGTCCAAAATTAGGAAAGGATAGTAAGGATCAGAGTGGAAGTAGATAAACTTAGACACCAATAACAACAGCACCACAAAGATAACAGAGAAAAGCTTTTTGTTTTTGTTCTTTAATAATAAGGGTTTATAAGCTTTTAGCTGGACTTGTAAAAAGAAGATCCAAATAAACCCAAGAACAACAACAAAACATTTGTTACAGATAGCTCAGAAATACAAGCACTAGGGAATACTATAAACAAATACCAACAAACTGGAAATTAGAAGAGATGTACAACCACAAAGATAAGGAAATCTGAATAATGCAGCAATAATAAAAAATAGAGAGGGATCTCAAAAAAAAAACTATAATGCTACCTTATGGACCAGTAATTCTACTACTACTAGGTATATATTCAAAATAAATGAAATTGTTGTATCAAAGTAATACCTGTACCTCATGTTTACTGCAGCTGTAATAGGGAAAATAGGAAATAGGAATAGCCAAAATAGGTAATCAATAGATGAATGGAAAAAATGTGGTTTATATATAAAAAGCCTTATAAGAAGGAAATTCTACTATGCAATATGAATGAGACTGGAGGACATTTGTGGTAAGGCACAGAAAGAAAAAATACCACATGTTCTCACTCATCTGAGAAAGGTCAAAAAGTTGATCTCATATAAGTATAGAAGCCTCGTAAAAATTTTGGGATGGTAATGCACAGGGAGGAGGTAAAGAGAGGTTGGATAAAGGTACCAAAATGTGGTTAGATAGGAAGAATAAGTTCCAGTGTTCTTTAGCACATAACGGTGATGATAATCCACAAGTTGCTGTAAGTTTCAAAATAGCTAGAAGAGAGTCATCTGAAAGTTCCTAACACAAAGAAATACAAGTATTCTTTTGGTCATTACACACTGTATATGTGTATTGAATTGTCACACTGTATGTATATCTATATCTATATAATTAATATGTATTGATTAGGAAAAAAATCACATAATGTATTACCCAATTACCAGACTATTTCTTTTTTGGGGCAGTATTAGGGTTTGAACTCAGAGCCTTATACTTGTTCTGCTTGCTTGCTTGGCTGGTGCTATATCATTTGAGCCAAGCCTTTAGCTGTTTTATCCTGGTTAGTTTGGAGACAGAGTCTCACAGACTTTTCTGCCCAGGCTGGCTTAAACATAAGATCCTCTGGCTTCCAGTCTCCTGAGTAGCTAGGATTATAAACATAAGCCACTGATACCTGGCTCAAAGAATGTATCTTAACTATAAACACTATTTTTCAAATTACATATACTTGTCTTTTAAAAATGCCAATAGTGAGAAAATTATTTTCTTATTTCAGAAGAAAAATGCCAGTTTGAAAATTAAATCATGTTAATTGGACAGTAGTAGTCTAGAGCAGGAGTTTGCAGCTGGCTAACAATGAGCTTAAAAATAAATTAGTCTGAGCCTTATCCCATGCCAAAGAATCAGAATCTCTGTGCATGAAAAGCTTAAGAATCTACAGTTTATAGAACTCCTAGGTCTTATGTACATTATGAACCAATGGAAAGAATAGTTGTGTGAGTCTAAGGACCAAGAAAATACAGTGTAACCAAGTTAAAAAAAAAGAGAGAGAGAAACCTGGATGGGGGTGGGCATGTGCTGGTGGCTCACATCTATAATCCTAACTACTCACTCAGGAGGCTGAGATTTGAGGATAGAGGTTAGAAGCCAGCCCATGCAGCAAAGTCCATGACAAATGGTAGAGCACTAGCCTTGAGCAAAAAAAGCTCAGGGACCGTGACCAGGCCCTGAATTCAAGCCCCAGGACCAGTACAACAAACAGAGAGAGACAGAGAGAGAGAGAGAGAACCTACAGTGGCATCAGTATTCTCATCTACCATGGAGGCCGAGGAAGGAGGAAAACCCAAACCCAGGAATTCTAGGTCAAAGTGGGAATACTGCTTACAAACATATGCTTTAGTTTAATCAAGCATGCTGTTCTTTTAGAAAGCCTTTCAGTAATTATATCTTTGTCAAGAGACAAGTCACTTCCCCACAACAGAATTTCTGTATTACAGCTGTATGTACTAAAGTTATACTCAAGTGCCAAGACAAACTGATAAAATATTTAAGAACTCTGTGTGTCTGCTAAATAATCCACAATGGAGTTAGCTGACTTACTAAATTTAACTAAAAGGTTTAGTTTCAAGATCTTTTTACTGATTTATATCCTGAGTATTCTGCATTTAAAATTTTGAGCAACCCCAACTTAGAAACCTTTTTATTTCATAATGGAACATTTAAAAACAATCTCCTTTATTCTTTATGGATCCTTTCTTTTTGCTTTTTTTTTTTGTCGGTCGTGGGGCTTGAACTCTGGGCCTGGGCGCTGTCCCTCAGCTCTTAAGCTTAAGGTGAGCGCTCTACCACTTGAGCTACAGCGCCACTTCCGGTTTTCTGGTGGTTTATTGGAGATAGGAGTCTCACAGTCTCTCCTGCCCGGGCTGGCTTTGAACCACGATCCTCAGATCTCAGCCTCCTGAGTAGCTAGGATTACAGGCGTGAGCCACTAGCACCCGGCTTCTTTTTGCTTCTTATAAAAACTTCATTCAGATGTTTAATACATTTACTTTCATTCTTTTATGTTAAAGTCATTTTATGTTATGTTAAAGTCTCTTTTCTGAGATTTGCTATGGCTAAGCTATAATCTCTTATGCAGCTTTTAAATTTTGTTTTAAGAGGAACTACTGAAGTTCACAAATGAAGGGATCATTTGGTTTCTTATTTTTAGAATTCATTATTACTTTATAGCACTGTATTGATAAAAATGTCATTGGTGGGGCTGGGAATGTGGCTTAGTGGAAGAGTGCCTGCCTAGCATGCATGAAGCTCTGGGTTCCATTCCTCAGTACCACATACACAGAAGTGGTGCTGTGGCTCAAGTGGTAGAGTGCTAGCCTTGAGCAGGAAGAAGCTCATGGACAGTGCCAGGCCCTGAGTTCAAGCCCCAGAACTGGCAAAAAAGAAAAAAGAAAAAAAAGTTATTGATAATATTTCCACTTTTTGAAATTTGTTGATTCTTTACAAACTAAGATATGATCAAATTTTATAAACACTTAAGAAGTATGTCATTTAATTTTGGATTACAGAATTTGATAAAAGTCATAGGACTACTTTATGAGTTGTTTAAATATTCCATCACTTGATTAGTACTGGGTTAAGAAATGTATTAACATTACTTATTGAGAGAGAGAGAGAGAGATTGTGTGTGTGTGTGTGTGTGTGTGTCCTGAGGCATGAATTCAGGCCACAAGTGGCTAACTGGAGATTAAGGATCTTACTGATTCTCTGGCCCAGCTAGCTTCGGACTGAGATTCTCTTGAGTAACTAGGACTATAGATAGGCATGAATCACTGGGTCCTGGCTTACTATGTTCTTCTTACTTCCTGTTCTGTAATTCCTAATGTATGAAAGTTTTTACAATAAGAGGGAGCACAGAAATGAGGGGACAAAGGTGAACAAAAATGCAGCAGTGGTACTTGCTAGACACTATGTTGAAAATGAACTATATGGGCTGGGAAGGTGGTTCAGTGGTAGAGTGCTTGCCTTGTAAGCATGAGGCTCTGGATTTGATTTCTCAGTATCACATAAGCAGAAAAAGCCAGAAGTGTGCTGTGGCTCAAGTGGTAGAGTACTAGCCTTGAGCTGAAGAGCTGAGAGACAGCGCCCAGGCCCAGAGTTCAGGCCCATGACCAACAGAAAAAAAAAGAAAAAGAAAAAAGAAAATGAACTATACAAGTTGTGGGTGGAGATGGGAGGGAAAAACAAGGGAAGAGGTGAAACTACCACCAAAGAAATGTACTCATTCCTTGACTTATGAAACGGTAACCCCTCTGAACATCACCTTAACAATAACAATTAAAAAAAATTTCTACAGATTAGAATATGGAAAACATGTTTTAACCAAGTTTGAAAAAAAACCCTGTAGTTTAAATATCTCTTGAAAGCTAAGTCTTTTAAACTTTCTTTTAAACTTTTATTTCTTTTAAAGTTTATTTATTTGAAAGTACATTCAAGCAAAAAGAAATGGAGCTTTTGCCAAGCAAAAGGGTTACTTAATCTATATTTTATAAAAAGGCCTATTGTCCCAAGAGAAGGTTGCCCAAGCTGCATTTCATAAAAGGCCTATTGTAAGAATGCCCATCAAGAAGGAAAGTGCTGGTTAAACTGATAGCACCAATTAGTATGGTATTGGTCACTGTGGGCAGAAGATAACAAAGGTCTCAGAAGAGACTACTCAGTGGCCTAAAGTTTCTGCTCCTGTCAGTATGCTATACTAGGGACCAACAAAAGAATTTTCTGTGAGTTGATGATTGTAATTGTGACACACCTATAGAATAAGACAAGCTAAGAGGGGCTGGGAAGGTGGCTCAGTGGTAGAGCGCTTGCCTTGCATGCATGAGGCCCCTGGATTTGATTCCTCAGCACCACATAAGCAAAAAGAAAAAAGCCGGAAGTGGTGCTGTGGCTCAAGTGGTAGAGCACTAGCCTTGAGCTGAAGGACAGTGCCCAGGCCCAGAGTTCAGGCCCCACGACCGGATGCCCTCCCCCCCCCCCCCCAATAAAAGAATAAGACAAGCTAAGATACTCAGTTCGGCGGTTATACTGACTAGGACCACAAAACTAATACAAAATGGCTGAAGGTTGCTTGGTAATATTCTAGCTAAGTATTGTTTCTTTAGTCATATATTGAGCAGGAAATCATTCATTCCTAAGTATTTACATACCACCACTGTGACTGGAATCCATGCTAGGTACAGCTGATAGAACAGGGAGAAGGGCAGCGCGATTCTGCTCTCACCTGCTCACTTGATGTTACTGGTGAAGATACAAGAATAAGCAAAGGAAAGCAGAGGAGGTTATGGCAGGAGTTCACTCTAGAGAAAGCTTCATTATGTGTTTAAATTGGTTCCTCGCAGATGATTAGATGGAGATGAGGAAAGCATTCCTGATAGACAGAAAAGGGAGCTTAAAGATCAGAAGATGGAAGAGATTATAGTACATGCACAGAAAAGTTCTGGATAGTAGTGTGGAGGGTAAAGTGAAGCAACAAAAAGGGCAAGAAAGCCGGGTGCTGGTGGCTCACGCCTGTCATTCTAGCTACTTAGGAGAGTGAGATCTGAGGATCACAGTTCAAAGTCAGCTCGGGCAGGAAAGTCCGTGAGACTCTTATCTCCAATAAACCGCTAGAAAACCGAAGTAGCGCTGTGGCTCAAGCGGTAGAGCGCTAGCCTTGAGCTGAAGGGCGCAGGGACAGTGCCCAGGCCCAGAGTTCAAGCCACACAACTGACAAAAAGACAAAAAAAAAAAAAAAGGGCAAGAAATGGTGACAAAAGGATAGCATTACAGTTTGAAAAAGACTTAAAAACCTTGTTAATGAGTGTGAACTTGGGAGATGTTTTGTTTAGATTTCCTAACTTCAACAAATGTTGAAATAAACACAGCTGTTTATTTCTGCTGTAATTCCCACATTTGAAAAATTATCTTTGCCTTTTATGTCTACATCACAGCTCAGTCACTTACTAGGAATATAATATGCAAACTGCTTAACTTCTCTATACCAGCTTATTTAACTGAAAGAGTGCCTAAACAAGTCTCAATCATGTTAGACTCAATCACTTTAATTATTTTCGATTTGGATTCTTAGACTTGCACATTTCAAATTTACTAACAATTCTCTAAGATATTATTTATAATAATACAATATCAAGTGTTAAAAGTAACTGGAGGGGCTGGGAAGGTGGCTCAATGGTAGAGCGCTTGCCTTGCATGCTTGAGGCCCTGGGTTCGATTCCTCAGTGTCACATAAGCAGGAAAAAAAAAGCCGGAAGTGGCGTGTGGCTCAAGTGGTAGAGTGCTAGCCTTGAGCTGAAGAGCTGAGGGACAGCGCCAAGGCCCAGAGTTCAGTCCCCATGACTGGACCCCCCCCCAAAGTAACTGGAATGTTTCTTTTTTTTTGGGGGGGGGTCCGGTCGTGGGGCCTGAACTCTGGGCCTGGGCACTGTCCCTCAGCTCTTCAGCTCAAGGCTAGAGCTCTACCACTGAGCCACAGCGCCATTTCCGGCTTTTTTGTTTTTGCTTATGTGCTGCTGAGGGCCTCATGCATGCAAGGCAAGCACTTTACCACTGAGCCACCTTCCCAGCCCCGTTTCTTATTATTAAAAAAATGCTATTATAAAAGAAACTGAAGCTGGGCACTGATGGTGGTTCACACCTAAATCCTAGCTACTTAGGAGGCTGACATCTAAGGACTGAGACTTAAAGCCAGCCAGGGCAGGAAAGTCTTTAAAACTTATCTCCAATAAACTACTCAAAGAAAACTAGAAGTAGAGCTGTGGTAGTGTTAGCCTTGAGCAAAAAAGCTTAGGGACAGCCCCTAGGCCCAGTTTAAGCTTGTGCGTGTATATGTATATGCACACGCACACACACAAAATTAAGAAGATGGCCATTCTATCTTTTAATATATACAATATATATTATTTCATAAGAACAAAAACTAAAGCATAAAAGAACTTAAACCATTTTTAATCCTTAAATTCAGTTACAATAATTTTAGACTTTAGGAAGTTTGTTTAAATCTTCATTTTTCACATCAGTTTCATATCTCATACTATAATTCATCGAGAGTTGACTGCACCTCTCTGAACAGTATGAGTACTTGGGATCCTGGGTCTACTGAACAAGGCCATACCTTTACAAGTTGCTCCTGTTTTCGTTCCAATTCTCGAATTTCTTGGTTGAGAATGATTGCAACATGTTGAGGCTGGCTCCGACATTTACTACAGATGCCATGCTGAGTCAGGTCATCGCACACAGGACAGTGTAAAGTAGTGAAATACTGTGAAATAGTGCCTTTTCGTCCTTCAGGTTCACTGTGAGAGGAGTTGGTAGTTTTCTGGATCTACAAAAACATCAATTCAGAAATGAATCTTAACCACACAGCAGACCCCCTAATCTCATGCTAATTACAGTCATTATCCTGCTTTCCTTACCTCTCCTTTCTCCTCTCCTTTTCTTCCTCCCTTCCATAGTTAACTATATGCCACATTTGATACTGGGTCTACAGAATGAACCAAATACTTGGTTTCACGGAGCCTACATCTGATAATATCATCAGATATAACAACTTCTTAGACAGTAGGGTGAAAAATTCCAGCAAAAGTAAATCTAGGAATTCTTCAGTTGAAATTAGTAAGGGCTTTCTTTTAGTAGTCTAGATTTTGGTAGTACTGGGGTTTGCCAGTACAAGTGCTATACTCTTAGCTCTTTGGGAATTATTTTTTTTACATTGAAATACTATTATTATATGCTTCAAATATTCTTCTGGTATCTCATAAATCACTGCGTGAAAGTTGTTGAGTTAGTGTCTTACAAACGCTATTGGTACTATGTGCCAGTGGCTCATATCTGTAACTCTAGGTCAGGAGGAAAATCATAGTTTAACACCCTGAGCAGAAAAGTCTAAAGACTCTATCTTCAATTAACCAACAAAATGCCAATTGGAGGCATATGTAGCTCAAGTAGTAGAGTACCAGCCATAAGGAAGAAAGCTGAGTAAGAATATGAGGCTCTGATTTCAAGCCCAAGTATCAGCTTCTGAACAAACAACCAAAATGCCATTAGCGTAACATTCTTGCTGAAATGAAAAACAGTAACTTTACAACTTTGGTGGGGGGCGGGGGCGGGGAGGATTAGGTGGGGGGTGGGGGGAGGATGGGAAGGGATGGGAAGGGGAAACAAAGGAGGAGGCTACAATGCTTGATAAGAAATGTACCTTGCCCATGTAACTGTAACCCCTCTGTACAGTATTTTCACAAAAATAAATAAAAATTAAAAAAAAAGAAAAACAGTAACTAAATAAAAAATCTGGATTTCCCAGCACGGATACAGCATTATAGGTGTCAATCAGTACAAATTCTCTAAAACATAACTAAGAATTCAAGCAAAGTTCCCTGTTTCCACACTCCATTTTTTTGGGGAGGAGGGATAGAGGGCTACCCAGGGCTTGAACTCATCTCCTCACATGTTCTGTCAGCTTGCTTGCTCATGGCTGGCATTCTATCACTTGAGCCATGCCTCCAGTTCTTTTTTCTCTGGTTATTTTTGTGATAGGGTCAAGCTTTTTAGTGTATGTGCCATTTCTGGGGCTGGAACTCAGGACTTGGGCGCTGTTCCTAAGCTTTTTTTTTTTTTTTTTTTTGTTCAAGGCTCACTCTACCTACCACTTGAGCCACAACTCCACTTCTGGCTTTCTGGTGGTTGACTCAAGGACTTTCCTGCCCATGGTGACTTTGAATAATCCACAGATCTCAGCATACTGAGTAGGTAGGATTAAAAGCGTGAGCTATCAGTGCCTAGCTAGGGTTATGCTGTTATGCCTGGGCTATATAGTTTTCTTCCTGTTTACCATGATGATGAGATGAGAAGTTCATGCCACTGTATCTAGCTTTTATTGGTTGAGACAAAGTCTCATATAGTTTTCGCCTTGTTTGATACTTCCTAGGTACATATGATTATACATATGAAGTCACCATACCTACTTCCTTTATATTTCTTAAACATCCACTTTGAAGAAATATTTGTTCTTCATTAATTTTCTAATAGCTGGTTTACTCTGAGTTATTTTCTGGCTAAATGTTTACCATGGAAAATCTTGTTTGTATTTTTGAAATTTGGGCAACCTAATAGAAGCTAAGAAGGTGTTTATAAAAAACAAAAACAACACTATGTTGAAAATGAACTTTACAATGTCGGGGTGGGGTGGGGGTGGGAGGAGTTGGGGAGGTGGGGATGGAAGTGATGTTAGGGGGAAAACAGAGGAGGAGGTGACAATGCTCGCTATGAAATGTACTCATTACCCTACTCATGTAACTGTAACCCCTACAATAAATATATATATATAAAAAAACTTAAATTTTTTTTTTAAGGAATCAGAGAAGACCATTTTCCTGTCTCACAGCAGAGAAATATAATTTTTAGTTGTACTGGAAATCTTAAGTGAAACAGATACAAGCACAGGTACTCTTTAGTAAACTCACCCTCGGTAACTCATGATACCAGCTGAAGACATCAATACCAATAAGTGAGAAGACTCTTGCCAGGGGTGGGAGGATCTGCTTAGTGATATAGTAAGTGGCATTCAGCCTCAGAGTTGGATCCTGAAGAACTTCTGCTGGGCGCCTTACCAGCTGGATAAGTGGAACTCCAGGAGTTCCATAAATAATGACATATGGCACTCGTTCCCCAACACGAGGTTCAGAACGCCGGTCATAAGCAAGCATTTTCCTATGCAAACCCAGATAAAAATCACAATCAAAGACTGTTATAGATGGCACCTTTCCAATACATTTAAAGTCAGAATTAACAAAACCATGAGAAATCTACTAGGATCTAAATTCTTGAATCAGTATTATGGACTTCCTGGTTATTTTGATATAGGAGAAACGAACACATCAGAGGTCATAATTTCACTGTTTTTGGTTTTCCAAGGAAAACTAAGAGGAGGAATACCCACAAAGTATAAGGAACATTCATCTTTAGAAAGAGTTCATGTGGGCGAATGGAGAAAAACAACTTGTAATGTCTATTGATGGTGGACTAGGTCTCTTTTTCATTTACCTAAAGTCTTTGCAGATTACTGGGACTACCCCATCTAGGTACTAAGGGCTGTGCTGTTGCCTACATCATTACCTTGTAAGTTCTAGAGCTGGAACACAAGCTCCAGGTTTGTAAGAAAAACTTCCTCTGTATTCCTTGGCAAAGATAAAATCTTGTATGCTGGCCTTTCCTTCCAGAAGTTTCATACATTGTCGCTGAACATACTGCTTAATTAGACTTATATCTCTTGTTTCAAACAGCAGCTTTAGAGAACGTTCAAGTATCTTAAAACAAAACAGATTTGCACATAGATAAAATATTTTGTGACATCACTGTCTCAAGACATATACACGTAGGCATGCATACATACATACATGTACACATTCATACTGTAACTAGTAGATAATTTGCTGATCTATCTAAGCACTTGAAAGTATTTTTGAGACTATACAGCTTGGCGTTTCTAAAGACAGATTATATAGTTTGAGAAAAAGCATGTTGGAATCATAGTCAGATAAACATTTGTTATAAAAAGAGCAATATAAAACATTAAGTTTTTCTCAGTCAAAGCACTCTAGACATCAAAAATAAGATGTGATTTCATTTATGGTTTTTGGCAGTACTCAAGTTTGAACTCAGGGCCTTGTGCTTGGTAAGGTTACTGCTATACTGCTGAGAGATGCCTCCAGTTCTGTTTTCTGTTGACCACTTTTCTTAGCATAGTGGTTTACTTCCTACCCAAGTATATGCTGGAGGTGGGATCAGCCTACTTTTACGCTTCTAGTCATCTCTGGGATCATAGGCATATGCTACCAGGTCCAGCTTTCTTTTCCTTGGAGATGTAGTCTTATAGACTTCTCTGCCCTGGCTGGCCTCAAACTTCAATCCTCCTATTCCTCAGCCTTCCAAGTAATTAGGATTACAGGTAGGAGGCACCAGCACCTAGTGACTTTTTTTTTAATTAAAGGACCCAAGTCAGCTATGGAACAATAAAGCAGCTTAAATAACATGAGTCAAATGAAAAAATGACACTTTGCCTTTATTTAGTATTGATGAATAATTATGGCAGAATTTTGTTAGAAATAAATCTAGGAAATAAACATATAGTGTATGTAGCAGCCTGAATTTAAATTAATTCTAGGTGAAAATACTATATCTTATTTTGATAATGAAATTTATATATACTTATACATACACTTATTTATTTTTAGTTACAATTCTAGCCACAAGGGTAGAAGGTACTGGATATTCCTTCCAGGAACTACTACTGAATAATACTCCCAATTTATTTACTATATGATATATCCACAAAAATCAAATTATGTTTTAAGTGTTCTCATAAAACTCAGTAGTACTATTTTCATTTATATCATATATTTTTGGTTTGTCTAAGTTAAAAAAAAAGAGAAATACTATAGTGAAAATTACTAAGATGGGAAAAATTTAGGGGACTTATATACCAGTGTTCAGAAATTTTCCCAATTTGTATCTAAATGAAATTTTATTTCATTTAATTCGACTGTGTTACTTATGAAATTGGTTTGTGAATTTCTCTTCTTTATCCTTTCTATGTTTTGGAAATAGTCTAGTATGTCCTATTTTAACCATCTAAGTGATAGAAAAACTCTTACCAGTTAATGTATACATTTTTAACACTTTTTTTTAACAACAAGCCAGAAACTAATGACTAAAATAAAATTGTTTTATTAGAAAAAAATTCTCAAAATTCATATAGTTCCACCTATATAGTTACCTGTAGGATATATTTCCTTCACCTAGATGTGTGATTAAAGATAAGTTACATTTACACAAGATTCATTTTTGTATATGTGCTAGTACTAGGGCTTGAACTCAGGCCTGGGCACTGTCCCTTTGGTTTGTTTTGCTTAAGACTAATGCTCTGCATTAGTCAACTTCCGTTTTTTTGGTGATTAGAGATAAAGAGTCATGGGTTTTCTTGTTTGGGCTTGCTCTGAACCTTGATCCTCAGATCTCAGCTCAACTAGCTAGGATTACAGGTGTGAACCACTGGTGCCTGGTTATAAAATTTTTTTTTACTCACTTCTTATGCACAAAAGGTACATAGAACTTACCTTAGAAACAGCAGGGCAAGAATCTCTTCTAACAGTTTCTATTCCTTTTGCATCGAATACTGGTTCCTTTTGGTCCAGTGTTTCATACATATAACCCACATACCTCTTTTTTGTTTGTAACACACAGGGCAAATATACCTGTGGTAAAAGTAACATAAAGGCTCTCAACAGTCATTTCTCCCACATGACTACTTTGTCTTTTTTTGGTCTTTACTCAGATGACAACTATAAAAACATTCAAAATATGACAGGATACAATGAATGCATATCTCCACCTGGATATGAAAATGCACAAAATGATCTACTATCTTTACTTCTTTACCACTCACTCTTACTTTTATACTACAAAATTTTCTGCACCTCAAATGATACTGTTGTCTCCTACCATCCACTTTCTTTTTTTGCATGCAATATTATTTTTTAATTCACCTTTATTGTCAAGGTGATGTACAGAGGGGTTACAGTTACATAGTAGTGAATATGTTTCTTGTTGAACTTGTTACCCCATCCATCTTCATTTTTAGTTAGTTTTTTTTTTTTGCCAGATGCAGAGTTTTAACTCAGAACCTCATAAACTTGGCTCAGCTTTTAACACAGCTGGTACTCTATTTTAGCAATACCAATAGTGCTGCTTACTTTGGAGTTATAATTTCAGACTTTTATGCCTGGGCTGGCTTTGAAACTGTGATCCCCCAGGTCTGATCTTCCTGAGTAGCTAGGATTACAAGTATGAGTAATTGACTTCTTAATTTAGTTTACTTCTAGATATGGCATAAAACTGAAATGTTATGAGAATATACACCAAGAAGTCCTTTAGTCTCTAGTTTCTCTCTCCTAGTGGCATTCTATTATTCGTTTCCTGTATATTCTTTCAGAGATACTCTGATATATTTCAGAGATATTTTTCTCCTTATACAGCATCACTATACAGCATTTTGCACCATGAGTATTCAGTTAATATTTAATTGTAGAGAACATTCTATCCTATACAAAAACTCAGTTTGTTTTGTAGTTACATCACAGCCAATGTATGAAGATATCATAATTTATGTAGTCAGTACCTACTATGTGTTATTTAGGATAATTTTAATATTTAGGAATTGAAAAGTGTTTTAGTACACAATTGCACTTAGGATAAATTCCTTAAGGTGGAATTCCTGGAGCAATGATTTTTGATAAATTCTTTTTGGGGGGATGTGGGGAGGGTGTGCAAGTCCTGAGGCTTAATTCAGGGCCTGGGCTCTGTCCCTGAGCTTTTTTTTTTTTTCTGGTCATGGGGCTTGACCTTTAGGCCTGGGTGCTGTTCCTCAGCTCTTCAGCTCAAGGCAAGCATTCTACCACTTGAGCCACAGCACTACTTCTGGCTTTTTCTGTTTATGTGGTATTGAGGAATTGAACCCAGGGCCTCATGCATGCCAAGCAAGCACTCTACCGCTGGCTGAGCCACCTTCCCAGCCCTCCTTGAGCTTTTTTTGCTCAAGGCCTGCACTCTACCAACTTGAACCACAGCTCTACTACTGGCTAGTTTATTCGAGTTAAGAGTCTCATGGACTTTTCTGCTGGAGCTGGCTTCGAAACTCGATCCTCTTACCTTTTCAAACTTCAATTTCACTGGTTTAGGATTGGTAGCAGTTACAGCTTCAGCAATTTCTTGACCAATCTTAAAAGACTGCTCCTTAGTGGCTCCTTTCAGTAGCACAAACATACTAAAATGGATTAAAAATATAGTATAATAATGAGGAAGTCATTATAACAAAAAATTTCCTAATACTGTAAGCTATGAATGTTAAGTTGCTTCTAACTTTCCTGGGTATCCATAGGTATTACACTTTCCTTGGGTATTCATGGTATACATTATTATAGCTCTTTAAGATATCCAATATTTCTAGCTTAGCTATAAGTAGCTTAGATATCACAGCAGCCAAAAAGGTCATGGATCATCCCTAGATATTTAAGGCTATGTATATGACATAGTTAAGTCCATCATAAAATAACAGAACCTGTGAAATAAAATGAAAATTTCACTTGTGATATAGGGGGAAAATTCTTTCCAGAACTACAAAAACAATAAAAAACTGTGTTCACTGAAGTATAATTAGTAAGCACAAAAAGACACAAGAAAAAATCCTACCAAAGACACTATAAGCATTTTGTGTAAATGTTTAGATACGTTTTCCTTTTTTCATTTATTATAATAGATTGTATTGTATAGTAACTTTCTTCCAGCATCTAATGATTTATTATGAGCACTTTCCCATGTCATCTAGTTCTTTTACACTATTTTTACCATTACAATGTGTTAAATTTTTTTTTTGTCAGTACTGGGGATTGAACTTAAAGCCCTAGTGCTTAGGCAGGTACCTTACAACTTGAGCTAGACTTCTAGACTCTTTTTTACATTGGTTATTTTTGAGCTAGGGTCTTGCTTTATGCCTCAGACACTGGGCTTCCCTATAGCTAGGATATCAGGCACAGGCCACCTACATCTAGCCATTGAATGAGACAGAATCTCACGAAGTTCTTTTTGCCTAGCCTGGCTTTGACCCTTGATCTCTGCTTTCCAAGTAGCTAGGATTATATATATAAGCCATGGTACCCAGTCAGTGGCACTGTATTTAATGTATAGCTATATTATAATTTAAGCTCTTACTTTCAAACATTTAGGTTGCTTCACTGTTTTGGTTTTTGGATAAGATTTCATATAAAATAATTGCCTGACACAATTCCATATCCTTATTAAAATTTTTTTAAAAGGTACTATCAAACTGAATTCCAGAAAGATATTTCTGAGATGTATTTCCACAAACAACATCAGCAAGTCGGTAAAGAAAAATTTCTAATACAGATTTGAAAAATACCAATATAGATAGAAAACACTTAAAAATAATTAATAGCTGGGTGCTGGTGGCTCATGCCTAAAATCTTAGTTACTAAAAAGTCTTAACTCTGAAGATTGTAGTTCCAAGCCAGCCTGGTTAGAAAAGTCTCTGAGACTCTTATCTCCAAGCAGCAAAAAGCTGGAAATAGAGAAGTAGCTCAAGTGTTAAAGCACCACTTGAGAAAGAATAAGACCCTGGCTTCAAGCTCCAATAATGGGGAAAAATGAAAAAAAAAAAAAACAAATAAAACTGAAGTACAGTATTTTTTTTTCTGATTTAATTCAGTTAACTTCCCATTTTGGTATATACTACAATCTAAAAACCAACAACACCAATAAAAGCTAAGCACACATTGACTAATAAATATTAGTTCGGCTGGGCACCAGTGTCTCACACCTATGATCCTAGCTACTCAGGAGACTAAGATCTGAAAATGGAAGTTCAAAGACAGCCTGGGCAGGAAAGTCTGTGTGACTCTTATCTCCAATAAACCACTCAGAAAACCTGAAGTGGTACTGTGGTTCAAGTGGTAGAGAGCTAGCCTTGAGCTGAAAAGCTGAGGGATAGCATCCAGGCCCAGCATTCAAGCCCCATAACCGACAAAAAAAATAAAAGTAATAATAAATATTAGTTCACTTTTAGTGAATAAGATTCTTATTTCCAACCACAAAGAAGACAATCTTACATTTCTTCATTTTTTTTTTTAAGATGTGTTGGACTGGACTTAAACTCCATGTGAAATATGAACCCCAAAAAGCATGAGGCCCCTGAATTCAAGCTTTCATACTGGCAAAACTCTTTCCCTGCCTATACTGGAGATAGTACTTTCTTTAGGGCTTAATATGAAAGTTTTAAAAAAGAAAAAGAAGTAATTTATTGTTTTACTTAAGGTTATTTATTTATTTAGGGTGCTGATCCTGGGCTTGAACTCAGGGTTTGGGTGCTGTCCCTGAGCTTTTTTACTCAAGCCTAGCACTCTACCACTTGAATCACAGCTCCATTTCCAGCTTTTTTGAGTTAATTGGAGATACATTGTCCTGAATTTTCCAACCTGTAGTCCTCAGATTTCATCCTCTTGAGTAGCTAGGACTACAAGTGTTAAGCTTCTGATACCCAGCTACTTAACTTTAAAACTTACTAAGGTAGGAAAAATAGCCTTAGATATCTAAGTTATAAAATTAAATGGACCTGTGTATGCACACATTGTATATTCTCTCTCTCTCACCATGGTCTTCACTTTATCACATTGGAACGGGGCAATAGCATAAATCACATACTTCTAGAATAGTAGAATAGCACTCACATCTATATTCTCTAATCTTTCCTTCCCAATTAGAATAATTACACACACACACACACACACACACACACACACACACACACACACACACACTCACCCATGTATTCTATCTTAAAAAGTTATTACAAGGTACATATTTTGAGATTTTTTTAACCAATAGAAAATTTGTTTTTATTATTATCTTTAATAGTTGTACAAAGGGGTTGCCTTAACAAAGCAGTTTATAAATATATCTTGATCAGTGTCACCCCTTCCATTATTTTTACCCCCTTACTCCCCCCTCCCCTGCTTAGTTTTGTAGGATACACATTGGAATTGTCTGCACATTCTTCTTTTCCTCTTCATTTGAATACCCTTTCCCCCTTAACTCCACCCTACCCATTTCCAGTATCAGCTTCCTGCTGTTAATTTGCTTTTCTGAGGAATTATACCATTTGAGTTCTTCCTTGAACCTACTGTATTTTAGTTAATACATTTGTATACACTTGCATACCACCCAGTGTATTTACTTATGAGTTTGTAAGTTAAATCCAGCTTTCACATATAAGGGAAAACATGCATCCTCTGTCTCTCTGTGCCTGACTTGTTTAATTAACAGTTTTCTTCCAAGTCTTTCCATTTCTTTACAAATGGTACAATTTTCTAACAGATGCTGGAGAGGTTGCAGCCAAAGGGGATCCTAGTAGATGTTGATGGGACTTCTTTGACCATTCTGGAAAGCATTGTGAAGGGGCCTCAAAAAAATTAACCATAGAACTATCCTATGACCTGGCAATCCACATGTGAAATAGGCAGGCATGTGTGATGATGAAATTTTAGATTTTATCCATTGTTAGTGAGTTTGTTTGCTAGTGCCTATGCTATTTTGACCAATTTGATTTGGAGCTAAGTTTTAAAAGAACTGGCCAGGATTACCCTAAGTTTTTGATCACTTAACAGAAACATGGCTAGATCAAAAAGAATCTCTGAAAATGAATTTTCATTGGTGTTTTCAGTCCATTTTAAATAACATTAACTTTTCGGTAAGAAGCTCAAATACCCATTTAAGAGCATTGATTTTCATGTAGAAGGGCATGAGTGGGGATATGATAACTGCCTAGAAGGCTTTTTAAAATCTTGGAGTTAACATATATTTGTAATATAAGAGGGTTTCATTGAGCTTTTCTTAACTATACTCAGGTGAATTTTCCCAAGCAATTTTGATTCTAGTTCCCTAGCTTCATAGTATGTGTCTTGTCCAAGTCCTTTCCTATCCTGCCTGACAATCACTATAATAAAAAGGTCCAATCACTGATCAAAATAGGTCATATCCCAATGGGTTGGATAAATATGACTGAAAACCACTACATATGAAATAACTATTTTGTACATAACAACACTAACAGTATGTTTATTATACTTTGTAAATGGACAATACTGAGTAGAAATGAGAAGAAAATCACTCTTCTGAGTTGTTTTTTTTTTTTTGTTGGTCATGGGGCTTGAACTCTGGGTTTAGGAGCTTTCTCTGTGCTCTTCAGCTGAAGGTGAGCGCTTTACCATTGGAGCCACAGTGCCACTTCTGGTTTTCTGGTGGTTAATTGGAGATAAGAGTCTCATGGACTTTCCTGCCTGGGCTGGCTTTGAACCACGATCCTCAGATCCCAGCCTCCTGAGTAGTAAGGATTACAGGCATGACCTACCAACGTCCAGCTCTTCTGAGTTCTTTTGATGCTTAAGTAGCTGACTGCCCTTAGCTAGGCCTTAAAATTTCTTTTTAATGAATCATGATTTTTTGTTTTTGCCAGTATGGAAGGTTGAACTCAGGAGCCTCAAGCTTGTTGGAGATGGTTGTGTTTCTATTGAGAATGCATGCTTTAAATGAACTGCCCTTACATTGATTTCAGAATCATGGCAACTTCTGATTCTGTGTATTGATACCCTGATTTAAAAATTAACATTTTAAATGGTTAACTTTCTTCTCTTCCCAAGTATTTCTGAAGAATTCTGCTAGCAAGTACAAAGTTTTGCTTTACAGTCACACTCGTTTTGTTAGAATACCTAGCCAGAAGTAGTTTTATTGAGCAGAGAAATAACAAAAGCCAAACTAACCAGAATATGAACAATTAAGAGTTAGGATAGTTTGAAACTATCCCCATCTGCTAGTAATAAAAAAAAAGTCTATTGTAACAAGTTTGTATTCAGCATTAATATGATAATGTTCATTGTACATTTTAAAGGACTGAAAGAGATTCAATGGTATTTCAAGATTACTTATACAAGCTATTTTTAATGATTAAGAAGTTATCTTTTATTGCTCTGCTGTACTGCAAAGTGAGTGATCAGAGGTTCCAAGACACACACTTTCATCATGATTACACTGTTTAAACCCTCATCACGAAAATAAATTTCAGACTATAGGCAATATATAATTTTTATATTTTAGAGGATTTTCAATTAAGTAATATAAGTAAAATATTCAGCTTGGCCCTGAAAAATATTAGAGGAAATAAGCAAGTAAGCAGTAATTTAGGATTTACAAATCTGTACCTGTTCTATTCTTTGACAGTAACAATGGACAATGGACTCGCAGAAGTCTGCAGACTTTCTGGTATCAAATGGTGACCTGTACTTGCTTATGTGTACTTCCCTTAGAAAAAGACCAATAGATTCTGGGGCCCAATACAAGGCTAACGCTACACAGTTTGGAGTAACTTTTTCAAAAGTAATTTAATTGTTTGAAGAGACACTTAAATTCAGAGTTTTGGAGGAATTATTCACATTAAAAGCAGTTTCTCTAAATAAACTAGACTCCTAGTGTATATGGTTTGTTTACAGATCACTATATGCTTGGCTAAGAACTGTCTAGGGGGAATGACATGGAAACTTTGACAGTCTGTGATTCATACCATTTCTGTTTCTTAAAATCCTATCTTGTAAATCAAGCCTATGTTGTTAACTCTGCTCATATGATCCTAAAGACCGGAAAACACTTAAGTAAAACTCTATTTTTAGGAAGGAATGTCCTTAAGGCAGTCAAATGCTAAGAAGATCTCAAGAGATGCACATGAAGACAAGTACAAAAACCTAAGAGCATTCATTACCTGTCAGTATCACCATATACAACTCTAGCACCCCATTTCTTGGTATCATTCACCAGTTTAATTGCTCTTTCCAAAGTTTCTCTGGCTTTGTGAACAATACTGTCACCAATCTGTTGATAGAAATATTATCTTAGTGTACTTAGTATAAGTCAATATACTTACATATCTACTATAAACAAAACCGTATTATTGAAAAACCGTATTATTGAAAGATTCAAGCTAACAGTATTATTTTTTTCATTATACATGGTATTTTGCTGCTCTCAATATACATATGCCACAGACTGCCTTGAACAGGTCTGTGGAGTTTACTTTTCATATTATAAACTGCACAGGGACTTTATTCTACCCTACTTTTCTCCTATTGAACTACACAAATTCAGTCTACTACCATGTCCTCTGGCCTTAATTTGGTATGAATAATTTATATAACAAGTCTACTCTGTTCTTTCCTCAGTCACTAATAAATTATTACAGCACTCTGTAGCACTGTGTTATATTCATGTCAAGTAAGTACCTTAAGAAATCAGTCTTATGAATAGTGTTTTCTAATGGTCACTGATCCTGTACTGTGTATGGTCTTTGCCTTACTTATTTACTGGTACTTTAGCAAATAAGAAATGATTTTTATTTATACTGACATTTGGACAAACCAGCCTAATTATAATCACATCTCCAGCAATAAATAAGAAGGAATTACTTAGCATTAAATTTGTTAACACAATATAAAATCAACCCTGAAATGTCATATTAACAGATGTGTCAGATTATGTAGAAATATGCTCATTTTTACAATTATCACTGAAAGTCATCAAGTGTTCATACAGAAAATATTCTCTCCTGCAACCAAAACTTATGTTTATAGACCTAATTTGAGAAAAACCTAATCTATGTTATGAAAATGAAACCATCTAAAGTTCAAAACAATATGAAATATTTTAATGGACATTCAATGCTGTTTTAGTCTCTTCTGCAAAAACTACTGACAGGTATCACTCACCTCAATGCAAGGCATTCGTCCAGAAAAATTAGCAGATGTATAGCCAAATGTGACATTTGCTATCAGCTTTAGTCCTAGTTGACGTGCATTGAGCATTCGTGAAAGGGCCCTGTCTTGCTTGTAAGCCTTCATTGACTGCTTCACCATGAATCTAGTCTTCAAAATTTCTTCAAGCATTCTTGGTAGGACACCCTTTCTTACTGAAGGCTATCATAAAGGGGGAAAAAAATCAACAATGTGTAAGATCCCTTTAAGAAAGAAGCACAAAGCATAATAATGGCTAACTGTCAAGAATTACAACATACTAGTAGTAGAATGGCCAAAAGACCAGTGGTTGTCAATACAAAATCATTACATTTTAGTTATTTGAAGAGGATTTTTCTCCTAAAACATTCCTATAACGTTTATAAAACAGCACTTCCATGTTAGCTCAGAGACCACCAGGGAGGGGAATGTCAGCTACAACAAGATCAGAAGGAAATGCTGTTAAAAACTTTTGATCAAAACCCCCATCCTTCCAATAAAGACACATGGAATGTGTATCACTCATAACCAACCTCAGTTTTTAAAGATCTCATCCTAATGACCCCACACAGTAATCTGCATGGAACTCCATTTATCTACCTTGGAAGAATGATGAGCTGGGTTGATTCTGCTGACATTCAAACCTGCAGTTCCAGAGATTCTAGGTATTTCAAATCTGATGCTTAGATCACTAAGCCATCCCCTCCGGCCTATATTTATTAGCAATCTGGAAGAGGGGATGAATAGTGAAGTGATAAAATTTGTTGCCAAAAAAAATCAATTGTATTAATAAAGACTAGGGGGAATTTATGAGAACTCCAGTAGGAATGAAAATGACAAAACAGTATTAACTTCGATGATTCACAGACACGTGCAAGATAATGCATGTTGAACTGAACAGTAGGTATGTGATACTCACACTCTTGAATATGGAAAAAAATCTTACTTTCAAATAAGTTTTACATATTGGGTCAAAATGTAGATGTAGTCTTTAAAATGAGACTTAGGAAGATAACAAAATAAGTGGCTGTATATGTGACAATGAGAATTGATTCTAACCTCTACTTCATTTGGCGTACCTTTTAAAGCAGCTATAACTTTTACTTTTGTTCTACCATTTTCTTTTTTAAAACTGTAATTATTAATATACATTAGTTGCACAAATGGATTTCCACATGCATTTAGAACAATTAAAGTCGTATACACTTCCTGTATTACCTTCTTTTATATTCTCCTTTCTTTTGTCTTTTCTAATAGTACCTGTTCTACTTTCACATTGTCTTTCTTTTGTTGTTCTTAGTTTCCACATATTCAAGGAAATATATAATACTTGCTGTGATTGGTTTATTTCATATAGGTGATTTTTAAATGACATGGTTTTGTTCTTTATAGCCAAGTAATGCTCCATAATGTGTACATGTCACATGTTCTTTATTCTGTCACTTGTTGTTGGGCACTAAGGCTGATTCTATAATTTGGCTATTGTGAATAGGGACATAATAAACATGAATATACAGGTATCTCTCATATGTGTTGATTTCCTTTATTGAGTATTCAGGAGTGGGATAGCTACATTAAACATTAAGTTCTATTTTTTTTTAAAGTTTTTGAGGACTAGCCATACTGTTTTCCATAGTGGTGGTATTAATTTACATTCTGAGCCACAATTTAATAGGGTTCTTTCCTCCCCCTATTTTTGTCAGCAATTGTTAATTTTGGTATTTTTGATAGCTATTCCATCAACTGGGGTAAAATGGAATCTCAATGTAGTTTGCATTTTGCTGACACCTTAAAAATATTTTCTTCCACTTGGAAAGTCATCTCTTCATTCTTCTCTGTAGAACCCATTTCAATTTTATGTAGTCCTATTTCTTATTTATTTACTTATTTTTATTTTTTATCTTTTCGATGCCACTACTGGGGCTTGAACTCAGGGCCTGGGTGCTGTTCCTGAACTCTTATGCCCAAGGCTGGCACTATACCACTTGAGCCACATCTCCTTTTCTGGCTTTTTGGTGGTTAGAGATAGAGTCTCATGGACTTTCAAGCCCAGGCTGGTTTCGAACTGCTCAGATCTCAGCCTCCTGAGTACGTAGGCCAACAGGTGTGAATCACGAGCACCTGGCTCATTTTTCACTTCTTGCTCTTATCTCCTGAGCTACTATTGAAGTCTTGTTTAGGAAATGTTACCAGTGCCAATAATTTCCCCTGTGTTTTTCTCTAGTAGTTTCAAAGTTTTAGGTCTTATGTATTAAGGTCTTAAATCCATTTCAAACTCATTTTTGTATAATGTGTGAAACAGGGATCTAATTTCAATGTTCAGCATGGATATAAATTCAGTTTTGCTAGTACCACTTCTAGACTCCCTTCTCCATATATTTTTGGTACCTTTGCTGAGAATCAAACAGATGTAGGGGCTATGAATTTATTTCGGGGGGCTCCACTACATTCCATTAGTCTATGTATATGTAAATGTCAATACCATGCTGTTTTTGTATTATGGCACTGTAGTTATTTTGAAACCAAGCATTGTGATATCTCTAGCATTATTCTCTTTGCTTAGGACTGCTTTGGCTATTCAGTGTCTTTTGTGACTTCATGTATATTTCAGGATTATATGAAGAATGTCATTGGTATTTTGATGGGTATTTAACAGAATCTATATATTACTTTCAGTAACATGGCTTTTAACAATATTAATTCTCTCAATCATAGACATTGGAGGTCTATCTTCCAGTGTCTTCTTCAATTGCTTTCTTCAATGTTTTGTAATTTTCCTTGTAGGAATCTTTCACATCCATTGGTTTTTCCCTAAGCACTTTTTAGGGGATTATTGTGAATGGAACTGTTTTCTTGATTTCTTTCTCAGTCAAAATAAAATTTAATGTAAGAAGAAAAAGGGATCAATATGTAGAAATGTGCATGATGTAAAAAGTTACTTTTTTTCTTTTTGGCTGGTCCTGGGGCTTGAACTCAGGGCCTGGCCCTAAGTCTCTTTATGCTCAAAGTTAGCACTCTACCACTTGAGCCACAGTGCCACTTTTAGCTTTTTCTGAGTAGTTTATTTGAGATAAGAGTTTCATGGACTTTCCTACCTGGTCTGGCTTTGAATTGTGATCCTCAGTTCTCAACCTGAGTTGCTAAGAATTACAGGTGTGAGCCACCAGTGCTGGCTTGATTTTTCTTTAAATCATGAACTCTAGCAAATTTTCCTCATATTTAAGTTGCTAATTATAGTTTAGCATTACCTCTTACTGGTAGAGAATGATACTTTTGATAAGTACACCAGAATGAATTTGAGGGCTGCTGGGGTCCATTCTACTATATGACTCTAGTACATACATGCTAAGGAATTAGAAAAGAAAGGAATGAAGTTGGCATATAAGAGGCAATATAATGTTCTAGATCTTGCCTGTTTCTTTGTATTGACTCATTACGCAGGTTTTCCTTAGTCTCTTTTTGAGGGGACATCAGGGAGAGAAAAGGGGACCTTACTATTAGTGTGGATATTTAAAAAATACAATCAATAAACATTAGACTATAATTATGTTTAAGATGGTCTCAATTAAGTTTAAAATAATATATAAGAATAAATAGTGGATTGTATGCATTAAAGCAATTTTCAATTTTGTAGGTAACATATTTTGGTTATCAAATTGCTATTTATGTCTACCAGATTCTAACACAGGTAAGGCATTACACATGTACATTTATTTCTTTCACTATTGCACTAATTACAAGAATATGTTTAAACCTAAATTCAACCAACACAAAGATGATTAAGTGACTTCTTAAAAGATTTTTGTATCTTTCACTTTATTCAAGTAAACAAAATGTTTTCTCCCCCTTTTTAGTGCCAATATAACCTAAACCAGTATATCTCTCCAAAGTTAAGCTATAGTTGATTCCTTTCACTTACAAGAGATTATTACCTTGACAAAAGCTACTCCATTGGGGGATACTGTGATATCATGCCTAATTTGGTAAAGTAAATCTGGAGGTACTTTTAGAGAGGTACAGCCAAATTTGAACTCATCATACCTGTTAAGAAAGAAAACAATAAGCAAATACTTTAAGACAAAGACCAGTTTGTAGGCAGTCTTATTAAGAATCTTCCTAATTTCACTAAGAAATTCATTTTAAAATATCAAACCACAAATTCATGTACTTAATGTTTACCTGTCTCATTAGCAAAAGCTATTCAAATTTATTAGAAGAAATGCTTCTTAAATGACATCATCCTAAAATGTATGGCTGAAGCTATATTGAAATAATAAATTTCAACTCCATACATGAACACTTTATATTAAGTTCCTTAAAGAAAAATTTAAAAAGTAGTAAACTACAAATTACTTTCTTACTTAAAAGGATTACAAATAGAATTTCTGTAAGTGCACCAATGAAAAAGTGTATCACAGAATAAACAAAATATATGATATCAAATGCACAAATATCTTTGTAATGGAAGAATCAGAATTTCCTGCAATTCAAGAAGAAAGGTGTCCACTACTCTAAAAACTTAAAATGATAACTCTCATTCAGTTTATAAAATTCAATTTATATGATTTAACAAACTTAACAGTTCATTTGTGTAAAAATCATAGCTTATTTCCAAGAAAAGAAGAAGATGGTAGCTACAATTATAAATCATAATTCTCAATCTGTTTCTGTAAAAGGTGATATATCAAGTTAAAAATTTTAAGAGAGTTCATCAGCATTCACGGAGAAATAAAAAATTACAAAGTTCATCTATTTATTCAAGATCCTCTTCACTTGAGTCATCACTTATAAAATTAAATTAATATCATGATCTATGTTAATAAGAAAACTTATTTGTTGTAATGAGTTGCCCGTGCCATACTTCAATTCATCTTACTCATAACAGTGTAAAGTACACAGACATGAAGAAAATCTGTGTAATGTTACTAAGAGATATAAATCATAACATTGTAACTGTAAATATAAAAAAAAAAACCTTACTTTCCCAAGTTTTCCACATGGCCAAGGCAAGTGGAAAAACAGTAGTTGTATGCAATCACAATAGAAGGATATAATGACTGAAAGTCCAAAACGAGAACAGAATTGCTATAGAAGCGAGATTCAGGCTCCATAATTAGGGGAACACACTGTGGGGCTCTCATTTGAGAACGCTGTTGAACACTGGGTGTCACAGGAATATAGTTCATTGGTTTAGCAATACGCAACATCATTGATTCCACACGGTACTGCAAAGAAGGGAGGAATAAGAAGAGATGCAATTTAAACATAAAAATATTCATCATTTGAATATATGATTGTTTATGGGATGTTTTTCTCTTTAGAATAAATTCAAGTGACTTTTTATCATTAGAATTATTATAATTTAATCAGCTTTCAAGAGGATTGAGGTATAACTCCTCTGAACATTTAAAATACTATCACTGAACTTTAAAATTCTTTTCCTATTCCTGTAAATCTCCAAGATTCTGAGGTTTCAACTTTGGGGCTCTTACTTGCTAGATAGAAAGACAGTTGTATAGTTTGACAATTTCATTCAACTGGTCAATAATCCCTGAAAAATGTATTTGGACAAAATAGAGAAAAAAGAAGTTGTTAAGAGACCTGAGATAAATACTTTTCCAGTTTTTCAAGGAGGCAACACAAACATTCCTGAACTGAAGTATAATCAGACTATTGGTTCCTAGCAATTACTGAGCTAAGTGATTATTGTTTCTAATAACCATTATTCACTAGATTGTTTGGGGTATTAATAAAAAAAAACTCAAAAGAACCAGCATAGATTCATTAAAATATTATCTGGTGGACTTTTATTAAAGATCAGTTACCATTCCATTTTTGCTATGTTTATTGAATTAGTAGGTATATTAGAATAAGGATTTTATGAAATTAAGGAATCTTAGTAATTTAAAGCAGTCCTGTTAACAAGCTATAGGTCTTCAAATAAATATTGAAATGTAAGTAAATACTCATTTTCAGTAAGTTGCTTGGTAAAATCATTATGTCCTTTAGGAAATCAACTTCAAAGATGAATTAAATTACTTCTACAATAATATTTTCCCTTAAACTTAAAAAGCTATGTAGGTCACCTGTATTTTCCAATCCTTCATATTTGCATTAAAATTATTGAAACTTGTGAGACACCACATTAGAAATGTAACCTAAAAGGAGGTAGTTTCTTATTGGTTCCTCAACAAAGAGCTTTGATTGATTATACAGCTATTGATTAATTGGTATTAGACAGATTTTTTAAATGAAATAATTTCAAACATCTGAAAACTAAGTATATTACTTATAAATTTAAAGTGTGCAAGAAAATAGATTTCCTACCTGTGAACCCCTTGTCAGTACATGTAAAAATTGAATGCCAAAAAGTCTAGCCAATTCACTGGTTTTCCCAATTAGGTCCAGTTGTTCTAACATTTGGAGATTTCCACGGACACGGCTAACATAATGATCAACCATTTTCCATCTATTAAAAAAGATTCCATGGTATGAATTTCAGAGAAAAAGATGGGAAGTTGAAATACAATAACAATTAATTCTCACTTCATTACACGAGGCAAAATGTTTAATGGATAGGGAAACCTAAACAGAACTCTAGGAATTCATACACAAACAGATGAAAGGAGGTACCTACCCATAGGTGTAACTCCTCTGAACATTTAAAGTACTATTTTATTGAAATGAATTCCAGGGAATGGAAACATGTTTTTTTGGTGGTGGTGTTTTGCTTTTTTGTTCTTTTAAGGGAGCAAAAGGGGGCACAGAAAGGGAGGAAAGGTGAACAAATAACAGTCGTACTATGCAGTACACAGTATGTGGAAAATGAACTATGTAACTTTTGGGCAGGGACAAGGAAGGTGTGACACTGTCCAATAAAAGAAATGTATTCATTACCTGCCCTAAGACATGGTAACTTCTCTGTATAACACCTTAATAATAATAAAATTGTATTTAAAAAATATATAAGGAAACTGAAGACTGCTAAGAGGTTAATTTGTCTAAGGTTACAAGCCTACCATATCAGAACCTAGCTGTTACCCAAATAAACTATGAGAAATAGATTAAGCAGAAGTAATATGATTGAAAACAAAATTATAGACTACAAATTATTGTCTTGTTGGATTTCTACTATTACAGCAAATTGTCTCATCACTCTAAGCAAACTTAATGCGTATTTATTTCACATGATAATATACATTCCATTTCACTGATTTGTAACTAGGTAATACAACCAAATTAAATAAAGTTTATCTTTCATAACTAAGGGTAAACTTTGCAAGTACATTTTAGCTTGTATAATTCATCTAGCAAAAACCAAATGTTTTTTCACCTAGACTTATATACAGGTTAAGTATGAATGTGCTAAACACTTTTACCTATCATTATTTTTGAAGTGATCTTTCTGAAATAAGATCTTTGCTGGCAAGTCACGCACGCGCACACACATGCATATGCGCATATGCGCACACGCGCACACACACACAAAACTAAGTTGAATTGTTACTTTTTATTTATCCTCCTAGCATTTATCAAAGTGAACATATTAGGCAAATACAAGTTTTAATTCTGAGAAGAGGAAGGAAAATATAAAGCATTATGTACTCAGGATACTACTGAAATGGCAATACTTAAGCATTTCAAAGGCACAGGGAATTTTTATTTATTTTTATTTTATTTTTTTGGATAGAGCATCTAGGAAGGTGACAAAGGAGACAGAAACATTTTAAATGGAAAACTAAGTTATTTTGAACTTTTTTGGGGATGGTGGGGGGTGGTGGTCGGTTGTGGGGCTTGAGTGCTGTCCTTGAGCTCTTCAGTTCAAAGCAAGTGCTCTACCACTTGAGCAACAATGCCACTTCTGGTTCCCTGGAGATTATAGGAGATAAGAGTCCCGTGGACTTTCCTTGCCTGGGGGACTTTGAACTGTGATCCTCAGATCTCAGCCTTCTGAGTAGCTAGGATTACAGGTGTGAGCCACTGGCACCCGGTTTATTCTGCACTTGTTGTTGCTGTTGTTGTTGTTCCTGGGGCCTGAACTCTGGACCTGGGCACGGTCCCTCAGGTCTTCAGTTCAAGGCTAGCGCTCTACCACTTGAGCCACAGTGCCACTTCTGGCTTTTTCTGCTTATGTGGTGCTGAGGAATCGAACCCAGGGCTTCATGCATGCAAGGAAAGCACTCTACCACTGAGCCTCCTTCCGAGCCCTATTCTGAACTTTTTAAGGAGCAAGTTATACACCTAGGAAATAGATAAGAAAATTTATATTGGAAGTAGTGCTGTGACTCAAGTGGTAGAGTGCTCACCTTGAGCACAAAGAGGCTCAGAGACAGCACCCAGGTCATGAGTTCTAAGACTTACAACCAACAAAAAAAATTATTACATTATCTTCTTGAGCTATATGATCCTCAACTCCTATGACATTACTTCTAGCTCAGAAACTGGTATAGTAATTACTACCTAGTTATTGGATGACAGATGAAATCACACTGGAATGAAGTTCTATAGTGCTCAGTAATATTAGGGATTACAAAAGGTATTATCTGCTGATTTTGGAATCCTAACACTTTTTTAAAAAGTGTTTTCAGTCCCCAGCAACAAAATTTTGGGAATATAACTCATGTCAGACCATTTGAGAAGATTGGGCTTACAAAATTAATAATTAGGGCACCTCTGTGGTTTATAAACATATGTACTACAAGTAATCTGTGAAGAACAACTTTACATCTGAATCAACTTATTAAAAGTATTTTTAATTAAAAAATTACAGAAAAGCCGAGCGCCAGTGGCTCATGCCTGTAATCCTAGCTACTCAGGAGGCTGAGATCTGAGGATCGCAGTTCAAAGCCAGCCTGGACAGGAAAGTCTGTGAGACTTTTAACTCCAATTAACCACCAGGAAACCAGAAGTGGCTCTATGGCAAGTACTAACCTTGAACTGAAGTGCTCAGGGGCAGCACTCAAGCCCAGAGTTCAAGCCCACGACCAACAATAAATAAATAAATAACAGAAAATAAAATTCTCGAAAAAGTATGACATATTTTTTGGTAAAATTTCATTTATATTTAAAAATAAAATGCTTTGACCTCTGTATGAGTCTCCAAAATAAAAAACCTGTATAGTTTCTCCATATAAAATGCCCCATTTAACATAAATGGTCTAATACTTAGTCCAATTCCTTTATGTAGCATGTAAGGTCCAATTTTCTTCATCACTTGAGAAAACAAAAATTACTTGATCTAGACAATACCAAGAAGTAGTAAAACATGCGTTTAGAGCTTTCTATGTCTTACAAATAAACCCCTTAAGTTTAATGTTTTACTTCTTTATATATACCATTACTCTGAAGCTTCTATTTTTATATTTTTGTCTTTCTATACTGAGGACTGAACTAGTTTATACTAGTATCTTGTATACTCTACTACTAAGCTATATTCCCACCATTCTAATCCTTATACTTACTAGGATTTCATTTTACGTTCCTCAGATTCCTCAAAAAAGAATGGACTAGTCATGTTCAGCACTGTATATTCACCTCTTTTAAATAGTATGCTTACCTGTTTGACAACTATTTTTTCCTGTCTTTACTACCACAAACCCTTATATTTCAATAAGCCAAAGTATACCCATTTTAAATATCAGTATCAGTATAATATCAGTATAAGTATCAGTAATTTCTGGATTTTATTCTTCATATATCTATTTTATCAGCTTTTTTTTGTCTTTTCTTTTTTGGTATTGGGGATTGAACCCAGAATGTTGTTGCGCTTGCAAGTGCTTTGCCACTAAGCTACATCCCAGCCCTATCAGCTTTTTATTGTCAATTTATCTTTAACTTAAAGATAAAAGAACTTTTGCTTTTAATTATGTTGGTGTAACTGGTCCTAGACTAGCTATCCTAGCTGGGTAAGAGTCAGGGTAATTGCTTTGGGCAATGAACAAGAAGAAATATAAGACTGCTTTCTGAGAGAAGGGAAACTCATGAATCTGTTCAGTTGGGAGAAAATTTCCTAAACATAGTACAGTATGGTACAGTCTAAGCAGAACATGGTTGTCCATGTAAGCAAAATAGTCAGAACTTAAAGAGTTCAAGCAATCTCTAGCTAGAAACTGAGAGTTGGGGCACCAGAGATAAGAGAGCTATGCAAATGGCAAGAGTTGGGATAAAACAATTCAGATGAAGTTTTTTGTGAGTGACTGAGGTGAAAATAAGCCTGATGAAACAACACATTCCTACAGAGTAGCTAGTTTGGAACTGAGTTTGGGAAGAAATGGTCAGCTAGTACTGGAGGGTTGGAGGGTTACCAACACTAGATCTTCTTGTTAATATTGGCATCAAGCTTCTAAAGAACCTCCTAAATCATGCATTAGGAGGTTTTTACTCTACAATTAGTCATACTTAAGACAAAACTAAACAACTAAAAAAAAGACAGTTTAGAGACTGAGTCCTGTCAAACTTGGGGGCTTTGGAAACAACTGGGGCCTGATACAGTCCCATTTCCAACCACAAATATTGATTAAGTGACAAACAAGTGTCACCAGGAAAGGGCAGGAAGTCTTCCTGTCACAGATCCTAAACAAAGGAACACTGTTGCTGAGGAAGAACTAGAAGGCAAAACTTGTCTGCCTCAGGAAAATGGTTAGGAAACTTGCCTATGCCTAGACCTTGGCAGTAGTAATAAAGCAAAGATCGACTGAAATTTGTGAGAAGATCAGGAAATGCCCATTCCTGATCCCCAAGTGAATAACAAAGCAAACTTCCTTTGTCTTCACAGTCTTACAGAATAACCAATAGTAGTTACCTGCTCATAAAATCTTAGAAATGAAAATAAACTCTATATACTGGAAAACTGAGTGTTGACTTCTCATTAGAAACAGTAGAGTCCAGAAGGAAATGAAATGAATTTTTCATAGTGCTTGAACTCAGGGCCTGGGTGCTATGTCCCTGAGCTCTTTTGTTCAAGGCTAGCACTCTACCACTAAGTGACAAAACTCCACTTCCCATTTTTTGGTGATTAACAGAAGAATCTCACAGACTTTCTTGGCCTGGCTGGCTTTGAACCTCGATTCTTAGATCTCAGCCTCCTGAGTAGCTAGGATTACAGGTGTGAGCCACTCGTACCTGTCTGGGAATAAAATCTTTAGTGGTAAAAAACAAACAAAAAAAAACCCAGCCCCAGAATGAGATAAGACAGTAACAATATTATTCAAAATCAAGAATGAAGTAAAGATATGAATGAAATATGGATGGAATAAGGAATCAAACACAAAGGAACAGATTGTTAACATTTCCATTTATATTAAGTTCTAGAACTGGCAAAAGTAATCCAATTATAGTACTTACCTGGATGGTTAGGTTATGGTAAGACTAAAAATTTGTTCAAGTGGATTTTCTTTGTGTTAAGATATATTCCTTGTTATGATTATTGTAGTGGTTAGAGAGTAAACATGTTTTTCAGTCATAAAACAATTTAAGTCTATACATTTTCACTGTAGAAAATATATACTTCCATGAATTGTAAAACATTACCTGTATAGATCTGTCTTGTTATCAAACCAATCTGACAAGACGCGAAAGGTAAATAGGGGAAAACGCTGGTGAAGAACATGAAAGCTCACATTTTCAAAGGTGTAGTTAGTTAGAGCCACCTTAAGAACAACAACAAAAAAGCAAGAGTAAGACACCATTATAATAATGTTTATATTTATGTAAGAAAATTTGGTTTTAAAAGATTCAAATACCATTTAAAACATTTCATAGTAGAGATGAAAGATTATTGTAAAGATTATTGTGTTACAACAGAATAATTAGTTTAAAACTATGTATAGCCTACGGGACAGAAATATTCACTACTTATTTTCCTTTTTCCCCACTCACATCCATCCATCCCTCCCTTACTGGAGATTAAAAGCATAGCCTCTCATTCACTTTCAAGTTTGAGATACACTCTGAATCCTTCAGATTTCTAAAGTTTGTTTTTCAGATAGTTTCTGGATAAACTTGTCCAGGTTGGCCTCAATTTTTCAATCTTTCTACTTCTGTTTCTTGAAAAACTAAGTTTACAGGTATGAGTCATGATGTTCTGCTTGGCATTCTAACTTCTTAGGCTTGGGCTGGAGTTAAGCTTCAGTCCTCCTGTCTTTCTCCCAAAAAGCTGGGTAAGATACCAGCTTTTATTACCTCTTTTTATACTTGTTGTCAATACAAATGGTAGTAGAGAAGCATTAATAGGCAAGTTAATTTTATGTTTTGTGGTCCATTTTGTGGTGCTGGAGATCCAAGCTTGGGTCTCATGCATATGAGGTAGGTAAGCATTATACCATTGGAGTTATGTTCCTAACTCCATGCACTTACTTTTTAATTCTTCATAATACACTGATGAATAATACACTGACTACAGATTCAAGGGTAAGTTATTACTTCAGAGAACTCATTGGAGGACTACAAACATTCATCTTTCTCTAAAAAAATCACATCAGTACTAGTGCATGGGCATTGTAGAGCCACTTAAATGAATTTCAAAAACAAAAGATTAAAAGATGATAAAAATGTCTCCCATCTCCAAAATACATAGGTTAAATAAAACCTGTTTTGATAAGAAAAATGAAAAGAGCCCAGGGTAATACAGTATACCTCAAGATTAGCTCATTTCTCAGAAATAACTGTAATTCAGATAATGACAGTTATTTCAATACAAAATGAAAATTAAGGAACTACTAGTCCCCATTTCTAGGTAACCTTGGTATTGTGAGGAATATATAAAACAGTACTTTACATTATAATTTTCAAATATTTATTTTTCTACAATCCAGGAAGATAGGAGTTGAAAATTAATCTTAGTGCAGTGACTCCCCCAATTTTTTAATCTGTTAAATAACAAAACCTGTATTTTGTTGAAATGAAGCATATGCCACAACATATAAGTATTCACACATACACACATCTGTAAAAGGGTAGATAAGGCAACAAAATGAGGTAAAGTTAATATATTTTGATGAGGAAGAATTGTAAAATTACTAATAACTAATGAAAACAGTAAAGAACCACATAAGTGTTTTACTAAAAATCAAGTTAGTGATGAGCAGAGTAAACCTCAATGGCTTTCTCAGGATGACAAGAGAAAAGACAGGAGAGCTAATACAAGGAAAAATGTACACAAAATAGAAAGGTAACCATTAACGGTTCTAAAGGAAATGGAAATATTTAAATAATAAAATGTTGAAATCTAACCCTTTGTCACTTTCCACATCCACCTGTCAATCTGAGGTACTTAATTTCCTGATACAAACCTTAAGTAGGCCTTTAATGCTGCCCCGCATTTGGACTTTTTCCCCTTAATTACTAATCTTAAATTCCCATAGACAACCATTTTACACTCTTCAAAAGGTCTTGCCATAATTCTCGTTCTCAACTGAGAGCAGTGAACCCTAATTTACTGAGAAAAGTAAATCAATTTTAAGAGAACTTCCACAGATTCGTATTGTCACATCTGTCCATCTACCAACTTATTAATTTTTTGGTGCTAGTACTGGGGATTGAACTCAGGGCCTGGGTACTGTCCCTCAGCCTTTCTGCTCAAGGGTAGTGCTCTACTACTTGAGCTACAAGTCTACTTCTGGCTTTTTGGTTCACCTACCAACCTTTTATATTATATAGTCTGTCTCCCAGCTTATTACAACAAAGAAACCAGCTATACTCCTATTTTATCTCAAACTAGGACCCCCATTTGTAGGCTAGAAATAGCATTCAATATTTGCTGAGTTGAGTCAAGGTGTCCAATCAACCTAGTAAATTCTCAAAATGCCTAGATTAAGTTCACCGTCCAGAGGTCTCTGTTAGGTTCACCCCAGAAAAATGTCCCCTTTCTTGTTCTTCCTCTGTGCACATGTAGCCCTTTCCCTAGAAGTCCCAGCCCAGCACCAGTAACCTAGGAAATGGTGTACCTGGGGGACAGTGGGAGGTCCCCTAGGCTCTGAGGTCATTGCTGTGGCCATACCTGCTCTGCTGCCCTCTCCCTATAGAGTCAATTTCCACTATTAATTCCAGCCCCTTTCTCCTTCCTCCCCCTTTCCCTTCCTGGTATCCCTTGCACCTGCTGCACCCTCCATCTTGTACGGGACAGCAGTATGCTCTACCCACAATAAACTTTTCTACCTGAACCACATGGTCGCCTTTTGGTGAACCTTACAGTTTCTTTTTTTTAATTTTTTTTTTTTTTTTAATTTTTGGGTCTGGTCGTGGGGTCTGAACTCTGGGCCTGGGCACTGTCCCTCAGCTTTCTGCTCAAGGCTAGCACTCTACCACTTGAGCCACAGCACCACTTTAGGCTTTTTTTCTTTTTGCTTATGTGGTGCTGGGGAATTGAACCCAGAGCCTCATGGATGCAAGTCAAGCGCTCTACCACTGAGCCACCTTCCCAGCCCACCTTACAGTTTCTATATGTACTTTTCTGGGAATGAGTCATATATTTTTCAATTAAGTAGTTAATAAATAACTATTAAACATTACTAATTAAGAGGCAGTCTGGGGGCTGGAAAGGTAGCTTAGTGGTAGAATGCTTGGTTTAATTCCTCAGCACCACATAAGCGGAAAAAGCGGGAAGTGGTACTGTGGCTCAAATGGTAGAGCACCAGCCTTGAGCTGAAGAACTGAGGGACATGCCCAGGCCCAGAGTTCAGGTCCCACGACCGACCCACAAAAAACAAAAACCAAAAAAAAACGAGGCAGTCTGGTCGGGTGCTGATGGCTCACACCTATAATCCTAGCTACTCAGGAGGCTGAGATCTGAGAATTGCTGTTCAAAGCCAGCCTGTGCAGGAACATCCTGAAACTCTTATCTCAATTAACCACCAGAAAACGGAAGTGGCACTGTGGCTTAAGTGGTAGAGCACTTGCCTTGAGCTGAAGAGATCAGGGACAGCGCCCAGACCCAGAGTTCAAGCCCGACGACCACAGATTTTTTTAAAAAAGGAGGCAGTCTGTCAATTATGATTAAAAGCAAGTCCAGTGGAAACAGTGAGAATTTTACTAGTGTATATAAATTATACAAAAAGCCAAGCTTCATTTTATATACATATGTAACATACGTTGATCATATGTAGACCCCCCCACACACACCATTACCCTTTGTCTTTCCTTTTGGCTCCCTATGGTTTTCTTCCTTTCAAACAGTACCTCATACCTCATCTACTTTCACATCTTAAAAACAAACTACTATATTCTAGATGAGAAAAAACACATAGTATTTGTCTGAATATGGCTTATTTTGCTTAATATGAGGATATCCACTTCTATCCATTTTCCTGAAAATGAAATAATTTCAATTATCTTTATGCCTAAGGATCCATTGTGTGTGTGTGTGTGTGTGTGTGTAATTTGTCCATTGGTCGAATGGCAAAAATTTTATGTTGAACGTTAAGTGAAAACCAGTCTTTAAAAAAATACACCTCAAACTAGGCACAGGGGAAAAAAATGAAAGCTATCCTTCAAGTATATCCTAGATCTGAGGAGTACAACAGTGTCTTAGAACGATTTCACTTCTATTTCCTTTTGGGGGGCGGAGAAAGAGGGCAGTACTGGGGATGAACTCAGGGCCTTATGCATGCTAGGCAGGTGCTATGCTTCTTGAGACATGGCCATAGCCCTTGTTTGTTATGGTTATCTTTCAAATTGGGTTTCATGCTTTTGCCTATGGACATGCTTTTAGCCTTGAACTGTGGTCGTTCTTTCTATGACTTTTTTTTTTTTTTTTTGCCAGTCCTAGGGCTTGTTCTCATGGCCTGAGCACAGACTCTGGGTTTCTTTTTGCTCAAGGCTAACACTCATCACTTAAGCCACAGTGCCACTTCCCGCATTTTCTGTTTATGTGGTGCTGAGGAATCAAGCCCAGGGCTTTGTGCATGCTAGGCAAGTACTCTACCACTAGGCCACATTTCCAGCCCCTATGACTCTTAATAACTGTGATTTTAAGTTTGTCCACTATGTCAAGCTTGCTTTTGAGATTTGGATATCAAATTTATTTATTTATTTAGCCAGAGCAATCATCTTCTCAAGTATCTGAGATTCCCCTAAAGTTCATTCAAGATTTCATGGACTGTCAAATGGTAGGAATACTCATATTAGGCAAAATAACCCCAAGAGGATGTAATTTGGTCCAACTAGGCAGGAGGGTAAATTAGCCAATTTACAACTTTCTTAATTCTAATTTACAAGTAAACATCAGAAATGCTCAATAATCACACCAAAATGAGAGAAAATCTTTCACTTTGAACTGTCAATAAGAACTACAGAAGGTCCCAAACTTTGAAAAAAATACTAATTTGTTACTTTAATTTCACAGCAGATTTGCTATTGCTAACTTTCAGATACTAAAGGATAAAAAGATCCCTGAAACTAATATTCAATAAATTATTTATATATATATTTGTTCATATACATATTTTATTTTGTTTTTTGTCGGTTGTGGGGCTTGAACTCTGAGCCTGGGTGCTGTCCCTAAGTTCTTCAGCTCAAGGCAAGCACTCTACTACTTGAGCCACAGCACCACTTCCCATATACATATTGACATACATACATTTGTGTTCATTTCAGACAATATCAGATTCCAGTTTGAAATATATAATGGAATATATATGCTAAATACATTATAATTTCTGTGTCTTCTATAGCCTTTGCTATAATTAGGAATTATTTTGAAGTAATTAGGGACTTGTGATCTGAGAATACTTTAAGAACAATGCAAATAGGAAAAGTATCCTCAAGCAAATTTATATAGTGGACAGTTTCAAATGAGATAAAACATGAGCATAACTTTAGGCTCACTGTACAAGGAGGAAATAAAAATAAAAATGAGGACATATTTCCTTATCTATGTGATCATGTCCCTAAACAAATGTATAAGGGCATGCTTTTATAGTCAAATGTTTAAGAAAATTTTCAGAAAATTCATAAAGATCATAGTGAATAATGACTGAGAAGTAGAAAGTATATAAGAAACTAGTTTGAGTAAGAAGTGCTTGAAGAATGAACTTTCTTCCAAATATAAACATTTTAATGGATATTATTCAGTCCTAAATCTAAACATAGACTAAATTCCAATAGGAATCTTTTTAGGTTTTACTCAGAGAAAGAAGATAACATATTTTGTTTAAAAACCATTTGTCTAAGTGATTCAAAGTAACAGAATAGTAACAGAAATTATTTAGCCAAAAATCTTTACCTGGGCCCACATACCCTCAGCTACTCTTATTTTCTGTAACTAATCTGTCTTAGGTCCAGTATTTAAATGTAGTTAGCATGAGAATATCCTTCCTTAGTCTAAATTTTTCCTATATAACTAATCAAAAAAGGCTACGTAAAAATGCATCCAACTTTAAGTTCAAACATTGATAAAATTGTGAAATACTGCACACAAATATAACAATCATTTAATATTGGTATAGATTTCTTTTTTTTTTTTTGGTGAGATGGGTTCTATATCCATAAATAAAAATCTCAGGATGGAGTTGAACTTGCAAGCACTCCTGATTCAGCCTACTAACTGTAGGGATTACAGGCATGAGCTACATTACAACTTTTAGACACATGGGGAAAGTCATTAATAAATTAATAATATTAAAGTCAAATTTCTCCATAGTTTTCCATTGTAGAAAATGGTATTTTGCAACTTAAGTATAACTAAAATAATTTACAAAAGATTAAGTTATACAATAAGCTATACATAATCTCTATAATGATTAAATTATCATAGTGAGTTACTCAATGATTTTAAATAAAATACCTTACCTCATTTCTCATGATTCTCCAAAGATTTAGTGTGATTCGACCAACAATATTTATTTCACTCATTGTATCTGATCCATAGTCATCTCTTTCAGCTGAAAATCTGTTCTCAATTTTGTCATCTATAGAAATGAATGTCGATTACACAAAGACTCACAGAAAACAAAATTTTTATGCTGAGAGGCAAAAATTAAAGATAAAGAGTAAAAGTGAAATGCAGTTCATAGCGTATTTTATGTTAGAATAAGAGTATACTCATTATTTTGACTAATAAAAGCATACAAAGTTTCTTTCTTAAATATGAAGGAAATCTGAAAACACACTCTCTTTTCCACTTTGTATATACTATATATTGTTGTTCTTTCGTACCTATAGGAGATTGGTTCCAGGATCTCCTGCAGACAAAACAGAACTCAAATCCCTTATGGAAATTGGCTTAATATTTGCACAAAATCTATGCATAGCCATAATTTCAAATATTTTTTAGATTACTTATAACACCAAATACATTACTAATAGTTGTTATATTGTATTAAAGTAGTATAGAAAGAAGAGTTTGCACAAATTTATTTTTGAAAATATTTCAGATCCATAGTTGGTTGAATCCATGGATGCAGACTTGATCAACACAGAGGAATAACTATATATTTAAGTAATAAACTCTTTTCTCTTTCAATTTGGCAAATTCTGCTACTTTTTTTTTTTCCGGTCCGGTCATGGGGCCTCAACTCTGGGCCTGGGTGCTGTCCCTCAGCTCTTCAGCTCAAGGCTAGCGCTCTACAACTTGAGCCACAGCGCCACTTCCGGCTTTTTTTCTTTTTTTGCTTATATGGTGCTGAGGAATCGAACCCAGGCCCTCATGCATGCAAGGCAAGCGCTCTACCACTGAGCCACCTTCCCAGCCAAATTCTGCTACTTTTATTAACATCCAACACGCTATCATTTCTTTGGTTTTAGCATGAAAATGTACATTGTTAAAATGGTCATTTCTTGGAATGAACTGAGAGCCTGGGCACTGTCCCTGACATTTTGTGCTAAAAACTACACATTACCACTTGAGCCACAACTCCACTTCCAGCTAACTGAAGGTCAGAGTCTCATGGACTTTCCTGCCCAGGGTGGCTCTGAACAATGATCCATAGTTGTTTTTTTTTTAAATTTAATTTTATTTTATTTGTGAACATACTGTACAGAGGGGTTACAATTGCATGGGCAGGATAATGCGTACATTTCTTACCAAGCATTGCAGCCTTCTCCTTTGTTTACCCTTCACATCACTTCCCAGCCTCCCCCCCGCCCCCCATCCATAGTTTTTTAGCCTCCTGAGTAGCTAGGATTATAGACATGAGCCACTAGCGGCTATCTAAGTGATACTTCTTAATCTAAACAATTCTATGAATATTTGTTGATGGAAAATACCTAGCTTTAAGAAATTTAGACCAGAATTCCTAACAGAGTTTCCTATAAGTGACTTATTATACAAATTAAAATGTTTCTTCTATATAACACTAGATACAGGTGAGTGCAGTTCATTAGAGGCTGGAATAATAAAAATGTCATGTATTTTATATCTACTATATCCTAAAAACTTTTATCAAAATTATTTCTTATTTTAACACATCAACAGAAAGTTTAATTTTATATTGTAGAAAATTCTACTAATAAATATGTACTAGTCATCCCTTGCTATACTGTGGTTCACTTATTGTGGCTTCACTGTGCTGCAGGTTAAAAAAATGTATTTCATTCTGTATTGCAGATTTTTGCTTTATTGTGAGATTTTTCGGTATGTATTTATATAATATTTATGATTTTAATTATTTTTGCTTAAAATTTTTTAAAGGCAGGCAAAAGCCACATGGTTGTAGGTCGCTATTACAGGATCAGAGAATCTACTGTTCACTATATAAAGACGAGAAGAATATTAGGTCTTTTAACAAGACTGGAAAAGGGGTGGTCACTTGCTGCATTAAGGCCATTGTGAGGATGGAGTATGCATTGGCCCTGTGACTGCAGGAAGAAGAGTATGCCACTGGATACCAACACCATCTGGTTGAAAGCCAAGAAACTTTATATGATAGTTTTGCAGAAAGTGCAGACGTTCATGATGATAATAAGGATGATGACACGGAAGCAAACGAGTTCTTCTCCCACCAGACCAACCCCATTAAGTGCCAGCACAGGCTGGCTGGTTTGACAAATTTCAAAGATGCTTTGGACTCAAGAGCGTTTGTCTGTATGGAGAAGCTGCCTCTGTGGATAAAGTCAGAGCCAAAGAGCGTGTGAAAGACATGTTCAAATCCATCATGATGGAGGAAGGAGGCTAAAAGCACAAGTTTTTAACATGGATGAGACAAAGTCAGCAAGAGAAGAAGAGGATAAGGAACAAGATGAACTACGGTTTGGAGAAGAAGAGGAGGCTAGCCTAACACTCGATTGTCTTGCAATTATGGCCAAAGAACTTAAGCGAATGGTTGCCGAATGGGATCCCCAGATGCTTCATTCATTGCACTTCATAAATACAATTGAGAGCGGCATTATAAAAAACTTCCCACTCAGAAGAAAAAGTAGTACCAGTAACTCCATGTAACTGTTGTCATCACTCAGACAAAGAAATCAGTTATGCCTACGCCTTTAGTGAAAATAGAAGTTATGGCCCAGGGTGAAGATATGCACCACCTGATGAAGTGGTCCCTTTAGAAAAGCTGTAATGCTCTTCTTGGTTGTGAAGTACAATCATCTCACTGTCATCACCTTCACTGCCATCAGTACTGCACATCTACATAATTCATGATCTTCATCATTCAAGTTGTAGTATACTTGACTGGTGAGTATGCATACAGAATTTTCTATGTTGTAAAATTATATAGGTTTAAGAGTGTAAAAAGCCAGGCACCGGTGGCTCATGCCTATAATCCTAGCTACTCAGGAGGCTGATATCTGAGGATCACAGTTCAAAGCCAGCCTGGGCAAGAAAGTCCATGAGACTCGTATCTCCAATACACCACTAGAAAAATCAGAAGTGGCGCTGTGGCTCAAGTGGTAGAGTGCTTGCCTTGAGCTGAAGAGCTGAGGGATAGCACCCAAGCCCACAACCAACAACCACAACAAAAAGAGGGTAGAAAGTATTTAAAAACATATGAACTGTTTGTAAGTGTGGGAAAGGCTTGTAGGAGAGTGGGAAGGGTTTATAAAGCCCTAAAATATATAAATAATAAAATAAATATAATTCTGCTACTTTGTGAATTTTCACCTATTATGGTTTGGTCTCTGGAACATAACTCCCGCGACAGATGAGGGGATTATGTATTCTATTTTTAAAGCAGGATTACTTTCCCTTGAAGACACTGTTACTAACACTACTCTCTTTATGTTAAAGACACAGTTTAAAAATTGGCTTTTGTTCCCCCAAAACATAACGTTTTTAACAAAAAAATATATAACGTTACTCTGTTTTCAGGCAGAGTTTTATAAACAGAGTATATAAACGGGGGCATGGATCACTAACATAACTTGCTTGACATTACATAGGTATATAGTGGCATAGCCAGAATTAGAACTCAGGAAGTACTGTACTTTATTCTTCATAAAAATGGTTTCAGCAGTGATTCTGAAACGATTTTGTTCATTTTTGCAGTACTAGCAATCCTAACCAGGATCGTAAGAATGCCAAGCAAGTGCTGTATCACTGAACTACATCCCAGACTACAATTTGAGCTTTAAATCATACTTTCAATCTAAGCCATCTGCCTTACCTGCTATAACTAAAGTAACAATTGAACCTGAACACTACTGTTGCCCTTTCTGAATATTCCTAAACCTATCTAAAAGTTATTTTTAAAAACTGTGATACTTCCTGTCACACAAAAAAAGACAGAAGCTACAAGATAAAAGTCAAACTTAAAAAACTATTTCTAGGGGTTGTGGAGGCATGGCTCAGTTGAAAAAGCGCTAGCCAATGAACGAAAGTTTCAGGTACCAAGTTCAGTCCTGGTCTCAGACCTAAAAGAAAAAAAAAAAAAGAAAGAAAGAAAAAACTTTCTGCCTTTTTCTTTTAAGCTTCTGCAAAGCTCAAAGTATGTATTGTCCTTTGGATCTTCTAGTTTCAACCTTTCCACTTAAATTTACAAACATTGAAGGCATTTTATTAATTATAACTTCTCAAAGGTTGTCTTTCTGATTAGTTTTTTCAAATTTTCTTTCAGCCACCCAAAGTATGTTAACTTTGTTCTACACAGAACCTTTCCATTTAAATTTACTAACATTTAAGACATCATATTGAAGTCATAACTTCTCTAGGGTGGTCTTCTGATTTTTTTTAAATTTTGTACTTTTCTTTCAGTCTCAAAGTATTCAGGCTTTCAAGAAATCCTGTGAAACAAACTTATCAAGACTTTTGAGTATACACTTAAAAATATAATTTTTGGGGTCAGACATAGTGGCATAAACCTGTAATCCCAGGTAGCAGGATCAAGGTTTGAAGCCAGCCATGGGCAAAAAGCAGTAAGGCATTAAGGATTGGAGGCATCACTGAAGTGGTCAAGCACTTGCCTAGCCAAGTATAAGGCCCTGAGTTTAAATGCCAGTTACTAAGAAAAAAGAATACGTAATTTTTAAAAAGTGATTTATACACTATAAGTAATTTTGGTATGCTGTTACCCCCTTTCAACCAGAATAAACCCTTTCAAAATATCCTTCAAAATTCAGGTAGTTTTTTTTTTTTGCCTAGTACTCAAAAATCAATAGTTTATTAGTGTTCTACCTTTCTTGTCCTTCCTTACTAATCAAATAGATAAAAATGGAGCCAGAGAAAAAGAGTAAAATTATGGTATGTGAAGTCAAATATTATTTCACAACTTTGTAATGATTATGAAGACTATCTTGTATGATCAGAAAATACTTATGATGAAGGAAGGATAATAAAAATGAAGTATGTAGTATGACTGAAGTTCTTTTAAAAAAGGCTTATATGTATCACAAAGCTCATAGAACTCATAAATGTTATAGACTGTGATAGACAATTTGCTCCAGGAAAGTTAGAATGTGTTTGTGACTTTAACTGAGCATCACTACCCCACAATAAAAAGAGGCTATATATAGGACTTATATATATATATATATATAGTTATATATAGGACTTAACACAATTTAATATTAAAACTGAGATAGAGCAACAGTACTTATTAACAAATTGTCTTGACTTTATAATTTGTGTTGTCACTGAACCACAAAACTCTAAATTTTACGTACCTGGTACTCGAGAGATCATCTGACATAAGTCAACACTTAAAGCAGCGGCTCTTTGTAAAAGGTAGCCCCAGGAATGCATTTGAATCTCATATCCTAAAAGAATATCAGGATCATACCTAAAGGAAAAAAAAAAAGAAATTAAATGTGGACTATACAACATTTGCAAGCTTTAACTAGGGAGAACTGTTCATAATAGAGATGCAAAACTAAAATTCTATATTCCATATTGGTTCTAAGAGGATGATATAATGGCTCCTACAGAATTTTTATACAAGCGCAGTTTCTTTTGTGAAATGAGCAGTTTTGCTAAGAATGTCTATTTGTTTGACCGGACTTAAGAAAGAGGCTTATGGGGGTAGTGAAATGTGAGGACATGTATAGTAATCCTTTAGGTCATTCAGTTGCCACTTCTCTATTAAATATTCTTAATGCTGAGAAAGAATATTAAAACTTGCCTTCTCTCACTTAATTTTATTGATTTGGTTCTCACACAAAGTACTGTCTAAGTAATGACAGACCTGTCTTTTTAACTTAAGAGGAAGGTGATTCTATTTAATGGGGATGAAAGTAGAGAAGGTAAACATCAAAACCTAGGAGAAAAATGTAATCATGTGGTTACAGAGTTACACTAGTAAAGTTGAACTGGCAAACTGCATTCAACTCAGGAGATATTTTGTGGCTCCTCTCAGGATAATCTTAAGTTTTGACTATCATGAACAAATGTTTGGTTCTGCTGTAAAGGAAAATAAAAAAACTGTATGGCTGGAGGAGAACTTGTAAGTTTGAGAGCTTATACATTTAATATGTTTTGAGAACAAAAACTACATAAACACAATCAAGAATCAACCTCAAAATTACTGTGATTATTTTATTCTTTGGAATTATTCTTTTATATTGTTTTGAGACAGGGTCTCACTATGTAGTTAGTTTAGGCTGGCATTGATTTCATGATAAACCTTAGCCTGCCTCTCAGGTGTTGGGATAACAAATGTGTGCCACCACACCTAGCTTATTATTGTATTCTTTATAAAAACCAAATAGCAAGGGTATAGTGTCTCACTGTAATCCCAGCTACCTGGGAGATAGAGGTTGGGAGGACCATTGAAGATAGCTCAGGCAAAGTTACTGAGATCCCATCAAAATCAAGCCTGTCACAGGTATTTGCTTGTGACCACAGGGAAATGGGTAGTTGTAGGTAGAAGGATTTCAGTCTAAAAATGCTTCTGGGTTAAAAAAATTACAAGTCCCTATCTGAAAAATATCTAAAGCAAAAAAAGCACTGGGAGTGTGGCTCAAATAGTTGAGTGCCTACCTAGCAAGCACAAGGTCCTGAGTTCAAACCACAGTACTTCAAAAAAGGGGAGGGGCAGAATGAATCAGAAACATTGAGCTGGCTTTTACATAATGACTTACAATGTTATTCTTAATTGAGGCTGTATGGCTTTTTCAAATTTATCACTTAATACCCTAAATATCTCAGTCAGTATCTTGAGTATTGGAGTATTATATTAATTTACTGCTACAAACTACCCCTGGTATAAAAATGGATCATAAAGAGATCATTAAACCTGTATTTAGAACCAGTATGCCAATCTTTGATCATACTTCTACAAGTATTTTCTCTTTCTCTTTTGCCAGTCCTGAGGCTTGAACTCTGGGCCTGGGCACTGTCCCTGAACTCTTCAGCTCAAGGCAAGTGCTCTACCACTTGAGCCACAGGCCCACTTCTGGTTTTCTGGTGGTTAAATAGAGATAAGAGTCTCAGGGATGTTCCTGTCTGGGCTGGCTTTGAACTGTAATTCTCAGATCTTAGCCTCCTGAGTAGCTAGGATTATAGGCATGAGCCACTGGCACCCAGCTCAATTTTTTAAATATATATTTTTTATTTTAAAGATAATGTACAGAGGGGTTTTAGTTACATAAGTAAGGTCATGAGTACATTTCCTATTGAGCCTGTTATCTCCTCCTTTGTTTTTCCCCTACCATCATTTTTTAACTTGGATACAGCCTAATCTTAATAGAATAACATATGAGATTAGAGTAGTAGCAATGAGAAAAAAAGGAAGAAACTTGAAATGGAGACAGTTATATTATTTTAAAATTACTATGGTTTAAAAATACCATTTTCCAAATCATGTTCAGTGAAATAAGCCAGATGCAAAGCAACATAGGTCCCATGGTTTCCCTTATTTGCAATAGTAAGTATACATCTAGGATAATCTTAGCAGATAAGCAGAATAGCTCAATTGCTATGTACATATGACCACATAAGATGACGCTAAACAAAATGAACTCCAAGACATGGACACAAGAGGTTTTTCTTTGTTACTGTTGTTTTTAATGTACTATGTGATTTTTTTTGTTTCTTTTGTATGTTCTTTCCCCTATGGTATATTTCATTATCACTGTATTTGATTCTGGTACCCTGGTATACATATTTATTTGAATTAGGGAAGGGAAGGGAACAACAGAATGGTGAACAAAAGACAAAGGAGGAACCAATGCAACAGTGATGTTCACAAGACAATATGTTGGAAATTATCGGTACAACTTGAAGGAAATTGTAGGGGAGAGAGAAAGTAGGAGGAAAATGAGGGAAGGGGTAAGAAGTTTGACAAGAAATATACTTTTTACCCTACTTACGTAACTGTAACCCCTCTATATCACCTTGACAATAAAAAAAATTTAAATACCATTTTCCAGTACCAAAGTTAAACATTCCATATTTTTTTGCATTAATAAAAGTGTGAGCACTGAAAACATCTGACACATTGATGTAATCTCTGTGAGAAGATAAAAGGTAGAACTGACAATGGCAAGACAGGCATCTTATCTAGTCACCAGTGCTATAAATAGCAAAAATGATTTCTTTTTTCCTCTCTAGAATAAAGTACATTTCTCTCTTATAGAAATGAAAAGGAGGCATTTATTTTAAAATTAATATAGATTAAAAACACCATTTTCATAAATTTTGACAAGATTTCATTATCAACCAATATCAAATGGTCTCAAACAAAATACTCAAAATAGTACTGAATAGTAGATGGCTCCAAGGTAGCAGTTTATTTAATAAGTTATACTATTTGATTTTCATACAGTTCTCCATTATTTCAGACCCATAGAAAAATCCAGCCTAATATGCACCTAAGAAATCAGAAGCTAAGCAAGCTTCTTCTCCTGCTCAATTGTGAAAATAGTTTTTCATATGAAAATTATTTTTCATATCCCTTATATATTGATGGTGGTCTGAGGTTGAGTGCATAAACTTTGCAGGGCTAATTCTCTACTTTCAAAGCTCACAGAGAATTCTCTTCCTCTTTCAAATATTTACCCATATATCTACAACAACATGAAAAGATCGAAGAAACAAAGACTAGAAAAATTAGAAAATACAAGTTAATACCTCTTCATTATATTTGCAATTTCTTGAAAGAGTGCCTTCTCATCAGCAGCATATGTAACTTCTAGTCCTGTAATTCCAGATCTGATAAGCAATGGGGTCTGATATCTGATATCTAAGAAATAAACAAGATGGGTATTGTTAATATTAATTTATGTAATTCTACATAAAATATTAGGACTTGCTTTAAGTGCACGACTAACATATTTCAAATCAAGCATTCGTTAAAGTATAACAAACCCAACTTCTGGAAAAACTTCTAAACAATTCCCTCTTTAAGAAATAAAAAAGATTCCATTTGTAGTGCTTGCCTATTTCCATGACATGACGACTTCTATGGCTCACTTAAAGTGATATGTTAGTTATTTATTTGTGGGGAGGAGGATGAGATGCCATACTAGAGTTTCACCAAGAACCTTCATGAGCCAAGCCCCTAACTCTTTTTGCTAGGATGGATCTCAAACTTCAATTATCCTATCTCACTTTGTGGAGCAGCTGTAAACCACCACACCTAGCTCAACATCAACTACACAGTAATTAACTCATGAACTGGTATGAGCCACCTCAAAGGCACAAATAATTAAACTTCAATGGTTATATGGTTTTGTTCTATATTAACACTTCCACAATGGACCAAATTCATTTTTATTGTTATTATTTAAAATTGCAGAGAAATTTGTATTTTATAAAATCCGTCTATATTACTCGAGGAATCCATGCACTTTCAAAAATATAAGTATTTAGAAGATACAAATACCTTGAAAATTACTTATAAATCGTTAACTTCTAAGGTAAACAAATTCTACGCTTGTAACAAAATACATCTATTTGTGGAAAATTATCTAGCCAATTATGGGTCTATGTATCCCAAGGTCTATTATCTATGTATACCCATCTAGAGATACATAGTCATTTGGATTCTGTATGAATAAATTATAGATATCCTAATTAGAATTTTACTAAGACCTTTATGTTATGTTGCTTCTGATTGCCATCTCTTCCTTATCTTGGTACTAAAATAAAATAAAAATCTAAGATAATAAAAATCTAAGATAAATCTGGGTCTTACATGTTAGGTTAGTGCTCTAACACAAAGCCACAACCCTAGTCTACTTCTCATACTTGGAAATAATTCAAACAAAAATAATGAATGTAGGACAAAGTTCATACAACTTCCTATCCCCATTTCAGCAAACATTTTAGAAAGAAGTCATTGGCTTCCCTGGATTATATCTCCAACACAGAATTTCTCCTCAAATTCCCTGTTAAAAGACTCATCCTAAAACAGGCAGTTAATAAATTAATTAATAAACATCAATATTACCTTGACCAAAGACTGTTTTATCTTTATCAATCACTATTACACCAGTGAGTTCTGTTTTTTCTGTATCTGGGAGTGGACTGTCTGATGAAATACAGTAGAACAAGGCACAGATTGGATCAAACTCAGGATCTGGTTCCAAATCTCTTCTAGTTCGAGCATGTAACTCCACACTGATTAGGGTAAGATTTTGTGTCTATAAAAGGATTGAAAGATTGAAACATTGTTTTTCAGATATGCATTCTCAAAAAAATGTTTCACTAAGACTATTAGGAAGTATGTGTGCAAATTACTGAAAAGTGGCCATAAGTCACAATACCACACAAATTTATTAAACTACAAAGTTTTACTTACAGGGTGCTATTAAATCAGATTATGTTTTTATTCTATAAAATGAGCTATAATCCCTTAATGACAATACCTATAAATATTTCTCTAATATATATATAATACCTCTCAATTAAGATAATTTCTGTTTAGAAAGAAAATGAGTAGTCCAAGTGGTTATGTTCATGTAAGCTAGTCGGTCATTATTTACTCTTTATACAGTTAACTAAACTGTACTTGTCATTAAACCAAAAAGATTTTTTTTTAAAGTTTAATCTGTTACTATTTGAGGGGTAAATTTAGACTTTTATACACACTAGGGAAAAATTTTAAACTACAGTTTTTCCTAAAACTACCAACTGCATAACCATATTTTACCAATGTAAATATTATGCCATTTAATAAAAAGCTTTTTATACTGCTAATAAAAACTTAACTATATACTCAGTTCTTCCTAAAATCATATACTTAAGACTCTAGTTATTCAGTAACCTGCAGTAGGATGATGGCTTGAATCCAGTTTAAAGTCAAATGTGAGCAACAAAGCAAGATCCTGTCTATAAATCATTAATTAATTAATTAAAAAATTAAAATATCAAAAACTCATGTTGGCCCTTAAGAACTCTAAGTAAGAAAAACAAAACACAGCCTGGGTTCATCAGCATATGGTATATTTACTACGTATATAAGCACCAATGGCTTATGCCTGTTCCCAGGAGGTTGAGATCTAAGGATCACAGTTCAAAGACAGCCTAGGCAGGAAAATCTATGAGACTCTTATTTCCAACTAACCACCAAAAAGCTAGAAGTAGAGCTGTGGGCTCAAGTAGTAGAGGGCTAGCCTTGAAAGAAAAAGCTTAGGGACAGAGTTCAGGCTTGAATTCAAGACCCAGGGATGGCACAAAACACAAAAACAAAACTCATATAAATGCTACTAGTATAATCTTGTTAGTTAATCATATCATATAAGTTTACCAAAAGATTTGCATTTAGTATTTAGCTTGAATGTAAACTAATGAAGAAATGTAAATGATAGGTGTAGGATTTGGCAAATCTTTTTGAAGGACAATTTAGAAGTATCTATCATAATTGCAAATAGGGATATCCTTTGATCTAGAAATTTTATTCCTGAAAACTTATCTTATACTCTGAATGTAGTAAAAATATATGCATAAAGATGGTTATCCAAGGTTTTATAATAGCAAAAGACTCGAAAAACCCTAAATGGGGCCAGATGTTGAGACTCACAGACAAATTTCTGGTCACTCTGGAGACCGAGCTCTGAGAACTAAGGCTTTGAGCTAGCTGAGCAAAACAAACAAACAAATATCCAAAAGACTGTTATTCCCAAGTACTAGCAAAAAGCCAGAAATGAAGGTATGGCTCAAGTGGTAGATAGAGCACCAAAGAAGCCAAGCAAGAGTTTAAGACACTAAGTTCAAATACCAGTACCGAAATATTAAATCTTTTCCCTCTCTGGTTATGAAATTTGCTTTTTAATTATGTAAGAATCATATTAGTCATAAGGGCTACATGTGATAGAATATACTGTAACCTTTACAATTTTCAAAAGAATGAGCCAGGTCTAAATGTCTTAATATGGAAATATCAATGTAATTCATTGGTAAATGAAGAATTGGGAATATAGTACAAAGTAAATACATAGAAAAGTTCAGTGGAGGCACAAAATGTAAAACTTATTGCCCTGACAGAAGAAAACTGGTGACCTGAAGCAAGATGAGGAAAGCTTACTTCTTGTTGTAAATTTTCTGTCCTCCTTTTTACCATATACATGTGCATATTAGTAAATTGGTTGAATGCTTTTTACGTTATTATATGTATATATATATATATACACATATACATATATATATATATATATATGTATGTATATTTTGTTTTTTTTTTGTCGGTCGTGGGGCTTGAACTCTAGGCTTGGGTACTGTCCCTGTGCTCTTCAGCTCAAGGCAAGTGCTCTACCACTTGAGCATAGTGCCACTTCCAGTTTTCTAGTGGTTTACTGGAGATAAGAGTCTCATGGACTTCCTGCCTGGGCTGACTTTGAACCGTGATCCTCAGATCTCAGCCTCCTGAGTAGCTAGCATTACAGGGATGAGCCACCGGTGCCCCTCTTACTTTATATATACTATATATATACCTTACATTCACAGTTTTCCATTTATCAATGTATTATAGTGATATATCGATATTAAGACCATTCGCTTAATCCCTTCTTTCCTTCATTCATTCACTTATTCTACTGGTAGTGGGCTTGAACTAACTTATTCTTTTAAGGCTGGCACTACCACTTGAGCCACACCTCCACTTCTGGCCTTGGGTAAGTCTCCAATTTATCTGTCTGCCTCAGCTGGCTTCAAACTAATCCTCAGGTCTCAGCCTCTTGAGTAGCTAGGATTACAGGTGTGAGTCACCAGTGTCAGGTCTGTAACTTTTACTTTTAAATATACATTCTATTATTAAGTTGTTATACAAAGGGTTAACATTCTATAAGTCACATTATGAGTACAATGCTTCTTGGTGTATGTCACCCCTTCCTTCATTCTCCCCCACTTTCTCCTTCCAATCTCTACATTCAAGTTACATAGGTCATTTTTTAACATAATATACATTGAATGTAATGACATTTGTTCACTTTTTAAAACATTTTAAACATAAAACTTTTTAAAAACTCTTAAGAAATTAGAAAGCCACAATGGAAATAATAAAACAAATAATCACAAACCCAATACTTTCCCAAAATTGCCACTGATGTTTCTATTTAAAATTTTTTTAATTTAAATAAGTACAATGGAGAGTGAAGGAAAAGAACTTTCACATATATGTATATATATAAGAGGTATGCAGTGCTGTAGTTTGAATCTAGAACTCCACACATAGTAGGCAAGGGCTCTGCTACTGAGTCATACCTAGGCCCCAGGAATGTCCATTTATTCATTAACTCACTTATTCTGCTGGTACTGAGACTTGAATTAGATTGTTCCCTTAAGGCTGGCTCTACCACTTGAACCACACCTCCACTTCCAGCTTTGGCTAAGTCTCAGATTTATTTGTCTGTATGAGCTGGCTTCAAACTGTGATCCTCAGATTTCAGCATCCTGAGTAGCTAAGATTACAGGTATGAGTCACCAGTGCCTAGTCTAGTACTTTTACTTTTAAATGTAATTCTTCAGGATTTTAACTTGACAAGTAGAATGTACTAATTTAGTAAATGCCAAATTTTGACTGGAAAAAATCTCCTTCCCAGAGCCAAACAGAACAAAACAAACATTTCAATTAGGAAATGATAATGATGTGGAAAAGAGTATAGAGAAGAGTCTGAAAGGTGGATTTCGTTAGTAGAATTTTATGTTCGAATGTTTTCTCTCTAGTCCTGATATAAAAAATGGATACTATTCTTAGGGGCATTATTTCAAGCAAACATATAATGAGATGGCTAGAAAGGCTTAATAAATGTTGCTAAGCAAAAGGAGAACAAGGATTGCTCTTAGGCACTGAGTGCTGATAATGCAGAGAAAGTTAAGTCCAGAGTCATGGAAACAAGATATCAAGAGACACAGGTCCCTAGACAATGGGAGAGAATACTGTCATTTTAGGTTCACTTCCTCTTTTGACCACAAGGTGGCTATTAAGAATGTATACTGAGAAAACGAAGTCTGTCAGTAATCAACCAGATATTTTCAGTGATTTTAACCTCAGAAGGACCATGATCCTGAAATCAGATTATGTAGAACAAATACATAGAAAATTATGTTTTTCAAATAATGCAAATGCAAACAACAGAATAAGTCTTTAAGGCTAGAGAGCTAGTACAGGGCCAGGTACAAAAATAGGAGGTACATAAATGCTGTTAAATAAAAAGTTTACAAATGAATAAATCAGGGAGTAAACTATGTCCTAACTGAATTCTAATAAAACTGAGCTTAACTTTCAGGTGGTTACTAATTCTTTGCTACATATGCGAGAAGACATAGCAATGATAAAATTAATACTTTCCAAAAGAAATATAAACCAAAAATAATCTAAAATTTTCTAGTAGCAACATTTTAAAAAGTAAAAGTAAAGTTAACTTAATCTTAAAACATTACAAAAATTTAATCCAATACAGTTTGAGAATTCCTTATCCAAAATACTTGGATCCAGATATTTGGACTTTGGGAAATTTACACATACATAATGAGATATCTCACGGATGGTACCTAAGTCAAAGCACAAAATTTATTTATTTTCGTGTGCGTGTCTGTGTGTCCTGGGGTTGGGGCTTGAGCCCAGGGCCCGGGTATACCCCTGAGCTTTTTGCTCAAGGATGGTATTCTACTACTTGAGCCACAGAGCCACTTCAGGCTTTTTTTTTTTTTTTTTTGCTGGAGATAAGAGTTGCATGGCCTTTCTTGCCTGGGCTGCAATCCTCAGATTTCAGCCTGCTGGTAGTTAGGATTACAGGCATGAACCACAAGCAGCTGGCTGATTTACTATTCTTATATAACTCATAAATTCAACTTGTAGGTAATTTTGTACAATATTTTGAGTGTATCTCTGCTTTGACTATAACTTGTCATGTGAGGTTAGACATGGAGTTTTCCATGTGTGGCATCATATCAGTACTCAAGAAGTTCTGGATCCTGGACTTTTGGATTAAGAATGCTTAACCTGTACATTTAAAATACCATACTTTCAACAAGTAACTAATATAAAAGTTACTGTTACATTCTTTAACTTATTGAATATTTGAAATCAATACGCCATTTTATATTTACAGTGGATTTCTGTGAATGCTAAATTTTCTATGGCAAAACTTCATCTATATTTAGAGTTCATAGAATTTACAGTGGAAATAGTTATATTACATACTTAAGTTGTTCAAAGCATACTTTAAAAAAACTAATGTATAAGTTGAATATCAGTATTTAAACCCAAAATAATTACAATAAAATTTAAAATTTCATTCTTCAGCTGTCTACTCTGAATTTTAAGCTCTCAATTGTTAGTGGCTAACCAGAATAAAAGCCCCTACATAATGAAAATAATGTAAACTGATTTCCATTGTATTGCTAGCCAGTATGTTTTGAGATTTAAACATCTAAATTTATAGTGACTCATTTACAAATTTTTTCAATTCCATATTATGACTTATGTACTTTGTGGTAAGATAATGTCCTAGTCTTCGGCATGTAAGTTGTACTGTGAAAATAAATAGCTATCAAGATTATGTGAATAAATTAATGTGTCCTCTTTTGTAGCAAGCTCTAACATTCTCAACCAACCAAATAGAAAATGTAAATAGAAGTCACATTGAAGATGTGACATTTGATGTGATTAGTTATACATATTTTATCAATGTAATTCTAATATTTAAAATTATTTAACATCTATAAACTAAACTTCAGTTACTAGATGTGAAAACTGTGAAACTACAACTGATCATGCTTTAAGTTTACTTTATATAAATGAAAATAACAAAGACAGAATTCACTGTATCCTTCCCTCACTGAATTATTTTCAAACTTGTTCTATAGAATAAATATGAACACTGCAATTTTACCTCATGTAAAGCTTTTGCCTCCTGTAAGTTTTGTATGCTGACTTTGAAACCGTAAGTGTTGTTCAAAGATGGTCCATCAATCTGAGACGTTTCTTTCTTGGGGGAATTTACTGCTGCAAACTGATTCTATTAAAAAGACACATAGCCAGAAAAGATAAATGAATAATAATTTTCTTTTGTTTCCTTATCACCACTTAGAAAATATATTTTATGTGTTTAAACATATGTCTTTTAAAGTCCAAGAAAAAAATTCCATTCTAGTAACTGGATATATACACACATATCAGATACAACCTATAACCAAACCATACGCTGATCTTTGTTTTTGCTATTCCCAAACACTACAAACAACATTGGTACAGAGCTGGCATTTATGTGACCTGGACATTTATGCTGAGTACTTTTTAGAAGACAAGCAGTAATTAATATAAAGTTTTATAAATTGAATTTGTATTTTACCCTAGTATTACATGTACCTGAAAGATGAATTACAAAACTCAAATATTCAGATAAAAGGTCATTTTTTTTCTGCTTACAAATCCATTTACCATTCTCCTTAAAATGTTGATTTGTTTTATAACTCACTGGCAGTAGCTATTAATAAATAACTTAAACAATTTTATAAATAAAAGTCTAAAAAGAATAGGTATAAATACTGAAATACATTTTATATAATATTCACAAGAAGCTGTCAATATGTGATTTCCAATTAATATTTTTCCAAGAATAGATGTGCAATGTTCTCCACATAACCATAAATATTTCTAAGTATTATATTTTAGTATCTAAATATTGTTACAAACTTCTCAGTTTCAGTAGTATAAAATGTTGCTTTCCTTCTCTACTTAGTGAAGTAAACTGAAAAAATTAATAGTTATATTTGAGAAAAAATAAACCAAGGAAAAGGATATATTTTTGGTGGGATCAAAAATCACTTACTTGAGCTCTGCTGTCATTGGATTGTTCTGATTTTGCCAGTAATCAGTTAATGTATTTGTATCCTCATAATCCACATTTTGGCTATCATATTCACTTTCTCTGTAATATTTGTATTTACATATAAGAATCTTTTAGATCCCAGCATTTAAAAAAACTTAAAAAATAGGCAATTTGTTCTCTCAAAGATATGTAAATAATGATGAAAAATATAAGCAATGAAAAAATTTAATTGAGACACAGCTTTTATCAATTATCTAACTGAAATCTAACAGTAAGACTGGATCTTCCATTGACTGTAAATTTGTTTAGTGTAATTACCTTCGTCTGAGTTGTTAAGAGTACTCTTCTAAGAGTGTCAGTATTACTTCCTTTCTTATTACTCAACTTCTGTGTTTTTGGTTCTGTAAAAAGAAATTTTATTTTTACTCATACATCAAAATTACCTGCTTCTGTTTTAAAGAAAAATTTTGTTTTTACAAACAATTGTAAGTATTGCTCTAGAATTCCCCAAGTACTTCATAATGTTTAAGTAAAACTAATCCTTCCACATAGCTTGGTGGGCAGGTACATTTTACTGCACTCAGTTTCTTTATGGTTGAGATAGAATTATAAATATCTAAATGGTCACATGCAGAAAAAAGGTTTCCCATCCCTGATTGTATACCAATACCCTAAGTAGATACCTTAGCTATGAATAATATTGAACCCCATACATACATATTTTTTACATATGCATGCCTATGATCAAGTTCAACTTAGAAATTAGGTACAGTAAAAAGAATAGCTAATAATAACAAACATACAATAACATACTGTAATGTAATAAGTTATGGAAGCCAAAGAGTAGTTATTGAAGGATTCAGGTAGGTGTTAGAAAGAAAAGTGAAGGATGACTAGGTTTCTATGAGGGACACATATATGAGTATGTGTGTTTGAGAAGGCAGTAGTGAATGTGTGCAGATTGAGAATAAGTGTTAAAAAATACTGATCTTGTGGTCCCTTTGAGTAATCAGGTAGAAGTGATAAACAGGCAGCATCATAAGCTGTTCTGAAAACAGAATACCGAACTAGAGATATAAATTTGTGTGACCTGTATTAATCTTAGCGAAAAAATATGAAGAAGGCCTTAATAAGCTCTAACATTCAGATAATTGAGAAGAGGGAGCTGTTTTAAGGGAAGAAACTGAAGAATAAGGGTAACAGAAGAAAACTTAGAGTGGACTAAGAAAAAGGACTAAATAAATACAATGTTAAACTAGAGAAGTGTTTTTTAAAAAACTGGCTTTGAAGGGGAGGAGAAAGTAGATACAAGCTGGCTGGAGACAGAAAATCATAGGAAATTTTGGTTTTGTTTCTATTACATTTCTTTTTTCTCTTTCAGCAGTACTACTAGGGTTTGAACTCAGGGCTCATACTTGCTAGAGAGTTGCTCTGTCACTTGAAACATACTTCAAGCCCTTTTGGCTCTAGTTATTGTTTAGATAGGGTTTCAAGCTAAATTTTGCTTGGGCTAGTTTCAGACTACAATCCTCCTACTTTTGCCTCCTGCATAGTTGGGATTACTAATATGATCCACCATCCTTAGTTTGTTGAGATAGAGTCTTGCAAACTTTTTGCCCTAGCTGGCCTCAAACAGTGAACCTCTCATCTCTACCTCCTGAGTAGCTAAGATTACAAGTGTGCACTACCACAAAGAGGGGTCAAGGGTATAGCTCAGTGGTCTAGTGTTTGTGTGAGGCCCTGGATTTGATCCCCAGAACCATGAAAGTAAATGGGTAAGTAGACAGGTAAATAAATGGATGATGGGAAACGTTTGGCTATATGTAAAAAAGCCAATGGGGAAAATTAAGCTAAGAAGGTAAGGGTTATTATTTTTTTTAGAGGGTTGTTGTATTTTACCTAAAAGGTAGTAAGATAGGATGGAAATATTTTAGAGCAGAAAGATTGTTTCCACATGTTGATTTTATAAAACATAAAGTAGTAACTATCTCTCATTCCTTGGCTAAAATTTCATTTTAAAAGCTATGATTTTTGCTATAGTCTGATGCCTTTACACTACAAGGGTATTTACATTATATACTTACCTGTTGATAAAGGGCTAAGGTCAGTTGCTTCAGGAAGCCTTTCCAGAAGTTTTCTCTGTATAATTGGTGTACTATGAAGGCAAAATGATTCACATTTCTCAGTTCTTGCCTTAGCATTAATTGGAGAGATCATTAGTGGCTGCTGAGGCTCACTACAAGGGCTTTTGTGTATATCATCTTTTATTGGCTTTACGAAGTTCTCAACAGCCAGAGAACATAGTTCCTCTACGGTTGATGAAGGTCTATCATCTCCACATAATGCTTTGAAATTTGGGGATGCTGCTTGTTGCCAAGGGGGAATTACTGAAGAATCAGGGGAGCTATCATTAACATAATAGCTACTGTCATCATCTTCTTTCTCAGGATTATCTGTAGGGGCAATTGGTAACAACATCTGACTACATCCCGTGGTTGGTGCTACTAAAGCAATCTGAGAATGAGCAATAAGCTCCTTGGTATGTGATGCAGAGGGAAGTAAATGTGGACTTACATCCATTTGTGGAAGCACTATAGGTTTCTCATCTGGATTAACTAATGAACTGAACTGCTCAGCACATTTTACAATTGGCTCAGTCTTAGGGAATTTTTTATAATGTTCATATTCTTCTTTGGCTTGAAGCCATGCTTGAACCAGTTGTCGACTTGGGGCACATTTACAAGGCATAATCACAATTTTTTTATCTTCAACCATTTTATGGCTATTACTTGACCCTTTATTGACAATTGCTTGGCCATTACAAACAGGTGACCCTGGTCTGGGATTCTGAGTCATTGCTGAGAAGGCTGTTTTCCACAAACGAAGTCCTTCCAAGGAAAAGTCTCCTTCAAACTCTGCCAGATCATTTGGAAGTCGAGTTTCTACCATAAGGAGCCGTCCACCAATCTCCCTATAAACAAATTTAAGAACAAATTTTTTTTTTTCTCAAAGAGCATTACAAAAATATTTCATTCCTTATCTAAACATATTTTAGGGTCTCTTTTGGAGTTTTAAATATACTCATCTCTTTCTTCTCATCCACCCCCATTTTAGGTAGGAACACTCTATCAATATGCTTTTCCTCACAGGTATCTGACTGCCAAATTAATTTCTGTTGGAAGGCATCAATGCAATAGGAAAGAGGCATTTCTTTTTTTAGTGCCCCATGAAACCCTTTCCCCCCCTTTTTTTTAAACCAAGAAGACACACAAATGCATCACATCCAACTTTTTAGTACCACTAATCTTAAGGTAAGTTTCCACTCTTATCATAAATGGGTAAAAACAAGGCAATTTATCATTGAGAGCTTATACTCTTGAATTTTATCTGTGTACCCTATATTCTCTACTGCACATAGTAATTTAGTAAAGCCAGTCAATTCAAACACATCTTCGTATTTCCCAAAGTCCCTCAATCATAAAAACCTCACATGCTTACTGGTGACAATGGCAGTGCTCAGCCTGCACAAGACCTTTGGCTTAATCTCCAGCACTAAAAATCTAAAAAACAGTAAGGGTGCAGTAGCTCAGCCTCTAATACCAGCTACTCAGGGAGTGAAGACTGGGAGGATTGTGATGTAAGCTCAGCCCAGGCAAAGAGTTAGCAAGACACCACCTTAATCAATAAGCTGGGGATGTTGTATGCATCTGTCATCCCAGCCATAAATGAAGACTGTGGTGTAGGCTACCCTAGGCAAAAACATGAGATATAATCTGAAATATAACTAAAAGTAAAAAGTGCTGGAGTGTGGCTGAAATGGTAGATTGTATGCCTAGCAAATATGAGGCCTTAAACTCTAGTATCATCAAAAACAATAAAGAAAGCATGGTAAGTACAGGGCTGACACCAACATAAGAACTTAGGAGGGGGGTCTTTAGGACACTGGGGTGTGCCCCTGAATAGACTAAGGAATCTTGGTGTCATGATCTCTTTCCCATGATGTGCTGGCCTGTCAAAAACTCAAAGAAATGAGGTCAACAGATCATGGACTGGAACCTCTAAAACTGCGAGCCCAATTGACCTTTTCTCTTTATGTTAGTTGATTAAGGAGTTATAATTATAGACAGCTAGAATAATCATTTTAAACCCTTAAAAAATAAAATTCTAAGGTCCTGAAGACCTTCTAGTAGACCCTACCTCTTAAGGTTTTCCACCACTTCCCAATATTGTCAAGCTAGGGACTTGTCAAGGGACTGAGTCCCTTAACACATGGGCCTTTGGAGCATACTCAAGATCTAAACCATAGCAAAGAACATACACTTACAATTACTAATGGAGGTTTTTTGGTGTTTTTTTTTTTTTGGTTGTTGTTGTTGTTGGTCCTGGGGCTTGAACTCAGGGCCTGGGCACTGTCCTTGAGCTTCTCTGTGCTCAAGGCTAGTGATCTACCATGTCAGCCACAGCGCCACTTCCAGCTTTTTCTGTTAATGTGGTACTGAGGTATGAAACCCAGGGCATCATGCATGCTAGGCATGAACTCACCACTAAGCTACATTCCCATCCAACTAATGGAGGTTTTAAAATTATTTCTAGTACAGACTACTTTCTTTTTTTAAAATGTTTTTTATTGTAAAAATACTGTACAGAGGGGTTACAGTTATATGAGTAAGGTAATGAGTACATTTCCTATCGAGCATTGTTACCTCCTCCTTTGTTTTTCGCCTACTATCCCCCTACCCTCCCTACCTCACCCCCACCCCGCCCCGAGGTTGTAAAGTATGTTTTCAACATAGTGTCTTATACATCTCATTGTTACAGTGGGTTAACCTGTATCCTTATTTCAGCATTTTGTTATTTCCCTTCCCCTCCTCAAATTAGAAAATTGTATATACAAGATGCAGGGCAGCAGTACTTTCTTTTCATGTGGTTTCAATATCTTATGCAGGGCACCAGTACTTTCTTTTCATGTGGTTTCAGTATCTTTTAGTATAAAAATTTAACATAAAAAAACAACATTGTGCAATATAGTTCAGTGAATACTAGTCTAGCACGGTATGAGACTTTGGGTTTGATCCTAGCTACACATATACACCAAAAAAAAATCATCTTATACTTTATAGTACTATACCATTCTTTTTAATTTGGAACTATGTTACTGTAGGCCTCTAATTCTCTAATTCTGAAAGGAGATATGGTGTTAAATAATAGTGACTGAAATCCAATACTCATTAACTTAAACACATTTGTCTAGAGTAATCATCAGGTTGTAGATTCTCTTAGTAAACCTATAATTATAATTTTTTCTTAACAATACTTACAAGTACAATAGCACATGCAAAATAAGCAATCATGTATCAAATGTTATATGCAAAATAATTATTCAGTCACCTAAAGGGAAAAACTTATTCTGATTACCTGGGTTTTTCTGGTACATCAGAAGGATTACTGCAAAATGGTTCCTGGTATATAGTCTCAGAAAGGTCATGATCCAACAAAGTTGCTACAATTTCTTCTCTACTTGGTGGTGACATAAGTGGTTTCAGAATATGAGCAGTGCGAGAGGTGAAACTGCCATTTTTAGATTGTAAAGGAGAACTAGTAGACCTTGGTGAACTATCAGGACTTGGTGTCAATATATCATTGTTTCTTGAAACATACAATTCTAAATCTTCAGAGGCTGCATCCACAAGCTCACCATCAGGGGAGGAAAGTATTGTAGTAAAAGAGGTATTAACCGAGTCAAGAGACTGCCTCAATTCTTTCCTATTATGACCTTGAAGCCAGTCTGAATTGCTTGGTTGTGGGAGGTTAAGAAACACTTCTTTGCTCACTGTACTCCTATTTAATCTGGATTTTTCACTGAGACAGTCCTCTGCTTGCTGGACACAGAAAGAATCCATTATTGAATTAGATCGAGTTGTTAGAGGATGAAAGCTATTTTTCCATTGGTTGTGGCGATGACTCTCATTGCAATCTATGGACGATTTCTCAAAAAGTTCAGGACTTAAATTTCCAGATCTAATCCATGAGGCTGAGTCAGAAACATGATGCTTCTCTTCATCACACTTCTGGTTGTCATGACTTAAAAATTCATTTTTTTCTTTAGCTTGTCCTGGGAAGAGATCCTGAACAGCATCACTTAGAAACTTTTGAGGCAAATTGGGATCAGCTGGAACAAACTGACTGCCAGAATATAAGCTACAAAATCCAGTTTGACCTATTGTGTTAATATCAAAATTATAATTATGTTCAGGAGACAAACTATCTTCAAGGGAATAACAACTTTCAAAACCTGGATCTGAAAAAAAGATGGGACTATCATCTGACAATGAATTATCTAACTGGCCAGAGTTTTGTAAATTTAGAGACTCTACTTTTAGATGTTTGGCAGTTTTTTCTTTAGGTTTTGTACTTCTGGGAGTACGAGGTTTTCTTGGAGATGTTACTGATCGTGTCCGTTTATTTGCTTTATTATGTTCGAGGGAACCAGAAATATTTCTGTTTGGTTGATGTTTATTAGATAATTGGTCTTGTGTAATATTTGAATTTTGTGCTTTCAGCTGTCTTTTTTGTAACAATTCTTTTAGAACTGCTAGTCCAGACTGTCCTTCACCAAAAGATGACGGTGTTGACATATTTTGATTTTTACAATGAGAAAGTGTTTTAGTTGGTGAAATTGCTTCCGACAATGACCTTTGTTTTACTTTGTCAGGTTTAAAATTTGACATATCTAAAATAAAGCCCCTTTGTTTCTGCTCCCATGCCATTTGTTTGACTGGACTTCTTAAGGAAGTTACAATGCAATTATTAGGCATCTGGCCTTCTTCAGAAGCTACATTTCGGGGAGAACTAGCTTCACTATGTTTTGATTGTTCTGTCATGCACACAATCTGCTGCTGACTATCTTTGCAATGCAAAAAATTAGGAGCATAGATCTGGTCTGATTTTGATTCTAGGGTATTATGATACTCACTTAACTTCCCAATAGATGGCATATAATTTTTCTTTGTATTTGTATTCTCTTCTATCTTTGGAGACATTACACTTGAAGACATCTGTGAACTTTGTGCAACCTGAGACAAATGGTTGGAAAGGTCAAATATATTTTTTTGAATCAAGGTTGATTCCTTTAGAGAAAACATAGCACTTTGATTATGAGACCTCTGAATATTAATTTTTGAGATTCCAGGTGCTATAGATCCACAAACAACTGATGAATGAAACTCATCTAGTGAACTAGGGAATGTCTGCAAATCTATAGACTTTTTGCTTTCTAAAAATGAAGAAAAGCATCCAGATAACTTCTGTTGTGCATTGATTCCCATAGGCTGTGGAGCAGTAAGGGGATGATCTGTAGAAGAGCCTGTGAGGCACACCTCTTTCTGCTTAAGAAGTACTTGAGAGCTAGAACTATTTGTGAGCTCAGAAATATTCTGATGCTTTAGCATAAACTTAACTTCAGTACCAGACTGAGGTTTTATTTTCTCATCCTTAAGCATTATGTGTTTTCTTGATGTACTTTTCTCATTTGTTTTTTGTTTCTGTTTGGCTCTTGGCTTCTTTTTTCCATCATCTACTAGTTTATGTGTCTGTTTCCGTTTGTTTCTCTTCTTAGTAACTACAGAAGAATTAACAAGCTTTGTTTTTGATTTCTTAGCTTGCGTTCTCGGCCGACTATTTTTTCCTACACGAGAATTAGCTGTCTTACAATTTAATGCAGTAGGACTCTTAAAAAGCATTGTTTCTTTTTCTGCAGCAGCTATAATTTCTTCAGCTCTTGGATCTGTGGGAGACCAGCAGCGAGGTGGAGAAGAATTGATAGGGCTTGTGCTTCTCTCAGAAAGAAAACCTAGTTTAGACATAACATCACTATAAGTTAAGTCACAGTCTTCGGTTTCAGCATTATAAGATGGTGAAGGAGGAGAAAGAACAGCATGGGATCGCTTTTTCCTGAAAGATAAAGTTCTTTTAATATTTTCACTATTTGTCCTTTGTTGTTTACCATTTCTTTTCTTAGCAGACTTATGTTTTGATTTTCTTCTGTGACTTTTCTTTGGCGTTAGTGGATAAATGGGATATTTGGTTGCAGGGGAATCAGGAACTTTTGGCCAAAAATCCTTCAAAGGTGCAAGTTTTTTATATAGTTCCATTTTTTCCTCTGTTAATATTACTTGTTTTTCTTTAGAGTCTACTTTTCCTAGCTTCACAAGCATATTTTTCCTCCCTCTAAATCTATTAATAATAATATACTTAATAATGACAGGGGGCAGCTTTTTAGACATTTTTCTTCGTTTTCGAGATTTGAGAGTTCCATCTAAACTTTCACTGATTTCCATGGCATGAGGTAGGCTAATTTTTGTGTTATGTGTTACAAAACTTGACTCACTATCTTCAGTTTCATAATTTACCTTGCGTTTGGCCCGAAGTGTGTATTTATTTCCATACAGTCCAAAGGACTGTTCAGTTTCTAAGGTTCCATCTCCAAAGTGACAGTCTAAAAAATTGTCTGTAGATGTTTTGTTTTCAAAAGTTCCACAAGTGGCTTTAATTACATCACTGGCCAAAGCATTATTTTTCTCAGGATTGCTATTATATGGATTATTTTGCACACAACTATTTTTTGTGGTTTCAGTCTCATTACTTTTGGTAGAAATCTCCTGATGACCCACAAGTTTCCTTTTATTCAATTTTAGCCGGGATGCTTTACTGCCAGCTTGTAGTTTATATGTGACAGGAGAAAGTTTTTGTGGTCTAGTGAGACAATTAGAAAGAACAACACTGGGAAAAAACATATAATGTGCTGCTTGCTGGCTGAGACTTGGCTTTTCTGGTTTATGTTCTTGAAATTCTTCATATCTGATTTTAAGTTTATTTAGTCCACTCTCATCAGCAATGTTATCAAGAGAATGTGCCACAGTTCTATTCTCCCCTGAGCATGATAGCGAGTCACAATTTTCACTTAATGATGAGGAAAATAAACTATTCAGAGATGTGCTGCTTCCTTTTCCATTTCCTTCAGGGGCTGATTTATTTTTTGAGTGATTTAAATCAGAAAAACTGAAAGAGTTTTTACCCAATGTATTCTCGCTTGTGTGACGGTTTATGTGTATAAAAGGAGCATCCTTTTCAATCTTTCTAACATTTGAATACTTTCTACTTGGTACTTGTCTTGTAACAGATGGAATATCTTCTTCATAGTCAAAAATATTACGTTCACACGAAGATATTGGAAGGATATCTTTCTTACAAATCTCTTTATGAGAGTTTTCTGAGTGTACACCACTGCTTAAAGATCCATATTTCATAGAGTAAGTGCTTTCATTTGCAAAAGAAGAGACTGAATTATCTATAACTTTTTCTACATTGTTTGACTGTGAAAGGTCTTCAATTAAGTCTTCCTTGTTCAAAACGTGGGAAGAAAGGGCACTTGTGTGTTTACACTGAAATGTAATCTTAGCAGAAGATGGGGGTTCTAATGTAGCAGCATCTTTGTGAAAGATGGAAGGCTTAACTGATAGCTTGCTTGTTGCAATCACAGAAGAATGGGTTCTAGAACTTTCATTATTCAGTGGATTGTCTGGATAGAAGAAAAACAATTTTTTAATTTATATTATTAATTTTTAAAAGTATTTCCTCATATCAAACTACTCTTACCATAAAATAAATTATATGAAATTGTACATTTAAAATGGTTATCTGAATAAAATGCTTTTCTTATGAAGATATCTCAAATTATCAGATATCTCAATCAAATTAATATCTTAAGCCCTTTTTTAAATCAGAAAAAATTTTATTAGCATTCACTATCTTTTGGATAAAAAGGGAGAATCAGTGACACATTTTAATTTTTCCATAAAATAAGGCTTATTTGCATTTTCACTTAAGGTAACTTTCTTACAATAATTGAATGTTAATACTCTAAAATGCTCGAAGTTTACAAAACTGAGAATTACTAATTAGCAAATGTTATGTCCTGTAGATTTTTTTTTCAAAAGCCAAAGAAACATAATAGCATAATGAAGTCAATTATATAGAAAATGTGAGAACTGTTTCAAAATAAGATACAACTGGGGCTGGGAAGGTGGCTCAGTGGTAGAGAGCTTGCCTTGTATGCATGAGGCCCTGGGCTCCATTCCTCAGCACCACATAAGCAGAAAAAGCCAGAAGTGGCTCTGTGGCTCAAGAGGTAGAGTGCTTGCCTTGAGCTGAAGAGCTGAGGGACAGCTCCCAGGCCCAGAGTTCAGGTCCACAACCGACAAAAAAAAAAAGATACAATTTTTAACACCTAAATAAAAGGTTCTCAGTAGAATGACTTACTTACCACTGTTTTCATCTGCAGTTCCATCTAACTGAGGTATAGAAAGATTGGCAAGAAGCAAACTGTTATCACTCCATTCCATTTCATCTTCTGAAGATGAATCATCATCTTCGGTTGAACTTCTGTGGGCGTTTCTGCACAGTGAACTAGAGAATGTTAAAAGTCACCAATAAGACAGAAAATAGAACTTTAAATGTAAGTAATTCATCTAATATGACTAGAATAGCAAAACAATGAAAGATGTGGAAATAATGTTAACTTTAAAAAAGAAAAGCCAATTTATTTTATGAACATGCTCTATAATGGGTGATGGCAAAAAATTATTGTAAACTAACTTTATAATCTCCTTCACGTGGAAGAGGATATGAGGATCTCAGTTCTAGGCCAGCCTGACAAAAACTAGTGAGATTTTATTTTCTAAAACAAAAAATCTATAGGTATATAGCTCAAGTGGTTGGGCCTGAGTTCAATCCCTAGGACTGGAATGAAAAAAACAAAAAAACAAACTGAAAGAAATATCAGACATTATTTAATACAGATCAGATTTCTAGTCTGTGTGGCTAAATGTAAATACTCTATTTTCAACTAATTTTTTTGTCTTTTATTTTTTTTGCTGGTCATGGGGCTGGGCACTGTCCCTCAGCTCTTCAGCTCAAGGCAAGCACTCTACCACTTAAGCCACAGTCCCACTTCCAGTTTTATAAGGTGGTTATTGGAGATAAGAGTCTAATGGACTTTCTTGCCCCAGCTGGCTTTGAACCACAATCCTTAGATCTCAGCATCCTAAGTAGGTAGGATTAATACATGCATGAGCCACTGGCATCAGCTATTTTCAACAAATTTTATATAATCTCTGCTTTTCCATTTGTTAGGGATTTACTACCTCAAGTACATTTTCATCATCACTGACCCTTTTGATATTGAGCAAAATCTTTTATATTTCTTGTTACTAGGTATTGAATCCATGTCCTGAAGTATACTATTATTTGAACTACATCCTTAGATCTTTTGTAGAGACTTACGTTGGAAAACATAGTATCGTATTTGGAGGCTTCATAGGCCAATTTGTAAGCATAAAAATACTTATGTTATACACAAATAAACACTGCATTTGTGGATTAACTTCTTTCCTCTTTCACAAAGGCTTTCACATTGAAAAATTTCAAACAGACTTTAGAAGTTCAAAAGAAAAACATATTTTATTCAGTCTTTCAAGCTCAGAAGCTGATTTTTTTCTCCAAATATATCATACAACTCAGGGCTAGATTCAAATCAAATAAAACTCACAGAGACTAATTAAGAAAACTGCAATGTGTTCTTACTGATTTATCTTCCTCTTCCTTACATGCTACACAAGTGTTTTACCACTAAACTTGAATTTTCTGAGACACAGTCTCACTATATAGCACAAGCTGGTCTCTAACTCGTGATCCTCTTGTCTCAGCTTCTCAAGTGATCAGATTACAGAGTTCTATCAGGAGGCCCAGCTTATTGGATTTATTCTGAGAAACAACCAGAATAAGTGTTTGCTTTATTTATCTATCTTTATTACTTAATTCATTCAGGTTAATCAGACCTGAAAGCCATTCCTCGTCTTCAAGCTGACTTCAGACATTATTACTTAGATCCCAAACAGCTTAACTATTAGAGGGCATTTTTTTTAAAGTTGTAAGATAAAGGATAGCTTTAATTTTGCCTTATTTTCCCCTTTCATATATTAATACTGTACATACAAGCAGAGGATGATTTCTAATCATCCTTAATCATTTCTTAATCTTTGTGGAGGTAGAAAGTTCTTATTTTTCTTCAAATATTAATATATGCTACATGAAAAACAAAAGCCACTAGTTAAAAGGGTTTTAAAAAATTTGGCATCAGCGGTTCACACTTTTAATCCTAGCTACTCAGGAGGTTGAGATCTGAGGATTGTGGCTCAAAGCCAGACCAGGCAGGAAAGTCCATGAGTCTCTTATCTCCAATTAACTACACAAAAAAGCCAGAAGTGGAGCTGTGGCTCAAGTGGTAGAGTGCTAGCCTTGAGAAAAAAAAGCTCAGGGACAGTGACCAGGCCCTGAGTTCAAGCCTCAGGATTGGCACACACAAACAAAAAGTTAATTTAATTCACAAATATTTTATATTATGAATAACAGCATGAAATAATTTCTGATTAAAGAATGGTGATGATTACAAAAGCAAGCTATTGAAATAACAGAAATAACTAATAAATTACCTCTTTTGGGTACAATGTTCTTCAATATTGTTATCCCATCTCTGGGACATCACCAAACTAAGCTCCATTTCCTCTTTTTCAATCTGTGGTTCATTTTCTTCATCATCACTATTTTGGGGATTTTTCGTATGACCAAAGGGGCGACATGGTGATGACAGCCTATTTCTTCCCTCTTGATATCCATCACTTTCCAAGCCAGCAAGAAGATGTACCAGAGACTCATCAGGACTACTGCCTACTATTGAAAAAAATAATAGTTAAGCAATCACTATCCAATAACTTGAGTTTCTAAATAATCCAACAATTGAGATTAGTTATAAAATAACATCATAGACACTAAAAAGTATGAACAGAACATAGTTGATGCAAAGGTTCAGGTGTTGGCAGTTCTATCACCAAAATGTGATATTTATACTACCTGCATTAGAATAATTTTGTGACCTTATTTAAAACACCATTCTCAGACCCATCCCATAGCTACTGAATCAGAATTTATAGAGTAGAACCCAGGAATCTATATTTTGACAAACTGTTCAAGCCTTTACAAACAAGTATTCAAAATAAAACATACAATAAATATATGCTAATTTATTGCCCTAAAATTACCCATTTAAACATGTTATCCTTTTCTTAACTGTGTGTGTGTGTGTGTTTACCAGAGCTTGAACTCAAGGCCTCATTTGCCTTCTTGTTCAAGACTAACACTTGAGCCATACCTCTGGCATTTTTTGTTAGTTAATTGGAGAGAGTCTCATAGATTTTTCTGCTCAGGCTGATTTTGAAACATGACTCTCAGATCTCTCCTGAGTAGTTAGGATTATAGATGTGAATCACTGGCCACTTAATCTTTATATACTTCATGGGATATTCAAATGAAATCTGCAGCTGAAAAATTACAAGGGAGCTTAAAATAAGTTATTAGTATTACTTATAAAACTATATCAGATATAGTAAAGTTAAAATTAAAAACATATAATACCATGTGCTGGAAATGCTATGAAGAGATTAGAATCCTTGTAATCTACAGGTCAAACTAAAATGGTACAGCAACAGACAGTTCTTTAAACTGTTACCCTTTGTGACTCATTGAAATATGTGTTTTATCTTTTTGTATATTAATGACCTCACTAATGGCCAGTGGCACTATGTAGCTTCAGGATAGAGGCACAGAAACCACAGAAACCAAAGCAGGTTTAGAGCTGAGAATCTAAGTTCCATGACCCAGCCTTCCTGATATACAGAAGAGCTGAAGGTTGAATTATTCACTATTGGCTAACGGTTTATCTATCCTGTCTACATAGTACTAAAGGACTGAATTTTGTATTTCTGAATAGTCAAACACACACTAGTTCTTGACGGTTAATATGTAATGGGAGGACTTGGGAGCTCCTGCTGTATTCATCTCATCTGGTGTTCACCCATAGCCTTTGCAATATCCTCAATAATAGGTTAATAGATCTGTTTTCCTGAATTCTGGGAGTTCTCAAGGCTCTTTGGAACTACTCCACCAAACTAATGGTATCTAAGGAGGGAGTTAGAGAAACCCCAGTTAGAGTAGGTAAAACAACCTAAGGCCTGTGACTGGCAATTTTTTTGGTGGGGAGAGGTAGAGAAAGGTAGGGTAGGGAAGGGTGAGGGTACTAGTTGGTAGTACTATTTACTGGGGGGAGGGGATGCAGGTTTTGATCTGAGTCTTGTACTGACTAGGCAGGTACTCCACCACTTGAATCATGCCTCGTTTTTGTTTATGCTGTTGTTTGCTCTCTGTTAGTTCTAAGATAGTGTCTTACATTTTTTTGAGCAGGATTGGATACAGAGCTAATCCTTCTATCTATGCCTAACATATAGCTGGGATTACAGAACTGTACCACATAATGTAACTTATTAGTTGAGATGGGACTTTGCTAAATTTTGCCCAGAAGGCTTAAGAATGGAAACCCTCCTGATATCTATTCCCTAGCAGGTTGGGATTACAGATGCACACCAATACTGTGGATAGCTTTTGGCAATACAGTCATTTTCATATTTAATTCTGCCAATCCTTGAACATGAGGTCTTTCCACCTTCTGGTATCTTCTTGAATTAATTTCTTCAAGGTTTTGTAGGTCTTCCATTTCCTTAGTAAGTTATTCCTGGGTATTTTATTATTTTGTAAAGCTATGGGGAATAGAACTGTTTTCCTGATTTCTTTGATAGCCTGCTCAGTGTTGAAGCTACTCATCTTTTTATGGTGATTTTATATCCTCTGTGCTACTAAAACTGTTTACTAAATCAGTTTTTATGGAATCTTCAAGTTCTTTTAAGTATTGAATCGTATCATCTGAAAATAGAGACAATTTGACTCTGTTCTCTATTTGATATCTTTCATTTTTTTCTCTTATCCCATTTCTCTGGAGGTGATTTCCAGTGCTATCTCAAGTAACAGTGAACACCATGTCTCATTCGTAACTTGAAAGAAAATTATTTCAGATTTTCCCCAGTTAATATGATGTTAGATGTTTGTCAGACAAAGGTTTCACTATGTTGAGGGACATTCCTTCTCCTCCTTCCTTTTCTGCTTTAATCATGAAGGGATATTGAATGTTGTCAAAGACTTGTTCTGTATCTATTAAGCTGATCATGTGATTTTTGTCCTTGACCTTCATGTGTTATATCACATTTGTTGATTTGCATATACTGAAACATACTCAAGGTTTTGTAGGTCTTCCATTTCCTTAGTAAGTTTATTCCTGGGTATTTTATTATTTTTTAAAGCTATGGGGAATAGAACTATTTTCCTGATTTCTTTGTTAGCCTGCTCAGTGTTGAAGCTACTCATCTTTTTATGGTGATTTTATATCCTCTGTGCTACTAAAACTGTTTACTAAATCAGTCTTTATGGAATCTTCAAGTTCTTTCAAGTATTGAATCATATCATCTGAAAATAGAGACAATTTGAATCTGTTTTCTATTTGATATCTTTCGTTTTTTTCTCTTATCTCATTTCTCTGGAGATGATTTCCAGTGCTATCTCAAGTAACAGCGAACACCATGTCTCATTCGTAACTTGAAAGAAAATGAGTTCAGATTTTCCCCAGTTAATATGATGTTAAATATGTTTGTCAGACAAAGGTTTTACTATGTTGAGGGACATTCCTTCTCCTCCTTCCTTTTCTGCTTTAATCATGAAGGGATATTGAATGTTGTCAAAGACTTTTTCTGTAAAGCTGATCATGTGATTTTTGTCCTTGACCTTCGTGTGTTATATCACATTTATTGATTTGCATATACTGAAACATACTTGCCTCCCTACAATGAAACCAACTTGTTCATAATGTGTGATCTTTAATGTATTGCTGGATCTCTTTGCAAGTATTTTATAGAGAATTTTTGCATCTATTTTACCTAGGAAAAATGGTCTATAGTTTTCTATTTTTGATGTACCCTTGTCCATCTTGTTATCAGAATAGTACTACCTTCAGCAGAGTTTTCTATTTCATGGACTAGCTGAGAACCAATCTTACTTAGAGGTCATCAGTGAATATGATGGGTCTTTGGCTTATAGTTGCTGGGAACTCTTTATTGTTTCATTCTTACTGTTCATTATAGATAGTTTAAGTGGTTGATATCCTATTGGTTCAATTTTGTAGATCATATTCACCTAGAAATTTATTGACTTTTTAGATATTCCAGTTTACTAGAATATGAACTTTCAAAGTACTCTCTAATCATCTTCTAGATATCGTTGTTATTTACTGCAATATCCTCTTTTACATCTCTAATTTTACCAATTTGGGTCTTTTTTTCCTTCTGGTAAAGGGTTCCAAACGTATTCACCTTTTCAAAGAGCTTTTTCTTTAACTGATTTTTGACATTTGATTCATTTATTATGTATCATTCTAATGAAATTCATTTCATTCAATTTTCATTTCATTAATTTTCTTCCTAAACTTCATTATTTCTTTCTACCTGCTAATCTGAGGTTTGACTACTGAGGTTTGGTTCTTGTTTTTTCTAGAAACTTGAGGTAAATAATTCATTAAGCTACTTATATAAAGTTTTTAACACAGACATTCACAAACTTTCATTTTAACACTGCCTATGCTGTAGTTCAAAGGTTCTGGTAAGTTGTGCTTTCATATTTGGTAGAAACTAAGACATTTTTTTTAAAATCCTCTTATTTTTCCAATATAAGTAATTCAATAATGTATTCCATGTATTTGACTATTTTCTGTAGTTTTCTCTGTGGTTCATTTCTACTTTTCTTTCATTATGGTCTCATATAATACAGAATGTTATTTCAACTTTTTGTATGTTAAAACTTGCTTTTTGTCCTAAAATATAATCTATTTTTGAGAAAGTTCAAGCTGCTGAGAAAAATGTGGAGCATATAGCTTCTGGGTACAATATTTTGTAGAGGTCTGTTAATTCCATTTATTGATTAATTCTACAGTTTGTGTAAATGACCTACCTACTGGTGAGAATAACTAGTAGTCCATCTGTAGTTGTAAGTCTAGTAGTGTTTAATGCAGTTCAGTACACCAACATTTAGTGGAGGCTACTGAAGTCTCCCACAATTTTTGTGTTGTCTATCTGTGCCTGTAAGTCCAGTACTATTTAATAAAATTAGGTATGGTAACATTTCTTTTTGGGACAGTAGTGGTGCTTGAATTCATGTTCTTGAAATCAAAACCCACTCTCATTGGGCTTTTTGAGCCACACCTCTACTTCTATCATTTCTTTGTTGGTTAATTAAAGAGTTTCATCAACTTTTCTACCTGGGCTGGCTTTCAACCTTGATCCTCAGATCTCTGAATAGCTAGGATTATAGGCATGATAACTCAATGCTTGGCTTGGGCATGCCAACCTTTTGTATGCATATGTTAACAATTTACTATATAGTCTTGATGGACTATTACTTTCATTAATATAAAGTATCTTTGTTTCTCTATTCTAATTTTGGTTGAATGTCTGTTTGATCAGATATTGATATAGCTGTTCTTGCCTGCTTTTAGGATACATTGGCTTAAAAGAGGTTTTTCCACACTTTTAAAAACAAAAGCAATTTGCTTGAATGTAATGTTTCATTTTTAAACTCAGTAATTATTAAATCCAAAAACGTAATCCCTTCAAATAAAGAAAAAAAATTCTCCATACAAAACTTACTTTCTCCGATTTAAAAGAGAGTATTTATAGTAGTATTGTTACTTACTGAAAACAGGTGACTCACTCAGTCTTTGTGTCAAAGGTTGAAAAGTCTGACTATTTTCCATGAGATTCAAAATTGCTTCTTCATTAATAAGTGCATTTTCCACTTTATGTCTAGTATGATCTTAAATGAAAAAAGAATAAAACACATGAAAACAAGAGACATAACTATAATCATCACTTCGAATATGGGTTAGGAAGAAATACTTTAAGACTATTTAAAATTTTGAACTGTTAGTAAACTAACCAACTATTCATATGTATTAATAAGTCTTATTGATTCTACCTAGAGAGTTTAGCAAATTATGTTACTCTAATATAAATAACTATATTAAAATGAACAGTAGGAAGTACCCTATTTGGTTTACTCACTCTAATTTTACCTTAAGTGTATATTTTAGAAAACCTCCCTATTATTTAAAAATAGTTAATAGCGTGTAACATACATACGGATTCAATGATTTTAAAGGTAAAATGAATTCAGTATTATAATCTAATGAAGAGAGAGACAAAATAGAAAGCATGTATTTGCCAGATGAAAAATGACAGCACACCAAAAGTATGCTATTAGAAAATAGTTTTGTTTTCCTGCTTCAGATATCCAAACAAATTTGAAACTAAGTGCTACTGAGATTTTTTGAGTAAAAATCTTAAGGAAGAAGTATGTTTCAGTGAAAACATCATAGAAGAGAGGTAGGCTAATTAAAACAAATATACAAATAAAAAAAATGAAAAGCAACTAATTCTAAAACAAAGCGCATTTAAGTGGATTGATAAAAACAAAATCTTAACAACAGATGCTGGAGGTGATATGGACAGAAGGGAACCTTACTGCATTCTTGGTGGGAGTGTAAACTTGTTCAACCACTTTGGAACGCAGTATGGAGGTTCCTCAAAAGACTCCACATAGAGCTCCCCTTTGACCCAGCAATCCCACTTTTGGGCATTTACCCAAATGTTCACAAACAAGAACACACTAAAGCTACCAGCAAGACTATGTTTATTGCAGCATTATTTACCAAAGCTAAGATATGGAACCAACCCAAATGCCCCTCAGTAGATGAATGGATCAAGAAAATGTGGTATATATACACAATGGAATTCTATGCCTCCATCAAAAAGAATGACATTGCCCCACTTGTTAGGAAATGGAAAGACTTGGAAAAAATTATATTAAGTGAAGTAAGCCAGGACCAAAGAAACATAGGTCCCATGGTTTCCCTTATTTGCAATAACTAGTATATGTCTGGGACAAGCAGAAAAGGTCAGATAAGTTGATGTTAGGGAAATGAACCCTAAAATATGTATTCAAATATTCTTTTCTTTCATGAGATTGTTTCTAACACATTTATAAGATTATTTCTTTGTTGCTTTGTATGTCCCTTCCCCACGGTATAACCCCCTGCTTTCACTGTATTTGATGTCGGTATAATTTGTGGAGAGGAAGGGAAAAAAACAAATCGTTTCAATAGGGATACAGGTGGACCCATTGCAACAATGAGATATACAAGTTGTTATGTCGAAAATGAACTTTACAACTTTGGTGGGGGGAGAGGAGCATTGAGTGGGGTGGAGAGGGGAGGATGGGAAGGGATGAGAAGGGGAAACAAAGGAGGAGGCTACAATGCTTGATAAGAAATGTACTCATTATCTTGCCCATGTAATTGTAACCCTTCTGTACAATATTTTCACAATTAAAAAAAAATCTGATTTTCTGAAACTAACAATAGCATAGATAAGACTAGAAAAAAAGGTCAAAACAAATTAGGATAAAGATTTAAGTAAGTTATATTAGGAATAAAAGGTATACAGAAAATGCTGAACATATCGATATTGTGAACAACTCTGTACCAAAAATGGAAAAACTAGATAAATGTATAATTTCTCAGGAAAAAAAAATGATCTGAAGTCAGCCCAGGCATGGGGAGAATGGCTCAAGTGGGTGGTTCTGATTACAAACCCCAATATCAATAAAGAGAGAGAGAGAGAAAAAAAGACAGCTACAGAAAGGTCAATGAAGCTTATTAATCTCAGTAATAAATCAATATAATTTGTGAAAGATAAAAACAATTATAGGACATCCAGAACATACAAATGAAAAACAGAACAATTTTATGAAAACTTATAAAACTATTGAAGAACATGAAAAAAAGCCAAGTAAAATGGAAAAAATATTTGTAGATTAGCTGTAATGAAAAATATGAGCAGGCACATTTAGCAGTACCATTTTCTTTTAACAACAAATTTGTAACCAACAAGGCTTTTGCTTCCACCAGAAAGAATGGCCTTGCCCCATTCCTAAGGAAATCGAAAAACCTGGAAAAAATTAATCTAAGCTATAGCCAGACCCAAAGAAACAGGTTGCATGGTTTCCCTCATTTATAATAACTAGAATGTGCCTATAAATTTACAAGTAAACCCAATGGACAGTAAAAGACAAATACTTACACCTGGGCATGATTAAAGAAACAGCAATCTAAACATTCCCACAGTGAGAACAAAGGAGTATATTTTTAGGAGAGGATCGCAAGGGCTCAATAGCTATGTGCGTAAGATCATATAAAATGATGCTTATCAAAATGAACTCCAAGAAATGGAAGTAAGAGGTTTTTTAATGTACTATTTGCAGTTCTTTTTTGTTTTGTTCTTTCCTCTTTTTTTTTGTTTATTTCTCTTCTGTCACTGTTGTTAATTTTTGTAACCGAGCAAAAAGAAAAATGATAATTTCAATAAATACAGAAGACATTGATAAAAATTTAATATTCATTCGTAACTTAGAATACAATAAACTTGTAGATGGGTACCGGTGGCTCATGCCTGTAACCTCAGCTACTCAGGAGATTAAGATCTGATGATCACAATTCAGAGCAGCTCAGGTAGGAAAATCTGCGAGATTCTTGCCTTCAATTAACTGCCAAAAAAGCCAGGAAGCAGAGCTCTAGCTCAAGTGGTACAGCACTAGCCTTGAGATAAAATGCTCAGGGATAGCAACCAGGCATTGAGTTCAAGACCCAGGACTATAAAAATACACAAAAAAGATAAACTTCTAAGCAAACAAGACTTAGGAGGGGTATTAACCAGATTAAAGTACATTTACTGATAATGTAATTTACTGATAAAGTATATTTACTGGTAAGTATGAGATTTATACCAAACATGGAAGGTGCATGGCTACAACCTCAGCTACAGGGGAGATGCAGTGAGGAGAATTATAGTCTAAGGCTAGCTCAGGAAAAAACAGGAGACCAAGCAGACACTGGTTCTCAGGCCTACGAATCCTAGCTACTCAGGAGGCTATGATCTGAGGATCATGGTTTGAAGCCAACTGGGTAGAATAGTTTATCAGATTCTTACCATCACTTATCCTGTAAAAAGTTGGAAGTAGATGTGTGGCTCAAATGGTAGAATGACAGCCCAGAGCAAAAAAGTCAAGCAAGATACTGAGGCTCTGAGTTCAAGCCTTAGTATTGGCATAAACAACAATAACAACAACAACAACAAAAAGACACACACACACACACACACACACACACTAACCTACAAGTCTATATCTGAAAAACAATAACCTACAAGTCCATATCTGAAAAGCAAAAAGGGCTGGGACACAATGAATAAAAAAGTAAGTTGCTTAATTGATACTAAACAGGAAAATCATTTATACAAAACCACTTATATAAAATTTAAAATGTAAATCAATAGCATACATTGTGGACATATATGGTGGTAGTTTATACTAAGTTCACAATTGTTCTTATTTTTTCAGAGGTAGAAAGGATAAGTGAATGGGGAAATAGATTTTTGCTCTATCAGACTTAATTTCTTTCTTTCTTTTTTTTTGTTGTTGGTCATGGGGCTTGAAACTCTGGGTCTGAGTGCTATCCCTCCACTCTTCAGTTCCAGGCTAGCACTCTACCACTTGAGCCACAGTGCCACTTCCTGTTTTCTGGTGCTTAATTAGAGATAAGAGTTTCACAGCTTTTCCTGCCTGGGCTGGCTATGAACTGCAATCCTCAGATCTCAGCCTCCTGAGTAGCTAGGATTACAGGCTTAAGCCACTGGCCCCAGCCTATCAGACTTAATTTCTTAGAGAGCAAAAAAGCTAGAAAACTCAAATAAGTATTATCTTAGTGCTAGATACACAGAAGTCTCTTAGTAGTATTATTTGAATATGTAAAAGACAATCTCACCTTTGTTCAACTCTGTGTCCTTGTGAACTTCTATCATATTGGCTGGAGTACACTGTAGCATTTCAGGAGTGAGAATGTCAGAGTGTAATGTTAACTCAGCAGAAAATTCTTGGGATCCATCACTGTTGTCCATAGATCCTGATAATGTTCTGCTTAATTAAAATATATCTTTTATAATAAACTACATAATAAAGCAATAAAATTAGTTCTGTGATCTATAATAATTACTCACAAAGAAAAGTCATTTTGCTTGAGAATTTCTTGAAGTCTCTTCTGAAATTTTTTTTCACTTTCTGTTGATGGCATCAACCTGCGATCTTTGAATTTTAAAAGTACATTTAAAAAGTAAATAAATGAATGACTTATTTTCCCATTTCCTAAAACTGCTTGAAAAATGGCAGCAATTTCCCATCTTTCTTTTGGCACATATAAATGTAGTCCTAGATAGAATCAAGCTAGAAAGAAATCGCTGTTACTGAAACTGTATGAAGCACTAACTGAAAAGAAACATATAGTTCATGACTAAGTTTTCTAAACATAAACTAACAGAAAGCACTACTCTCTTACCTCTAAAAATATCATATACGCTGAAATTGGAAATTTCCCACTTATAAAATATAACATTTCTCTTCTAAAAGTGAATGAAAACATTGGGTGCTTTAAATATTATAAAACAATTTTAAATTTTTAATTGGATGCATTATAGGCTTACTACCATATTTTAAAAACTTTTGGTCTGTTAATTGTATATATTTACCTTTATCTATAAAATTTTGTTGTATCCATGGTACTGGTTTGAGCCCACTCAAATTCTTCCTGGACATAGCAACATTTAATAATGAATGAGTATTTTTTTCTCTGGAGTGGTACATGAGAACACTCACAGTTCATTTAATAACCCCAGAAAATAATTTGGAGGCAGTATTTCCCTGGTCAAAATATAATGATGTAAACATTGTTTCTAAATCATAATTTTTAACATCTCCTTGAAAATATAGGAAGGCAGAAGTATTACAGAATAAAAAAGTAAAAAAGCAAGTAAACAAAATTCACTGAAGACCAAAAATAGTTGACAAGATGTTAACTTCTTAGAGAAAGAGTAGATGACAAGAAAAAATGACTCCACAGACAAAATTATTGGTTATACAGCCATACAGTAGAAAATTACGTAACAAATTTAACAAATACAACATCAAATATTGTCAAGAGGGAAAATGACTATATTTTCCACTGAAACAGTAATCATTAGAGCATTATTAAATTTATACCTTGTGATTCAGGTTGGCTAATTTGAGAAATTTCATTTCTGTTTCTTCGCCGTTGCTTTTCATCTTCCCATATGGCTTGGAGACCGGGGTTTCCACCAATTTGAGCTGTAATCACAACAATACTTCAATACTACAAGGAACAAAGTAAAAATATTTTTGCTTAAAAAATATTCAATCTTTTTCTTTTTCCTTTTAAGAAAAATAGCTTGTACATTAAAATAAACTATCCCAACTTACATTTATTATGTTACTCCTTTTTTTAGTTTTCTTTCTAATGATTACCTAAAACCCAGGAAGTAAATCTGAAGATAAAACAATTAAAAAGCAGAGTATATTATTTCACACTGGCTAAGTTTTATTAGTGTCACACGCAGTTCCGTGTTTATAAAAACACAGCCACATGAACAGAACTACAAAGGAAAAAAATAATGACTATCTGTTGTAGTCTGGAGATGAAATATCTCCCAAGGACTCATGTGATGAAGGCTTGGTTTCAGGGTGATGGTGTTAATGAGAAATGATTAGATCATTGGGATGCTAATTTCATCGATGGATTAGTCTACAGATAAACAGAATACTAAGAGAGGGGAGTTAGCTGGAGTAAATATTTACCTAGTAGGTGTGCAGGTTCCTTTCTCTCTGACTTTCTTTGCTTCAAAAATATTGTACAGTGAATGGTTTGGATACACCATAGCATTCTGCTAATACATTCTGCCTCATTATAGGTTCAGAAATAATGGGTGAACTATGGCCTGAAGCCTCTTAAATTGTGAGCAAAAGTGAATCTTTCCTCCTCTATTTTCTCAAGTGTTTTGTCACAGTGATAGAAACTAGCTCACATCATATCTTGTTAGAAATACAAAAGAAGTTTCTAAAGCACTTTTCTATCATCCACCTATATCAAGTTCCTTTGTATTGGTTCCATTATACGTTCGACACTGTCAACCAAAAAAACAAAACAAACAAACAACAACATATATTAAGGGGCTAGAATTAATGTGAGGCTGGAGGTATGGCTAAAGTGGAAAAAGAGTGTCTTATATGATAGAAACCCTGTTTAGCAAATGTTAGGCCCTGAGTTCAAATCCCAATATTTCCATAAATAAAAAAGAATAACTGTGTGTGTACCCTCAATATCCAACCGATTTAAGATGTCAGCTGCTACCGCATCCACTTCTAATTCACATGTACTCTGTGGTTCAACTCCTTCTAGTAATAAAGAGCTGTAATGAAAAGATATCAAGACAGAGTGACTATGCCAGAATGAACTTCATAAGATTTTTCTTACTTACATAAGAACTCATGTAACAGTTAACAATCAGAAAACATTAATTCATAATTATTTATATACACACTGATTCTGTATGTACATGTAAATGAGTAATAACATAATAAAATATAAAATCTAATTACAATCCTATTAAAATCCTTTTTGAAGTATCTTGTATATTTTGGTTCCAATTTTGTATGTTCAGTGTTAATATGTTGCCATGCACAAGGCAGAATGAGAGAGAGAGAAACAGAAGAACAATAGAAGGATACATTCAAAACTACATAAAAAACTACTTGGCTAGGGGCATATGTTTTAGCAATCACAAATGATTTCCAGTAGAGGATGTGTAACAAGATAATGGAAGGTGAGCATTCTGAGAAATGAGCAAATATTCTCACTGTTCTTCATAACAACTGCTGGGCAAGGGTATGCTTTAAAACTCTTTACAACATCAAACTGATAAATCATATGAATGCTCAACAGTGGGATCGTGGCTAGCAGAAATGATGACACCAAAAGGTAATTCATTTTTATAGGGACCACAGAGGGTTGTGTCCTACTAATCTTCTTAGACTAGAAAGTATTCTTTCCTCTTCCTCTCTCAGAGGCACTACAGGGAAGATTAGTAAGGTATTACATAATTTTCCATGCTGGCTAGAATCGATGAACATGTAGCATGGGTCCCAGGTTACTCATTCAAAAGCTTAGATCTTCTTAATGAATACCAAATGTAAGAGGGAGATCTATGATTCTACTTGAAAGAAAGTAATGGTATGTTACATTAAATTTCAATTTTAAACATTTTTAATATTTTAAGACATACCTATTAGGAAGATCACAGCTCTATTATCTATCCCTAAAGAAATTATGATTCAATGCTAGAAATAAAATGTTTTAAAGTATGGTGCATAGCTCCATAGTACAGTACTAGCCTAGCATGTGAGAAGCTATACATTTGATCCACAGACCCAAAAATAATGATAACAATAATAAACGTTAAATGACAAAATTTTTACAATTCAAGTAAATATATGTGTACACATGTATATGTATACACACAGCCATACACAGCCACACATGCATGCGCACACACACACATCATTAGTAGAGTTGATAGAGAGATAAGAGGTATATTAGAAAACTTATCACAATACAACCTTTTAAATAATAAAAAAAATTATAGGTCCCTTAGTCACTTAATTTAACAGAATCTACTTTGCCATGCATTGAAGTTCTAGATAAAATAGTTTATGGTCAACTTTCGTCATTATACTACAAAAAGTTATCATTTGGAAGAATTACATTGCAATTATCAATAATAAATATTCCAAGAATAGTTCTTTTGTGACAAAGGATGAATAGGAGCATTAAAACAAGTTAATTGTACAGTAAGAATTTTATTTGTTTGAGACAGTCTCATTAAGTAGACCAAGCTTGCCTTGAACTTGAGATCCTTCTGACTCAATAAACTGAGTGCCAGGATTATGGTGTTCACTACCATGTCAGATCAGGACAAAAGTGTTCTCAGAGAAAGAAAATAAGTTTTCAGAACTAAAAATTTGTTTCTAATAGATGTGAGTAAAAAAATTTGAATTGTCGGGAATAACAATGCTCTATAGGAAATGTATGCATTACCTTACTCATGTAACTGTAATACCATTCTACGGTATCTTTACAATAAAAATATATATTAAAAATAAAATTAAAAAAATTTGAATCGTCAAATGTATGTAAACCATTCACTTTAGTCATTAAAGGGAGATAAACGGTACAATGGGAATTATACAATTACACCTGTCTTAACATTTTATAGCTTAACATGTTCAAAAATGAACATAAGAGACCTACTAATCATCGGAATTCAGACAGCTACAATTTTAATAATTTCTCCATATCATTCTCAAGCATAGCCAAAGTTGAGAATATTACAGTTAGATAGATTCCTGACTTTTATAGATTTAACAGTTTGACAAGTAACTCCAAAAGCCATGATATATAATTTCCACTGTGTTAAAAAGTTGAGGAGAGCTGCTGACTTAATAATCTCATCTCATTACAATGGAGTAGTTATTTGTTTTGGACATTATAATAATGTTTGCAAAGGGATATAAAGAAAAATAATTCTTTAATGCTAAATAAAACACAATTAGATGGAGGTGCCAGCACTGAGGACAGAAATGAAACTAAGAAACGAGGAGAATACTGATTTATGGTAAAATCCTGACATCATCTCTTATTTATATATAAGAAAAGCTGAATATTTGCATATACATGTATATCTTCTTATACTTATTAATTCTGAGTAAGTTGTCTAGTTTTTCTACTCATATAAACAAAGAAATGAGTAGGAAAACTAGAATGGCGCTGTGGTTCAAGTAGTAGAGTGCTCCCCTTCAGCTGAAGAGCTAAAGGACAGCACCCAGACTGAGTTCAAGCCCATGACCACCATGACCACCACCACCACCACCACCACCACCAACAACAACAACAATAATCAGATGGTTCCCATAAAGCAAGGTAAGTTATGGTAAAACTCTCAAGCTAAAAATGATGAATCTGTTAATTTAATTAAATCCTGAGTATAGCTGCTTTTACCTCAACAGCAATCTCTTTAATATCAAGACTCTACTGCATGATTACAAAAACAATTCCACTACATACGGGAAGAAACTTAGTATGTGTGCATGTTTATCAAAAAGTCCTGACCCTTGTTAATAAGTAGAATCAAGAGTCACTATCCATATTATTTGAAGTCTTTAAATATTAATATTCAGTCATGAAACAATGTATTTCTATTGTTAATGAGATCCTTCCTTAACTTCAGGCATAATAAAACCCTAAGAAATTTCATATCATGGAAATCCTGTCAAATACATACCAGAGATTTGAAACTACATAAGCTAAGCTCTAAACAAATTTGCTTTGCTTATTTTTTTGAGATAGGGTTTCCCTATGGAACTCAAGCCTGCTTCTAAGTCTTGAACTTCCTGCCTCAGCCTCCTTGAGTACTAGGATTATATGTATGACCCACCATACTAATATTTTTATTATAGTTTATGTTCAACTGATAATAAATGAGCCTTTTCTTACTATAAAATTAAAAATAGTCAAACAAAAAATAGTAATTTAACTAAACACTCTTGTCTCCTTTCATTTCCATTAAAAATACTGAACAAAAAGTATTTAATGACATATATATAGTGAAAAGAAGAAAATCATCCTATGTCCATTAGCCATTCTTATTCAGAGAAGTTTCTCTTTAGCCCACTTATTTATTAGGCAATTGTTTCTTTGAAGATTTGTTGTTGGGGGGTTTAATTTTTTGAGTTCCAGGTATATTTTAGATATGAGACCCTTATCCATTGTATGACTAGTGAAGATCTTGTCACCAATCCGTGGGCTTTCTATTGATCTTGCTAGCTATGTCCTTGACCAGGCAGAAGTTCTGCAGCTTCATGCAATCCCATTTGTCCAACCTTTCTTTGATTTGTTGTGTTTCTGGGTCTCTATTAAAAAAACTTCAGCCTGTGTCAAGGAGACCTAGGGTTTTCCTATTCCATCTTGTAATGTTTTCAGGGTATCTGCTTTGACTTTGAGGTCTTTGATCCATTTGGAGTTGATTCTGGTGCAGGGTGATATGGAAGGATCTACCTTTAGTTTTACAGGTATTTAACCAATTTTGCCAGCACCATTTATTGAAGAGGCTGTCTTTCTTCCATTCTACTTTTTTAGCTCCCTTATCAGAGATTAGGTGGCTATAGGTCTGTGGGTTCATTTTTGGGTTTTCAATTCTATTCCATTGGTCCTCAGGTCTATTCTAGTGCCATTACCAAGCTGTTTTGATTATTATGGCTTTGTAGTAGAGTTTGAAATTTGATATTGATATTCCTCCAGAACTACTCTTTCTGTTAAGGATTGTTTTTGCTATTTGGGGTCTTTTATTGTTCCATATGAATTTTTAGATTGTTTCTTCTACTTCACTGAAGAATGAGGTTGGAATATTGATAGGCTATCACACTGAATTTGTAGATGGCCTTGGGAAGTATTGCCATTTTTACAATGTTGATCCTTCCAATTCAGGAGCATGGGAGGTTTTTTCACTTCCTAAGTTCTGTTTTGATTTCCTTTTTCAGGTTTTTAAAGTTTTCATCATAGAGGTCCTTCACTTCTTTAATTAATTCCTAGGTATTTTATTTTTTGTGGGGCTATTACAAAGGGAGTTGCTTTCCTGATTTCAGCCACGCTCTTCTCATTATTGGCATACAGAAAACCCATTGATTTTTGAGGGTTAATTTTATACCCTGCTACTTTGTCAGAGTTTCAAATAAGCTCAAATAATTTGGGAGTGGAGTCCCTGGGAGTCTTTAAATACAAGATCATGTTATCTACAAACAGGGAGAGTTTTACTTCATCTTTCCCTATTTGGATCCCCCTTGTGTTTGCATCTTGACTTATTGCTGTAGCTAGGCATTCTAATACTAAATTGAAGAGAAGTGGAGAGAGTGGACATCCTTGTCTTATTCCTGAATTTAGAGGAAATGGCTTTAGTTTTTCATCATTAAGTATAATGCTTGCTGTAGGTCTGTTATATACACCCTTTATTATATTGAGTAATGTTCCATGGATTCCTAGTTTTTCCAGAGCCTTCATCATAAAGGAGTGTTAGATCTTGTCAAATGCTTTTTCTGCATCTATTAAGATAATCATGTGGTTCTTATCCTTGCTCTTGCTGATGTGATGAATTATATTAAGAAATGCGCAACCTCTCTAGCCATAAAGGAAATGCGAATCAAAACAACGTTCATTGAGTTAGAATGGCTATAATCAAGAAAACTCTAATAACAACAGATGCTGGAGGGGATTGTGGCCAGAAGGGAACCCTACTGCATTGTTGGTGGAAGTGTAAACTTGTTCAACCACTTTGGAAAGTAGTATAGAGGTTCCTCAAAAGACTCCACATAGAGCTCCCCTATGACCAGCAATCCCACTTTTGGGCATTTCCCAAATGATCACAAACAAGACCATACTAAAGCTACCAGCACAACTAGGTTTATTGCAGCATTATTTACCATAGCTAAGATATGAAACCAACCCAGATGTCCCTCAGTAGATGAACGGATCAAGAAAATGTGAGATTACACACACACACACACACATATGGAATTCTAAGCCTCCATCAGAAAGAATAACATCAACCCATTTGTTAAGAAATGGAAAGAGTTGGAAAAAATTATATTAAATGAAGTAAGCCAGGCCCAAAGAAACACAGGTCCTATGGTTTCCCTTATTTGCAATAACTAGTATATGTCTGGGACAAACAGAAAAGGTAAAAAGCTATGTACATATGACCATATGATGATGTTAAGCGAAATGAACCCAAGACAGGGACACAAGTGGTTTCTTATTTCTTGCTATTTTTTTAATGTACTATGTGATTTTTTTTGTTTGTTTCTTTGTATGTTCCTTCCCCACAGTATAAACCGTTTTCTCGGTATTTGATGTTGGTGCTCTAGATCTTGTATCTATACTTCTCTAACTTGGGGAGGGGAAAGGAAAAAACAAAATGTTTAAATAGGGATACAGGTTCACCCATTGTAACAATGATATGTACAAGACACTATGTTGAAAACTGAACTTTACAATTTAGGTGGGGAGGGAAGGGGGAGAAGGAGGAGTGTAGTTGTAGAGGTCGGAGGGAAGGGAGAAAAGGGGTAGTAGGGGGAAAACAGGAGGAGGTAACAATGCTTGATAGGAAATGTACTCATTACCTTGTTCATGTAACTGTAACCCCGCTGTGCAGTATTTTTACAATAAAAACGTATTTTTAAAAAAGCCATTTATATATATATATATATATATATATATTCATATGTATATATTAACAACAAAAAAAAGAAAGAAAAAGAAAACCATCCTACCAGTATTCAACTGACACAAGAAAGCTTAGGTAATATTATGTAGTAATATTATGTAGTTCAGAACATAAATTTTACAAAGATAAAGCTACTGATGGATAATTTAAATAGGTGCTGATTGCTGATTACATGTCTGCTGCATGACAGGAAAATTTAAACATTTGGAATATTTTATCTCCAACAATTTATATTATTCATAATCAGCAGATCAATGCACTTGTTTCCATAGATACTAAATATTAAAAATTGGGGGGTTTGTTTATATTAAAAGTAGGTGCTATTTCTCTTTTAAACTGCTATTATGGTAATTTCTTAACTTGGCTGGGAATGTGGCTTAGGGATAGACTGCTTACCTAGCATGCATGAGGCCCTGGGTTCAATTCCTTAGTGCCACATACACAGAAAAAGCTGGAAGTGGCACTGTGGCTCAAGTGGAAGAATGCTAGCCTCAAACAAAAGAAGTTCAATACCCAAGTCCCAAGTTCAAGCCCAGGACTGGCCAAAAAAAAAAATTCTTAACTTGAAAAGTTGTAAGATTTCCATTTCATAAGTTGTATCATCTTTACAATCTTATCTTTAGAATAAGATGAAAATCACTGCTAAGAAAAAGTCTATCCCAGATTCCTTCTGTATATTTTTATGGTCTGCTTTTAAATATGTGGTTTCTTGTAATATACTAAACATTGAGATTTGTTTAAATAATCTTATAAGATTAGAAGAACTCAATAAAAGATCATACTTTAATAATTCCACTGATTTCAATCACAACTAACATATATATAAAATGTTCATTTCTTTGACATCATTAACTAACCTTGGTATTTCTTCTTCCTTCCACTGAAATAAAGTACTAGCTGGAGAATTTCCTGATGACTGATCTTTGCATGATCCAGTTGCATTGGATACACCATCTAGAAATATAAAGGTAAATTTAAATACATCCTCTTTAATTTGTATAACTACCACTTAAGTAAAATAATTTACAACTTATGTGGCTAGTTCTAAAATTATGTCTTAAAAATTCACACACACAGACTCACACAGAAGAAAACATATACATAGCTAAGAATAATGTTCTTAAACTAAAAGGAAAAACAAGTTTTGGCAATACATGGGTATAAAGGAAAAATTATTACAACTTTTCATAGTACAATAAAAGTATGATACGTTTAAATGTTCTATTGTGATAAGTATGCATAGAATCTTACTTGAAATATAAAGAATTATAAATTTTAAGACTTTGAATTCCTAGGGTACTCTGGGTGACAACTGAAACTCTAATGGAAATTTCATGAGATTCAAAATATACTTTAATGCATTCCAGAAATAATGGCAGTATCAGGGAGGAAATCTTGGGGCAAATTCAAATATAATCTGATTTGCATTTGTAGAAGAGACAATACTATACTTTGGAAGTAGTCTATAAATTTCTCTGATCTCTTATGGAAATTTAAATTTTCTAGTGAGAGAAAGCTGAGTGAGTGGGAAAAAAATCCTCTCAAAAGATCTTAAATTCTGGAAGTGGTGCTGTGGCTCAAGTGGTAGAGCACTCACCTTGAGCTGAAGAGCTAAGGGACAGCGCTCAGACCTAGAGTTCAAGCCCCATGATAGACAAAAAAAAAAAAAACTTCAAATTTCTCATGTTTAAAAAAAAAAATTTCTCATGCTTTTTCATTACTGGAAAAATTTTACCTGTGAAAACTAGCTCCTCTTCCTACTCTACATACTCTGCAAATCTTTCTTTAGTCTTCCTTCAGTTCTCAGATATTGTCATTTGACAGCCATTGACAGCTACCTTGTTATTCTTTTTATCCCCATAACCTTTTTTTAACTATTTCATTTTTACTTTTAGAATCTTTAGGTTTACAGAAAAGATACAAGAATAGTACAGAAAGCTCCACATACTACTCATCTAGTTTCCCGTATTTTTTAGCATTTTGTATTACTGTGGTAAATAAAGACACTGATACTGGAAGATTTCTATTAAACTACAAACTTCCTTTGAATTTCAAGTTTTGCCACTAAAGCTCTCTGTTCCAAGCTCCAATCAAGGGTATCAAGTTGCATTGGGTTGTCATATCTTCCTAGTCTTTTTCAGGTCTATTTCTCTGGTTTTTCTTATTTTTTCACCATCTTGACAGACATGAGGTGGTATTATGCCTCTAGTCTGAATTTGTCAAGTGTTCTCCTCATGATAAGACTGGAATATTTGGAAAGCATACCAGAGATGACTTATATCATAAAAGAAGATACAAAATATGAGCAAATTACTGGTGAAATCAAACCTAATCATGTGCCTATAGTATAATGAAGTGAAGTTCTATGGGTTTGAAGAGTGATTTTTGAACATCCTAGATCACACGGAATATAACTTTTTTTTTTTTACTGCAAATGTACCCCTGCACATTCTCTTTGCAGTTAACACTCTTTCTTTTGTAATATGTAGCACCAATAATCGGTTTTCTACTTCTATAGTTTTATTTTCCAGAATGTTCTATAAATGAAATCATGTATCTTGTTGTTTCTAGTTTGGCTTCTTTGACGTATTAAATGCTTTAAATGTTCCTGTGATGGTGTAAGTCAATAGTTTATCACTAAGTAGTATTACAGTGTATGCATTCCATTGCTCAGTGGTCAATATAGCTGATCTATGTTTTCAGGACTTATCAATAAAGTTCCTAGAAATATTTTTATTCAGCTTGGATAAGACCCACATTTTAAATAATTTGGATAAACATCTAAGATGAGATCTGCTGGGTTATATTACTGTTTTCAGAACTGTGAAACTGTCTTCCAAAGTGAAACTTCACTTTGCTTTTCACTAGCACTGAATGGGAATTACATACTGGTCAGGATCTGTTGTTCTTAGTCTTGAATTTTAGCCATTTGTACTAAGTGTGTAGAGATAGCTTTTGTGGTTTAAATTCACATTTCTCTAATAACAGATAATGATGAGTGTCATCTTTTTATGTATTTGCCATTCTTGCAGCTTCTTCTTTGATGGAATGTTTGAGACAACCTTCTGGCCATTTGTAATAGTGTTGTTTACTTTCTTATTGTTAGTTTTTCATAATTCGCTATATAGTTAGGATATAATTCTTTATTACATACATAATTTACATATATTTCTACTTTTGGCTTACCTTTTTGATCTTTTTCTATTTGCAGTAGTAGAGACTAAACTGAGGATCTTGCATAAAGTCCCCTTAGTCTTACTGCTTTTAGTTTTTCAGATAGAAACTTACTTCAGGAATTATCAAGGCCAACTCAAAATGGCCTTGGATCTACCTTTAACTATAGATTCTGTTGTTATCACATGAGTGTAGCTGGGATTGCAAGAATAGGCACTTATGTCCAGATCTTCACTCATTTAACAGTGATTTCAAAGAGCAAACATTTTCAATTTTGACAAAATCCAACTCAACAATTTTTCTTTCATAGATTACACTTCAGGTGTTTCTGTATTTAAACTTGTTTTTTAAACTCCAAGTTGGGCAGATTTTTTCCCTACTTTTCTTCTAAAAATCTAGTAGTTTACATTTTACAATTAAGTCTATAACTCATTTTAAGTTAATTTTAAAAATTTATAAAGTATACATCTCAGCTCTTCTATTTTTAACTTCTGGAAAATGGACGTCCAATTATACCAGCACTATTTGTTGATGGGACTTTACTTTCTCCAATCAATTACCACTATATCTTTGCCAAAGTTACTATGTGAGCCAATTAGGAGCTATTTCAAGTATCAATATATTTCAGACTCAAGTCTGCTCTATCAGTGTATCTTCCCTTTCCTTTTATAGCATGCTGCTTTCATTATTACAGCTTTATTAAGTCTTGAAATATAGCTCCTTCAACTTTTACTCTTAAAATCCCTATACTGGCTAGGCACCAGTGTCTCATGCATATAATACTAGTTACTCAGAAGGCTGAGATCTGAAGATGATGGCTCAAAGTCAGCTTGAGCAGGAATGCCCATGAGATTCTTATCTCCAATTAGCCACCAAAAAGCTGGAAAAGGAGCTGTGGCTCAAGTGGTAGAGTGCTAGCCTTGAACAGAATAGCTAAAGAGATAGCTTCCAGGCCCTGAGTTCAAGCCCTAATGCTAGCACCAAAAAAAAAAAAAAAAAAAAATTCTCTCCACTGTAAAATACCATCCTCATACAAAGATGGAGAGATAAAGAATGGAGGGATACCTAAAGGACTATTATTGCCAAAAAGAAGATATGCAGTGAATAGTCATTTCTCTTGCTTTTTTCTTTTCTTTTGTGTGTGTTGCTTATGGTGCTTGAATTCAGGGCCTGAGTGCTGTCTCAGCTTTTTTGTGCTCAAGGCTAGGGCTCTATCACTTGAGCCACAGCTCTAATTCTGGCTTTTTACTTTTTTGTTGTTAAGTGGGGATAAAAATCTCATCTCATGTACTTTCTTGTCCATGCTGGCTTTACCATGATTCTCAGATCTTAGCCTCCTGAGCAGTTAGGATTACAGGCCTGAGCCACTGATTGAATTCCGTGTTCTTTTTTTTTTTTTTGTCGTTTTTTGCTATTCTTACATCCATCTTCCTTCTCTTTTCATTTCTTTCCCTATAGAGAAAGCCAAGCCTATCACATCCTACTTTAGATTATTTCTTTCATCAAGAGTCTAAAGACAAAGAGAGAGCAATTCATTTAGTAGTTTAAGTTTTTGGTGATGATTGTACAACTATGAATAATCTGAAAAACTTTACATTACCTTTGAATGAATGAAATGTATGATTCAGCCATTGAGATCGGTATCTCAATAAAGTTATCACAAAAAAATTCTTTTGAGATGGTTTTTCTTATAACTTTAAATCCCATTTTTGTGCATTTCTTTTTATTCTTTATCCACTCAGCAGGTATTTTTTAAGAATATATTGTTAAGTCATTAATTATACAACACTTGTTTCAACTGAAAATTAATCTTACTTTTCCTTCTTGCTTTTCGGAACTTGACAGCAGCCAGGTTTATTAAGTTCATTCCATAAAGATTGTAGTCAATGAAGAGTTGTAGGAGGTAGGGAATATGCGCTTCATGGGGCTGGTAAAATTTATTCATTATGGCTCCACTTTGCAAAAGTTCACATATCCTAAATTTTAAAAAAAGTATGATTATGTTCTCTAAAATGATAAATGAAACTACTATGTAAATATAGAGAATAAATATCTATTACAACACAAAATTTTCATTTCAAGTTCATATAAACTTGTATTTTGTTAAAAATTTATTTAACCCAAAGTTTTAAAGTAAGCAGCATGTACTCAATTACAAAAAATTTAAGGGTCAAGAACATTTTTATTTAAACCCAGTTAATAACAACTGTATTTAAAAGTGTCAAAAACCTCAAAATATATGTGCAATACACTTGTAAGATTTCTCATGAGGCTGAGGCAGACCAGTCTTGAGTTCAAGGCCAGTCTTGGTGACAAACTGCAAATCTGACTTTATAGCGGGGAAGGGTATTAAAATATTTTATTTTAATTATAAAATTTTGCAAATACTATATAAGATTTCCAAAACAGAAGAAAGATGACTTGTAATCCTACCATTCACAAGTGTTACTATTTAATGTCTTTCTTTCCTGAGTTTTTTTTCCTTCATGAAAGGGGACTATAACAAATAGGCAAATATAAGTAGACAAGTACTCCGCAGGGTAAGTATAGGAAACTTAGAAGGAATGCCAAGTCAGATAGGAGTGACAAGGCAGTGTTGCTGCAAAGCCTCCTTCTTCTTCTTCCTCCTCTTCCCTCCCCCTCCCTCCTCCTCCTTCTGCTGAAGTACTCTGCAAGGTAAGGATAGGAAACTTAGAAGGAATGCCAAGTCAGATAGAAGTGAAAAGATAATGTTGCTGCAAAGCCTCCTTCTTCCTCTTCCTCCTCCTCTCTCCCTTGCAATACCCCCTCCCCCCCCCCGCCCCTCCTCTTCCTCCTCCTGCTTCTTCTTCCTTTTGTGCTAGTCCCAAGGCTGGATCTCAGGGTCTGGGAGCTGTCCCTGAGCTTTTTTGTTGTTGTTCAAGGCTAACACTCAACCACTTGAGCCAGAGCTCTACTTCTGGCTTTTTTGCTGATTTCTTAGAGTTACGAGTCTTGACATTTCCTGCCCAGGCTGGCTTTGAACCGTGATCCTCAGATTTCAGCTTCCTGAGTAGCTAAGATATAGGAGTGAGCCAATGGCTCATAGCTACTTTAAATGCCTTCTTGGAAAGAAGGCTAAGTAGGATATTAAATGAAGCAGATATTCATCTGTCTCTGAACACAAGGGAGAGTATTTCATGTAAATAAAACTGCACAAAGATTACAAGAAGGCATGGCATGTTCAGAAACAGAAAACATAAAGACTATAACCTAGTGTGTCAACAAACTGAAGAGGCTACAAAAATAATAGAAGCCAGATTCTACAGAGCCTATAAGACATTTCAAAAGGTAGTGGCATTGATCTGAGAAGTAAACTCCAAGAAAGTGAAATGGTCACATTAGCTAGAGAATTCACAAAAGTGGAGAACAAGTCAAGAGGCCACTGTGAAAAAATTAAGATGATAACTGAAAGAGGATCATGGCAATATACTGATTCTTGAAACCTGTACGTTTATGATGGTCAGGCCCTGATGACTTAACCAGATGTGGAAGATGAGTCAGAAAAGGAATGGAGGAAAACAGATTTTTGTCCTTAGCAACAGTGGGTTGTACTATGATTATTTAAATAGTGAGAAATTAAAGAAAAAATACTGTTTTGGTTTAGTTAGTATGTTTCGGGAGAAAATAAGAATAAACTGTTTTAGAAGCAGAAATACTGGGATTTAGTATAGTGATGGGAACAAAGATTACGATAAAAATAATTTTATTAATACTAAGTAAGACGCTAACATTTTGGGGCAGAATATACTGGACACTATACAAAGTTCTTTAAATGCTTAATCTCAGTACCTCACTATAAACCTTTGAGACTATTATCCCCATTTTAAAAATAAAAATATAAATTATACATTTTAATTGTCATTTAAAAAAATCACACAAATAAGAAAGGGAAGAACTGAAGCTCAAATCAAACCTTTTTCCTTTTTTTGGGGGGGGGGTCTGGTCGTGGGGCCAGAACTCTGGGCCTGGGCGCTGTCCCTCAGCAATTCAGTTCAAGGCTAATACTCTATCATTTGAGCCACAGCAACACTGCTTTTTTCTTTTTTTCTTATGGGTGCTGAGGAATCGAACCCAGGGCGTCATGCATGCAAGGCAAGCACTCTACCTCTGAGCCACCTTCCCAGCCCCTAAATCAAACTTTTTCTTACTTGGATGCCCTCATTCTTTATTTTTTGCACCCAGAAATACACATAAATACTGTCATAAAAACATTTTGACTGTAAAAAGTCTGAATCTTCAGTGATTTCCAGAATCACTGTGCTAAAATGGTGGCTATTTTTACTATAAAGTACAGGGAAAGGTCTTGATAGAGGTTTAACGTTTGAGTAAAGAGTATAAAAAATGAAAAATGGGAAAGAGATTATTAACAATAAAAAGGTAGAAAAAAGCAGGGTAAGGAAGGATCTAGAAATTGAAGATCATGACAAAAATCTGATTTTTTTTCTCTTGCAGAAACTACAGTTTATCTGTGGGACAATAAACAAATAGATTATAATTGGTGATTTCAGCTAGTGGATGAAAGTGAGAAGATACAGAAGACAGAAAGGAAAATGAAGGACTCTACAAAATGAGATAGAAGTAGTGGGGACAAAGAAGTTAAAGCCATAAAACAGGCAGAACAAAGTAACTCAGGGACAGAGACCAAGAAAAAAATAAATAAAGCAAACAAACAAAACCAGGCTAGGTGCCAATGGCTCACACCTGTAATCCTAGCTACTCAGGAGGCTGAGAGCTGAGGATTGGGGTTTAAAGTCAGCCTGTGCAGGAAAGTCCATGAGACACTTCTCTCCAGTTAACTCCTAGAAAACTAGAAGTGGTAGTGTGGCTCAAAGTAGTAGAGCACTAGCCTTGAGTGAATATGCTCAGAGAAAATGCCCAGGCCCTGAGTTCAAGCACCATGACTGACCAAAAAAAAAAAAGAAAGAAGCAATGATAGGTATATAACACAGTAAATTTTACTAAAATATTCAGATTTTTATATACTCAAACTGTGCATATCTCCAAAGAAAATTTTAGGAACTAGAAGAGTGACTCAAGAGATGAGTGCCATCCATGAATAAAAAAGCTGAACAGAGGCATAAGATCCTGAATTCTAGTCCCAGTACTAGCACCAAAAAGAAAGGAAGGAAGGAAGGAAGGAAGGAAGGAAGGAAGGAAGGAAGGAAGGAAGGAAGGAAGGAA